CCCAGTTCTGGTAATTTCTCTTTCACTGTCTCTTACACATCTTTATACAGTGCTAAAATAGAAGCACACAGAAGTGTTAAAATAAACTTTCCGTAAGGTGCAGAAGATGAGGCTGTTGATTCCAGCACACCTTGGAAACCTTCCAAGAAGAAGCTGAGATTTAAGTGTTTATGCAAGTGCACAGGGAAGGTGTTCTCAGTAGAGGAAATACACACAGAAGCGTGGAGATGACGGGGAGTGGCCACCTTCCCAACGGGAACTTCTGTGGGATCCTTGTAGTGTAGGAAGGACCAGGACCAGGACACAGAAGAAACGAGGCTTCGGTTTCCAGGGACCTCTCTCATTTCCACTAGCTCTCTCCTGACCCCAACCTCAACTTATCTAGTTTTTCAAGATCCGTCTTGAGAGGCACCACACAAGATTAGTCAATCAAGCAAAGTATGGATCACCTACATACTGGTTCAGAAAACCAAGAGCATGCCACACTCCATGCCACTCCAGACCTAATGTTATCAACTGCTCTGGCATAGCTCTCAGTTGAAACAATCAGGAAATAAAATTCTTTCTCTTTGTGTGTGTGCGTGTTTCCTAGGATTTGATAAGAGTCTGAATTCATCAGTGGGCCCAGCACCATGTGCAACAGAAAGATAAGTAATCTGGTTTCAATAGGGCATTGAGTTAGTAGCATGAGTCATGTCTGTGCCCTGTGGTCCATCATCCCAGTCCTAAGAATATGCGTGTCCTCTGTGGCATGAGGAGGGCTGATATCACCAGGGCAGTAAATCATGTGCCACCCACCTGGTGGGCAGGGTGGTCAGCACATTCCTCCTGAACCCTGATGGTCCAGCTCCTTCTGATCTGCCCCTACGTTGAGCCTCCCCAAAGTGTCCCACCTCTCTCATTGGCCAAAGCAGAGATTCTCCTGATGGCAACTTGACTGATCGGAGGTGGGTGACAAGTTACCACAGTGGATGAATGGCGACACCTGCCTTAGCAGCCCTCCGTCACTGACCCACGCCTGCCCATCACTGCTGCCAAGGAGCCTCAGGCCATTTTGGCATCACCTCTCTGACAATGTTAAGGGGTGTAGTCACTCCCTGGGGGTGCCACTACCTAAGTACCCAGACTGAGATAAGGATTCCCGTCAAAGTACTTTATTTTGGAGATGAACTAACATGTCCCAGCATGTATGGAAAAGCAGCCTTAACAGTATATTCTCAAGGGCCATGTCCTTGTGCTTTTGGGGACACTCATGACTTTGGGGTGTGGCCCAGACTGACAGGTACACTCTGAGCCTGGGAGGTCTGGGCCACCAGCACACACATCTCTATTGTTCTTTCCATGGATCCCTGCTCAGCCCTACCCACTTTCGCTCTCCTGTTTGCATGTTGCTAATTCCGCTTGTAGGCACAGGCACCTGGACCAGACACTGGAAACCAGCACTAGCAGGACCAGTCATGTCCTGCCTGCTCTCAGCAGAGTGCCATTTGCACAGAGCTCAAGGGAAGCTGGGAGCTGGGAGCTGACATCACCTAGGCCCATCCCATGTCGCGAGCCTGCAGACTGTCAGGCCGTCAAGCAGAGTCTAGCCTGTCGACTTGCATTTGTTATCAGCCATCTCCAAGCACACTCTGTGCGGGAAATAAACGAAGCCTTTTCCCAGGAGATACATTATCGCTGCACGTGACTGGCCACATAGTTTTCTAATGGAAGTCATTAGAGGTTCGGCCTCAGAGACAACAGGCCAGCTTGACCCAGTCTGTGAATTAGCCACAGCACACACACATCCTTTCCTGGATATAGGCCCTCTCTTTGGCCATCTTCCAGCTTTGTAGAAGGTCAGCCAGGGATTCTGGGAAAGGGAAGGCCAGAGAGGTCAGCACTAGTACCCCAGAGATGGGGATAGGTGGGCAAGGGCTAAAGGGACAGACAATAATGAAGAGGTGTGCCCCTGGAAGCTTATCAGTGGTCACCAGGGTCTGGAGAGAGGGGAGAGGTGGAGTTATCATAAAGGGAACACAGAGTTTCAAGAAGGGTAATGGAAAAGTCTGGAAATGGACAGTGGTGATGTTTATACAATGTGATGATCAGAATGGAACATCCTGGAATTATACACACAAAAAAGGTAAACCTACATACATTTTACACACACACACACGCAGATAGTATGGATGCACCACACTGACTGCATGGGGGACACTGAGGTGGTCTACTGTGTGTTTCTTGAGAGGAGAGACTCAAGTGCCCCCAAGCTGATCAGGGATACATAAGCACAGTACATCCACACAGCAGAATGCTATTCATAGATAAACCAGGAAGGAATTACCACACATGGACAGGCCTCAAACACGTGATCATCATCTCACTGCCACTGGCAGACAGAACCATCTCACAGCTGACCCCCTGACAGGTTTGCGAGACTGTAAACCTCATGGAAGTAGATGCCTGTCTCTCTCCCTTGGACTCTCTGGTGGTTCTGAACCCCCAGAGGGGCACTGTCTTTCGGTTAGCAGTGCAACTCCCTACCTCCGCATGTCTTTTCCAGGACAGGCCCCTCCTGACAACATGCCCAAGGTATGAGAGATCAAGTTTTGCCATCTTTTCCTCCAGCGAGCACCCTGCAGCCACTTCCCATCAGCAGAGCCACCACCTGGCAGTGGAGGCTTGTATGTTGCCATGATGCTGAATAGGCTTCAGCAGAGCTTCCAGACTAGAAGAGACTAGGAAGAAAGGTCTGGTAATCTACTTCTAAGAACTCATCAATAAACATAGTTCACAGAGATCTGAGCAGCATAGTAGGTACATTGTATCTCAGTAAAGCTGTTATGACAAAGGAAAAAAAGGACTCCAGGAATGACAGCAGTAAGGAGTATGATATGAGACAAGCTCTGCAGCGTCCACAAAGGAGCAATGTTTTGAGATGAGTCTCTGAGGATTGAAGGGTGGGCAGGGCAGGAGAGGGAGAAGAGGGAACAGCGCCCCCACAGGTGTGGAGGACAATCTCCACAATGAGTTATAGTAATTCCAAGGAATTACTAAACCTTTTGGGTTTATGGAGGGGGACAACGGGTCAAAGAATTTTTTTTCCAAATTCATTCTTTTTGAACAGGTAAGGCAGTCCCATAGCAAAAATTAGGAAATCTGCAACAAAGTAGTTAATGTAACCAAAGAGGCCCCCCTTCCTCTGTCTCCCACCACTCAGTCCCCCAGCCCCACCTCAGGCAATCACTGCAACCCAATTCCACTGCCTTCCAGTAAATTTATACTCAAAGACTGTGTAAGATCAAGTAGAACTTCTCTAAAGAGTTTCCAAGACTACAAATCTTTGCAGAAGTGCACTGCAGTATCTTTCTCCCCCAGAGCTCCTGGGAGACTAGGACTGTCAATCTTCTCTCAGTCGCTAAGCACTTTAATCACCACATCAGGTTGTATGATACACATACAAATAAATCCTTACTCATGGTTTTGTATAAAGGGAATAGACTCTCTACTGTCTTATATTTTCTTTGTACTATTAATAAAACTCTTAGAGATCTTTCTAAAGTCATATATAATTTGTTCATTTTTTAAATTTTTGTGTGGAATGTGTCACATTTTGTTAATCATTTAGGTACAAATAGGCTTTTAAGGCTGTTGCCACTATTTTCTTCTTACAAAACGATGCGATGAGTGACTCTATACCAGGGCCATTTCACACAGGTTTGAGTGTATCTGCAGGTAGAATTCCTAGGCCGTTGTCAGTGTGCTGTCCTGTGATGGTTTATGTGTTGCTGTGATGTTGGAAGCTATGTCACTAGTATTTAAAATGCCAACAGGGTCACCCATGGTAGACAGGTTTCAACTGAGCGCCCACATTAAGACGGACTAGGAGGAAATGCTGGTGGTCTACATCTAGTCATTAGACAATGAAACTTTATGGATCAGGACAAAATATTATCCAAGCTAGTGCTGCAAGATTAGACCCCTGGATAGAAAGACAAGCCATACAAAAGTCACAACGAATTCAAACACGCCAGCAATCATAAAGAAGGCACATTTCACTGTTATATAGAAGGTCGCAGTGAGTCAGAGCCAAAGTAGCCAACAACACAAAATTTCAGCCAAAAAAACCAAAAATTCCTAGAGGTGTGACTGTTGGGCCATAGAGTTGTGCATTTTAAGCGTTGATATATACCGTCCAACCGCCTGTTATACTGGCAACACCAATTTAAGATCCTCATCGCCCATAGGTTAAAGTTCCTGTTTCCCCACCCACTGTTTTGAAGTATTGTCTGGGCCCTGATGGTACAGAGCATTGTATGTAAGCTTGAACTTGATTCACCTACCGTGGACAGCCATTGGAGGGATTAGGCAGGGGATACGGGTGGTCAGGTTTGATTCTCTAAAGGAAGCCTGTCTTCATGATGCCATCGAATACATTTTATGGTTAATTTTTATTCTCCAGCAGGCCTGAGTGATAACATGATGAATCGAGGGGCTGCAAATAGCCATGAAGATTTAAGCCATGCTGGGGAGAGAGAGGATGGTTATCATTTGAGTGCAACTACTGCTGAGAACAAAAGAGCTGTGCATGAGTGCACCTTGGCTTCTTTGCCACCCCATAAATCTAACCATCTTTCCATTTTTATTTTATCACATGCTTCCCACATGCTTATGAGTCCTCAATAAATAGCACCCAAGAACAACGACAAAGATCAAGAGAAAAGAATTTTTTATCAGAAGTTAAACACTTGACTGAATGACAGAGAGGTGACAGAGCAACAATATGGTTCTCCAGAAGACCATTTTGCTAATTAATTAGAATTGGAGTGTTGAACAAAGAGCTGGGTGAGGCAAAATGCAGACACATTCATTCAGAGTCTTTTGTGTACAGAACCAAAGGAAGTCAGCATTATGTGAAGCAAAGAGAGCAGGAGAGATTGCTGGTGGGTGGTAGTGAAGCACCAGCATATGAGGGACCGGGAGAGCACCCCAGCAAATGCGCCAACAGCCGTTCAAGGATGAGCGCCTTGCACTTAGCACTCTTGGGTTTCCTTCTGAGTTTTAGGGCCACTGCTGCTGGACCAGAGGGTGACTTTTGCTCTAAGAACCAGGTGGCCTTCAGAGACAGTTGCTATGACTTTGTACCACTTGGACGCACCTTCCATGGTGCCCAAGCCTGGTGTGAGGGACAAGGAGGCCACCTGGTCTTCATTCAGAATGAAGGCACCCAGAAATTTCTGCAGAAACACATCTCCCAGGACAGGGAGTGGTGGATTGGACTCACAGGGAGCTTGGCGCCAAGTGAAACTGTAGAAGGTAAGGGCTGGGCTGGCCATGTTTTCTGGGAGGCTGTGGTTATCACCATCTGTCATTTCTCATCTGGAGCTCCACAGAGCAAAGTGATCTTTTCAGCTGTCATGGTAAGTATACCTTTCTCTGTGACTGAAAAGAAAGGAAGTCATTCAGGCACAGATCTTGGTACAGGAAGAACGCAGATGGCATAATGGCTAAGTGACCAGCTACTAACTAAACAATCGTTGGTTTCAATCTACCTAATAGCTCTTTGGGGGAAAGGGTTGGTGGTCTGCTCCTGGAAAGGTAAAGCCTGCGGGGCAGTTCTGTCCTGTCACTTGATGTCATTATTAGCAGAAAACTGACTTGGCAGCACGCAGCAACGGCAGCCACCCAGCACAGAACACAGCACACAGAGGAGAGACTGGCAATGCCCACAGGGAGCAGTGGCAGGTTGGAGTCCAACAGCTGCTCTGCAGGAGAAACAGGGGCTGTCTCCTTCTGTTAAGAGCTATAGCCGTGGCATTCTGAAGGAGGGTTTTCATGAGCTGGAAATGACAGCAGGTGCTTTTGGGTGACTAAAATAATAACTTCTTCCTTGACGTGTGCGGGACACTCTCCTGAGTGCTTTCTATGCCTTGTTGTCTTGAATTCTTAGAAGTGATGAGATCATTTTCATTGTCATCAGTGATGCAGAACCTGAGACTCTGAAAGTTATTGTGCAGCATTTTCAAAGGGCTTCCATCTGTTCCTACTTGTAATGAGATGAGAAAGGTTGGGTGTCCAGCCCTGCTCAATGCACACTGCAGTCTCAGTTCACTGGGCTCCCCGGAACCTCTGACAACATTCACACTGCAATCCACTCAGCACCTGTCCTGGCTGCAGGCAGGGAAGCCCTTGGTGTGCCTGCGGGTCCTGTCCACTCTTCTTGGAGGACACTCAGGACCTGACTCAACGTCCAGGCATCTCTCTAGCCATCCAGCCCCCATGTGGTGCTATGAGTCCTTCAAGGAAAGGAAGCATATTCTGGCCAATTTTGTTCTCCTCTAACACATAGCAGAGAGCAAACTAATCAGCATTTGCATTTCATCTTTATGCCAAACCCAATGAGATGGACATTGATACCCTTGAAATAATTTTTTTCCACTCTTCACTGCTGGCTGTCAAGTAGATCTAACTCCCAGGAGTGCATCATCATTTCTGAGGCTGTAAATCTTTACAAGAGGGAGCCTGTCCATTTTCTCCTTCAGAGTAGCTTGTGCATTTGAACTACTAAGCTTCCAGTTAGCAGCCAAGCACATTAAGCACTGCTTATATTTGCTGTGGAAAAACATAAATAACAAATAAATAACCACCTCTCCAATTTGGTGATGCACTTACATATGACTGCATGAAGACGACAAGTAGAAGTGCCCCTTCCCTGGCAGCGAAAAGAGAGCCTCCAGCCCCTCAGCATTAATGAGCCCCTACTGCACACCTGGACTTGCACTCTCCAGGTGAGCTCTGCACACAGAAGGGTGAGTAGGAAGTTGCTGATCATGTTCCCCTCACAGGTCCAGGGACCTGGCTGGATGCCTCCAATGTGACCTACAGCAACTGGGGTGGAGGGCAGGCCATGGCCGCCCCTGGCACCTGCGGCTACATCGGGAGAGGCCCTTCCTCCAGGTGGGCCGTCACAGACAACTGCTCCCAGGATTTTGCCTTTATATGTCAATCAGGTGAGGTACTTGCCACCACCACCTCCGCTCCATCACCGCCTCCCCACTGCCCCGGCCTGCCTCTCTGCTAGGCCTTTCTTTCCTTCTTCTGCCTCCACTCTTGGCATCTGGCTTTCCCTTCTCCCCCTTCCCTGTCTCCCTTCATTAGCTTTCTTTCCTTCTCTCTGACACCTTCTGCTCCCGTGCCCTCCTGTTCCCATGTCTCTGGCTCTGGCCCTGCGTCTGTGTATTCTCTCTCTCTGACTCCTGTTTGAGTGTCTGTCTCTCAGGCTTTCCTTTATCTCTCATTCTCACTTTTTAGTCCCTGTCTTTCTTTCCAAGGTCTACCACCCTCTCTTGCTCCTCAGCACTTTGGAGCAGTCCCTAACAGTGGGCTTGCCCAATGCAATACATCTCCCCTCCTCACCGCCCTGTCTCACATACTGTGGGCATGTTGTTAGGAGAGGCTATTCTTGGAAAGGGATATCATGCTTGGAAAGGTGATGATGGGTCAACAAATGAGAGGAAGACCCTCAGTGAGATGGATTATCACAGAGACTACAGCAATGGCTTCAAGTGTATCTCCCTTTCACACTCACTCTGTGTGCACATGCCCACTGTCCTGTCTTGACTCTGTGTCTCCACTCATACACACACCCAGAGGACAGCACTTTCAGCTCCACTTACCCCGAGATCCTGTAAGGGGAGACAGGTACTGTTGGGGGCTGCCCCCATCACCCCAAAACCTTTATTCTGCCAGCCAGGGCTTCCTCTCCCACTCTGACCTCCTCAGTCCCCTAAATGCCTTTCCTAGAAATGCCCACTTGGGCTTCACCTGCAGGCCCTGGTGGCCTCTCTTGGGAACCAGTGTGAGGGTTCCAGCAGCAGCCACATGTGGGCCCCATCCAGGTGCTGCTTGCCATGTCAGGCCTCTCTGGTAGTTTGAACCCACCTGCAGCTCTGAGAGAGAAGGAAGAGCACTCCTCTGGGCCTCGGAAACCCAGTGGAAGGCCAGCCCTGAGCTTTCAGGCAGATCAACTCAAGAGCAAGGAGTCTGAGTTTTCTGGGTTTTCTAACTCTGTATGTGGAGCCTGCTGGCACAGTCATTAAAGTACTTGGTTACTTGCCGCAAGATCCGCACCCACCAGTGCTCTGTGGGAGGAAGCGGAGGCAGTTTCTCCCATTGAGATTTAGTCCTGGAAACCCTATGGGGGCCATTCTATCCTGTCCTACAGGGCTGCTGTGAACCAGAATTAGCTTGAAGGCTGTGCAAACAATGGCATAAGGAGTTCTGGTGCCACAGTGATTTAGCAATTGGCTGACAGTCAAAGGGTTAGTGGTTCAAACTCACTCAGAGGTATCTCAGAAGATGAGCTGGACTGCTTCTGAAAGGCCACAGCCTTTGAAACCCTGTAGAGCCTGTTCTGTGGTGACACGTGTGGTGAGAACGACACCAACAGCTCTGTGGGCACTGGTCTGTCAGAGGAGACACAGTGCTAACTCTGGTGGCCACACAGCCAGTGCGGCGCTGGGCTGGACCTGAGCTGCGCAGTCTGGCTCCACTGGGAAGATCCTGACCATCACCTTGCACTTCGCCCACCTCCTGACCCCTGTGGAATCTCAGTCCAGACCCCTGAGAACCTTCCAGACACAGCCCCTGTGGCATGCACCTTCCCACGGTGTTGCTGTTTTTCTCCACAGGGCTTGGATGGAGCCTGGCCTGTGACGGTTTCAACGCCACCCTGTACTGTGGCTCGGGGGAGGTGATCCAGATGCAAGACGCCTTCTATGGGCGCCAGAGCCCTCATTACTGTGCCCGGCATGCTGGGCATCCCATGGGCCTGGACAACAAGTGCAGCTGGGTCAGCGTGAAGGATGAGGTGGCAGGTAGGACCCCAGGGCTCCACAGTTCCTGGATTCTGTGCTGAGAGGGTCTGACAAAGGCTCCCAGAAAGCTCTAACTCCCTTCACCTCTGAGTCTGGGCCTCAAACACTCAGGGAAATCAGCTGTTCCTGTCCACACCACAGAGCAGGGCACAGATACTGGGCTCAGTGGATCGATTGAGCCTTTTGCTAGAAACATCACTCTATTTTCCACATTTTTTAAAACTTTAAAATGTTCTAAATTAACTTTCATTTAAAAAATCACAATTTTAAAAATAAAAGAAAGATAAATGTTTAAAACTACCGACAGAAGAAGCAAGTTCAATGAACTTGTATACATCCCTGATGGTATCTCTCAACCCGATGGGAGACTCCCTGGAGGACTCAGTTTTTCAGAATCACATGAAATCTGACTCTTTGAGGCATTTGATACAGTGACAAGGATTCTAGGGGGTCTCCCTGTGCTTCTCAGGGGGTGTGATGGCCTCAGGAATCCCGGGCCAAGGCACTGGAAGCCCCACCTCTCTCTGCTGTGGCCACTGTCCAGCTGTAGGGTTCTGTGACAGCAGGTGGCCTGCTTGTAACTAGGGGCACATGCCCTTCAGCTATTTGGCAAGGCTTGGCGTCCACTCAAGGAAGAACCAGGACCCCAGGAGATATTTCCATGGCACATAGACCCTGCAGCTGGTCTCCCTCCCCACATTGAGGACACACCCCTCCTTGGGACAATGTCATCCAGGCTCCCCCCAGAATAGCAAATGCTGGAATCAGTGGGCTGTTTCCCTCCACATCACCTTGTTATCCCGGCATCCCCACAGCTGTGGTTCCCCATTAAAGGAGGGCTCTGGACTGCAGAGGTTGGTGGAAATATCTTCCTCATTGGGCACTGATGGGCCAACCAGATGGCTTCCTAAAAGGTCCAGCTGTAAGTTTCCAGTCAACTTTGCAGTCAAGCCCTAGAGAAAACTGTCAGTAGGAACCTCACACCCAGCTGTTAAGGGTCCACAGAGATCTGGGCTGGCCCTGGGGGTGTACATCTGTCTTTAAGTGCCCCACTGACTCATTCACTCATTCATTAAATCAATCAATAAATATTTACTGAGTGCCAGCATTGAACCATCAACTCCTGGCTATGTGCGTACAAACCAAAACCCTCCAGAACTCTCTGCTGTAAATTGATTCTGGCTCCCAGTGACCCCATAAGGAAGTATGGAACTGCTCCATTGAGCTCTGAGGCGTGGGGGGAGCAGAGAGCCTCATTTTTCTCCAGGGATGTTGCACATCCAGAGATTACTGAAGCAGAGCCTGTTTTCCAAAGAGCTCACAGCTTCATGGGAAGACAAATATGTGCACAGTTACATAACCTTGTGCCAAAGGCTGCAAGAGGGGGAGCAAAAGGTACTGCTTATCAGCCCATGTGGAATTGTTTATTGAGTGCTTGCTGTATGCCAGGGACTGCCGCATGTGCAGGGGAGATAGTAGTGAACAAAGAAAATAAACCCTCAGTTGTCTCAGAGATTGGAGTCTAGAGCAGAGGCTGCGCACAGTAGGAATACACCCTTCCGACTGAGGTGTGTCAACAGGTCCCATCAGGAAAGGCGCATCCACGCCGGATCTTTCATCAGAAGGAAGTGGAAGCAAGGAGTTGGCTTCTCATCTGATGGAGATGAGGAGAAGCCCAACAGAGGCTGACGGTGGGACTCTACAATCAGGGCAACACAAAGTGGCTGCTACCCCGAGGGGCTACAGGGACAACAGAAGGAGAGATTCTTGTCAAGACTGGAAGGCAGGGCCTGTAGAGGATGCGGGAACCAGCGGCGGGGTGTGCGGTTTGAGAAAGCTCTTAGTGCTTCTTTAGAAAGTGGGAATAGACATTCCATTTGATCCTGCAATTTCCACTACTATGTATATGTCCCAAAGAAATAAAGGCTGTGACACAACCGGACATATGTACATCTGTGCTAGAGTAGCTTTCTCTATAAAAGCAAGGATTTGGAAACAACCCAAGTGTCCATCCACAGTGGTGTGGTGGTTGTGTGTTTTCTAATAGGAACCCACTCATAGCTGACCCTCCAGTGAGTTTTCAGAGGCAGTAAATTGCATGAGAGGAGATTGTCCACCTCTCTCCCAGGGAACAGCTAGTGGAGCTGAAGCCCATGCCTTTGGGTTGGCAATGCAACTCCTTACCCACTAGGCTGCTAGAGCTCTCAGTGGACATGTGGCTAAAGAAACTGTGGTACATTCACACAATAGAGTAGTATGCATCACTAAAAAAGTATCGAGAATTTGTGAACTACTTCACAACATAGATAAACCTAGGACAAATTATGTTGAGTGACGTAAGTCAGTCACAAAAGGACAATTATGGTGATTGCACTGCTGGGAAGTAGCTTATTCTGTGCAGCTCTGTCTGAAACACATTCTCTTTTTGTCTTTTGCCTTGCTCTTGCTTCTGCTGGGATGTGGGTGCCTCCCAGAGCAATGCCAGGGGCTGCAGGCATGCCAGGTGGCAGCGGACAGTACTTACTTTGGAGAACTTTGTCCCACTCTGGGCAGCTACCTGTGGGTGCACTACCAGTGTCTGGAAGGTGAGTCCCTATCTTGTTGGGGGTGGGAGTTTCCTTCGCATTTCTGCAGCAGGATGCGCTTCCCTCTGGAGACGGCTCCCATTTACATGGGTCCACTGTGCCCCAGAGACTTCCTCACCCAAAGGAGCTGCCCTGAGGCCAGACCGTCCACCTCAAGGACCCTCTTAGCATAAACCATCCAAGGCTCCCATTGCACGTGTTTTTAACAGAAACAAACTAGAAATTTAAAACATTTTAATCCTAGGATCCTTCTAACTAAATCACATGGGTAACCCAGTAAGTAACCAAAGCAAACCCGACTGCCTTCGAGCCTACACCTCCCCCCAGCAACCCTACAGCAGGAGCGGAACTGCTCCACAAGGTTTCCAATCTTTATAGAAGCAGACCACCACATCCTCCTACAGACTGGCTGCTGGGTTCTGTATGAGAATCTAAAATCAGAGCCACTGGGTTTGTGAGTAAATCTATCAGGCTAAAAGCATAGTTTTAACTCCACCTTCAAGTCTTGGCATGAGTCTGGAATCCATATTGGACTTTTCAGATGGCAGTTCCTTCAAGCTTGATGGCTGGCTTGACCATCTATCCCAACGTTCCTTTTCTCAGATATCTTGCAGCAGAGGGGTATCTCATCTATTCCCAGTGGGTCATCATTGTAGTCAAGCTACCTCTTGCCCTAAGGGTCTTGGTACACATGTTAGTGGTAGATCTTTATGATAGATCCTCAGAAAGAAATAGGATTGAGGAAGCTAGTTTACCAGCAGGTTACCAGAAAACCCATCTAGGTATCAATCTGTGTTATTGGAGTGACCTGTATTTTTGACCAATCATTTAATTCCATTCATGTACTATGGGCCTATCACTGCCAACGTCTCGCTTCTAGGTATTCCACCTTTAACTCCCCTGCTGGTCTTTCAGCCCAGTTATGAATTCCATAACCTTTAGTTCCTACTCCAACAATATGTTACCTCGCCTGTGGTCTGGCACAGAGGTCATTTCTTACTCTGTGACAATGGCTGTTTCCCCAGCCTGGTCCATCTCTATCCCTCAGTCTGCTTCATTTGCTTTCACTTAAGCAGATTCCATGATGTTCTATGGAAGTGTGAAGCATCACTCTTTCAATTAGCAGCTCAATGGTTAGGTTGGTCCACTGTACCATGAGAACCCCTAATCCAATAAATACGACAGAAGGAAGGCTGTGTGACTGAGAGGAGTGAAAAAGTAACTCATTCCCACATACCAGACTCCGTCAACCAACATCCTTCCCATTTTTTAAACATAAAAATACAGAAATCCGTGAAAAGAACCCAATTTATAATCATTTAGGGGAGCTCTTGTGGCATAATCTGTAGGGCACTGTACTACTAGCCCAAAGGCAGGCTTCACTTGCAGTATGAAGCCATCAGTCACTCCAGGGGAGAGAGATGGGAGATCTCTTTGCATGTGATTTTTAGCCTCAGAAAACCCACTGGAGAGCCGGCTGTGAGTTGGTTCCAATTTGGTGGTGATGAGTCTGAACTCTGATCCCCGTTTCGAAGCCCGGACAGCACAGTGGTCAAGCACTTGACAGTTAATGAGCCAGCTGTGGGAGACTGGTGCTCGCTCCCGTAGAGTCCCCTGGATGTTTACACAGCACGCCGTTAATGGGACACAGCAAACACACTTTATAGAAGTTTTCTAAATTAAGAAATAAAGTCACTCCCTCATTGCTGTGAAGTCAGAGATCAATTCACAGCCGACCCTTCAGTGAGTTTTCAGAGGCTGTAAACTGCACAGAAGGAGATTGCTCATCTGTCTCCCATGGTGCAGCTGGTGGATTCAAACCATTCACCATCGGGTTGGCGGTGCAACTCCTTCTCACTTAGCCACCAGAGTTCTCTAGAAAGAAAGTGCCTCCCTTCAATCCTACAGTCCTGCTATCCATCAGGAGCTTTGAAGGTCTAATGCGTAAGGAGATGTGCTGTTCACCCAAAAGCAGGGAGTTTGAATCCACCAGTTGCACCATTTGAGAAAGATGAACAATCTCTTCTCATGCAATTTACCGCCTCTGAAAACCTGCTGGAGGGTCAGCTATGAGTTAGTTCCGACTGGACGGCAAATAAGGATGACACCATTGCCTATAAGGAGCTTTAATGGTAGAGTGATTAAGAGTGAAGGGAACTTTTAAAGGGGCCACCACTGCATGGAGACAGCTGAGGTGGTCAGCTTCCCTATGGTCAACTTCCCTAAGGACTTCCAGCCTTGGTGGGCCCTACTAGACTGCTCTGCTCTAGCCTGGAGTGTCACTCTGATCCAAATGGACTCTCTATCAGGGAGGCTTTAGTCCCCATAAGGAAACCACAGTTAATTGCTGAGAATAAATTCTTCTTTTTAAAAATGTTTGCATACACATGGCTATCTGTATTTATTAATGTATATATATCATTAATATTTTTTCCTAAAAATATAATCCTATTAAACATTTTGGTCTACAACTGTTTTGGTTTTTTTTTTCACTTAGTCCTATATCCTGGCTATTTTCCCAAACTACTGCCTTATCTAGTGCATGACTGTAGAATTTCCTAATGTAAGACTATATTGAACTTTAATCAGGTTTCGCCCCACCCCCCTGGTTAGTTTTTTCTAATATGTCATGATGCAATGTTTCTTCTCTGTGTCGATCTCTTGACTGATGTATCTGGTATTATTTTTAGAGAAGGGATTCCTACTATCAGGGCTGCTGAGTCACAGATGATGTGCATTTTAAATGTGAAAAGATATTGCCAAGTTTCCATCCAAAATGATTGCACCCATTTAAATTCCTGAGAACAGTATGTGAGAGTGCTTCCCTGAAGGGTGTGAAGTCATAGGCTTAGTCATTGTCAGGTGAATGGATAGGTCCAAACAACTTCTACTGGGGGCAGGGGCAACTGGGCAAACAGCTTAGAAAAGATGACTCAGGGAATGTTGGGGTGTCAAGGAGTCCAGGTTCCTTGGGACCAAGGGACGAGAAGCACACCGAGAGGAGGGTGGGGTGACACTGAGCTGGACCTGCCTGCATGAAAGAAGAGTGGGCAGGATGCTGCTGTCCCACTTTCTGGGAACACTGGACCATGTGCCCACTGGGAAATTTTGCTGATAGACAAAGGGTGCAGTGTCCTTTGGAGAGCTGGCTGCCATAATGGTGCCATCATCACATAGATATGTAGCTTAGGGCAAGGAATGCATTATGTTGACCCTCCACACAGACCAGAATGCTGAGCTCCACCCTGATTTCCAGGACGCTGCCCCCCTGTGAATCAGGATGTCTTGGCTTCTGATCCCTGAGGAGAAGAACTTTATCCAGCCCCAACTGTGGTCAGACAGAAGGGTCTCCCCGTATGCAGAACATTCTCTGGTAGTCATGACTCACTTGAGCCTCAGAATAAAAAAAGGATGGCTTTCCTGTGAGCTCAAGGAAGTCCTTTTATTGTCTAATTATGATTAGAGTGATGTTTACAGACCACACATTCAGCGTTCACACTCATTTTGTTCTAGAACATTAAATCACAGTCCCCACAATGTAACTGCACTCTCCCCACTTCCTCCCTGTAATTCTGATTTCCATCATTCCTTCTTGGAAGAATGATTTTTCCCTTTCTTTAACGTGCTGATCCTTCTCTATGGGACACTGCCTTTCCCTTTACTCATCTTAAAGTGTCTGCTTATGCCTCTGTCTCCCTCTTGCATGCAGTGTCTTACATCCTTTCCCCTCTCATAAGTGATCAGAAACAGAAACACTGAGCCAGTCAACAAGCACAAGTTCTGTGAATGGCCAGAGCCCGTCTTCCTTTACCCCATCTTCCTCGCCAGCCTTTGAAGCTCAGGGTTTTTTTGTTGTTGTTTGTTTGTTTGTTTGTTTTGAAGCTCAGGGTTTTGTAAAATCTGATGGATACTAAAGGGCTTACTGTGACTCACTGGCTGCTTCAGCCAAAGGATTTTCTTTAAAGTGCTTTGCCTTTTGCCTTTTTAAACATCACAGAGTACATCTGAGAAATCATAGGATGCTGGCTGAAGAAATGAAGCAACACTGCATATTGCATAGCAGCTAAAGAGCCCTGGTGGCAGAATACATTAAGTGTTTGGCTAATAACTAGAAGGTCAGCAGTATGAACACGCCAGCTGCCTCTCAGGAGAAAGAGTGTCTTCTTCTGTTAGGATTAATAGCCTCAAAACCATGACCGATGTTCGCCATGAATCAGAACCAACTTGCCAGCAGTGGGTTTGGATTTTGGTATGCTTCCGCTTTAAAGAACAAGGTAGTTCTTTCTGTCTTCCTACAGAATAATCTCTAATATATACGCAATACTGTTTAAAGAGCCCAAAAGTACACATATGCTTTGTGCATGTTTACCAGGAAACTGTAACCCTGGCTGCCTCTAGAAGTGAGAGTGGAAGAGATAGATTTTGGTTTGTTTGTTTCCTTTCTGTCTACACCCTTTGATACATTTGGAATTTTATATCTTGGTCTGTGTTTGGAAAAGGACATGCTTGGAAAAGCAGAAGGTCAAGCAAACAGGGAAGACACTGAAAAAGATGGACTGACACAGTGACTGCCGCCAAGGATGCAGGAGATTGTGCGGATGGGGCAGGACAGAGAGGGTTCTGTTCTGTCTTATGTGGGGTCACTGTGCGTCAGAAATCACCTGACAGCACCTAGCAATTTCTTGGCCATAAGATATCTATCTTTTTTTTTTAAAAAAAGCACAACAACAACAACAAAACCCAACCAACTAAAACTAGAAAAAAACCCTAACCCCAATTAAAAACTTTCCAGAGTAAAATGTAAAAATCTTTGAAAGTCCTACACAAAAATCCACCTGTCAGAGAGCAGCTGGAACCCTCCAGTGACTCCACAGGAGAATGATGGACCTTTGTTCTGGAGTGATTTACAGCCTGGAAGCCCAAGGTCAGCCGGGAGTCAGTTCTGGCTCAATGGCAGTGAATAGGAAACAAATAGAAATAAAGGACACAGGGGGAGAAACGAGGAGTTTTAAAAGCAAGGCAGGCAACTTTGCTTTGCAGGGACACATGGTGTGTCACATTTTGACCTGCAGGCCTGCAACTGACTGTGTCCAATGAGAGTTTCATCTTTGAGAACATCACCATCTCTCTGACGTGGCTCCTCTCTCCCTACAGTGGAAAACTGTCCTGTATAATTAATATGGGAGATGGACACATTCTTGACCCCTACTATCCCCCCAGGTAAGAGGAATCACTGAACCTCAATTCTGGTTGTATCGGTGAGTTTGTGATTCATAACGGACAGTATGAGAACTTAGTGACTTAAAACAGCAATCTCTTGCTCATGGTCCTTTGGGCCAGCTGGGTGGTTCTCCTTGCCAGGGCCGGTTCAGCGAGGGACGAGGGGCATGGACAGGCCTTCCTCACATGTCTGATGGTTAGATGGGTGTCAGCTCCTGGCAGGTGTCTTTCATTACCCAAGTGACTAGCCTGGGCTTGTTCACACACTGGAGAGAGAGTTCCTAGCAGTGCAGTGAGCTTCAACATGCAAGCACTCTCTATTCCAGTCTTTGCTTGTGTTCTGTTTCCTAATGTCCCAAAGTGACTTCCGCTGCCAAGCCAACCCAGATGAGAAACAGACTGGCAGACGGAAGGAATGGCAGAACTAAACTCAGGGGATCTACGTGAGCCCCAGAGCGAGTCAGTGGAGAAAAGCCAGCGGAACCAGCTGCTTGACTTCCTCCTGCTCAGTGTTTTCTCTGTCATGACTGTTAGCTGGGTTGAGTGAGTCAAACTCATGGTGACCCTTGTTATGGAGAAGACCTGCTCCTTATGGGTTCCTCTCTCATCGCTTAAATGGAGTAGCTCTCCAGGCCTTTTCTTCCACTGTCCCCCTGGGTGGATTTGATCCACAAATGTTCAGGTGTAACAGTTGAGTTCAATAGTATGCACCGAGGAACCTTATTGCTACCCCTTTTCATGTCCTCCTGGACATGTCAATGTAATCTTCCAGAGTTCTAAGAGCGTAGGTTGGCCATGCAGTAACTTATTTCTTAGTCAAGTAGGAAAGCGTGAGGTGCATGAGTGCACACATACGTGTGTGAACGTGCATGGCCAGCGTTGGTCACATTCCTGACAGTTTGTCCAGCAATGTGACCCACCAGTTCACATCTCCCGGGGAGTTCACCGTGTTTGCTGAGTGCACCACCAGCGAGTGGCACGTGACAGTGCAGAAGCAAGTGACCATGCGAGCCAAGATGCAGCGACTCAGCGTGACTGGGTGTTCCAACCTATATACATCTGGGAAGAGCCCTCTCTGTCGAACCGTCTTTGGAGACCCTCTCTGGATTCAGGTGGAATTCGATGGAGGTGAGTGCTCCAAGTTTGATCTATTTTGTTATTGATAAGAACACATACAGCAAAATACACACTCATTCAACAGCTTCTACAAGGACAATTTAGTGATATTGATTACATTCACTGAATTGTGCAACCATCCTCTCTCTCCTTTTCAAGGATGTTCCTCCTTCACTAACATAAACTCACTGCTTCCTAATATTCCTACGTAATCTTGCAAGTTGCTGTTGTCAACTTGACTCTGTCCAGATAGTTCTTAAAAATATCTCATGCTTAAGGTAAAGCTTTTTACTAGGTAAGCTAAACTACTGTTTTGTTTGAAGATGATTTCCAGGGATATTTTTTGTTTAAGGTTTAAAGATTATCTCAAGGTAAGTTTCAGGGGTTCATCCACCCTCCCTGGCTCCAGAAGTTCGCAAAGATTTGAAATTCTGTTCTGCATTTCTACTCTTTTGATCAAGATTCTTCAGAATCAAAGATGCTGCAGGATCACTGATCAAAATGTTCAGCAAGGGTCTCGTGGCAATGGAGGCAGTTGTTCATGGAGTCCACTAGCCATTCCTTATTCCCTATACTCTCCTCTTACTCCAACTTCACCTGGTTCTTCCATAGTTTCAGGTGAATAGAGATCAATTATTGTGCCCTGGATGGCCACTTGAAAGTTTTTAAGATTCCAGGAACTATGCGGTGAACGAAGAGAACAGAAATATTGAGCATGTTGTTAGTAATGAACTGAGATGCCCTATGATCTTAAACCTTAAGTGAAAGAACCAAATCCCATGAGGTAGTTGGTTATAAATAGGCTCAGTAGTTTCTCTTTTTAAATATTTTTGTCATTATTGTAACTATAACTCGAGGTTGCTGTGATGCTAAACACTGTGACACTGATGTCACAGATGGGATAATGGTTACGCAAGGTGGATAGTGTTTGGTGGAGCTCCCTGATTAAAACAGACTTGGAATCAGGAGTGGCATCCACTTCTAAAGCAGCTTCCCTCCGGAAACTCTATGAACTTAGAGAAACGAGGAAAGTTATAGTGGTGTTCAGGTCTTTCATTCGTAGTGTTGCTATGAGTCGTTTATGACTTGATGTCACTTAACAATATTTTAATTTTATCTGCCATATAACTTTCACTAGTTTAACTTTTTTATAAGAGTAAACGGTGTAGATAGCCTTTTCTTGTCTATTTATATAAGTATGGTTGCATAATATTTGTGCTTTTATGACAGGCTGATTTTGTTCAGAATGTCTTCCTGCTCCACCCATACTGCAGCATTTATCTATCTAGATGTCACTTCTCCTAGTGATGTAGTAGTATTCCATTGCATACGTGTACTACATTTTGTTCCATTCATCTGTTAATGGCATTAGGCTGTTTCTGTCTTTTGGTTAAAGTGAATAATGGTGCAATTAATACTGATGCATGTAAAATCCTTCATAATGGGCTCCAAGTCCTTTCATCAAACTCCTACCAGTTATGTCAAGTAAATTCTCACACACAGTGCTGTCATGTTAGAGCCATCTCACTCTTCTTGTTGTTAGGTACCATCAAGTTGATATGGCTCATAGAGACCCTACAGACAACAGATCAGAAGCTTGTCCTATTCTGTGTCATTCTCACAATCTCCATCATATTCAAGTTCACAGTTGTTGCAGTCATGTGTAACAGTTCCTATGGCTGGAGACTATCCTGATCGGTCAGTGTCTTTTTAAGCTGGCTCAGAGGCTCTTCTGATTGGATAGCTTGTCTATTTTGAGTAATAAGGGTATCCATTCTGGTTCTTCATGGTATCCATTCTGACTGGTCAGTGTCTATTCTGATCCACCAGAGAATCCATTCTGATTGACACAGTTTTAGTTCTTAAATATTTTAAGTATTATTTTCTTAAATATTTTAAGTATTATTATTGCTCTCCATAAAGAACTCCCTTGCTGAGACCTGCTGTCACACAGAAGAGCATCTTTCATCAAAACAGAAACTTAGAGGGAGGTACGTCGATGTAAACAGTGGCAATGAGGACTTGTCTCAGAACTCACATGCTACTCGGGGCCTCATTCACAGTCTCACTCGTAATAACTTCATGGAGCTCTAAAGTGGCTTTCACAGAGCTCCCGGACATACTTTCTGTTCTTGTAGCCTCCTTGGTTGAAGATGGTCAATACAGACAATTAGGGAAATGTAAGATAATAATAATTTCTTTATTCCTTCAAATATAATTTAGAGCCCAATCTTTTGACAGGTGCTGGGGAAGTGGGAATAAACATGAACATGAGGGTCTTGCTATCATGGAGATGATATCATTTTCATCGTCTCTGTCATCATCATCTTTATCAGACAAACCAAACGGCTTGTCTCTTCTGGTGGAAAGAACTCTACTTTGTGGGTTTAAACCAGATTTTTAGAGTCAGCCATAATATCCAAAATCTAGTTAGGACAGTCAACCAGACTCTAAGGGGCCACCCATCCCAGTGAGAACATGAATTCTCATGTTGGCAGGGCTTCAGAGTCATCAGTGGATTTCAAAGCAACTGAGTTCACTTGCTCAGGTTGGAAAGAAAATTTAAGATTAATCTCAGGCTTGAAAACAAGCCCTTAACTATCCACTGCTACTCAGTGCTTCTCCATTGTACATGTGCCAACAATTACCAAGGGACTTAGTTAAAATGAAGATTCTGAATCAATATGTCCAGGTTGGGTTTTAAGACTCAGCATTTATAACAAGCTCCAAATAGTATCGATGCTGGTGGTCCAAGGACCAGGCTTTGAGTCTTAAGGCTCTAAGGCTTGACTTTAAAGGATGGACTCAAATCACTCCCTCTTTCCTACCCCCTAGGAGCGTTAGTGGTGTGGTCCACAGTGAGTTGCACTGCTATGTATTTCCAGGGGTTCAAATCCACCAATAGCTCTGAGGGAGAAAGATGGGCATTTTCCATTCCGATTGGCCACCTTGGAGACTTGATGGAGGGTTTCTCAAGAGTAGGTGCTGAGTCAAAAGCAGTGGGGTGGTCTGGGTTTTTCAGTCCCCCCTCCTTGCTGCACCACTACATAGTCTGTGTTTAGTTTCTCATTTGTGATATCATGATTCCTTCAAGCCTTCTAAACACACACTGGCTTTGGAAATTTACTCTACATGGCAGGAAGGAGGCAGTGGGGAAGGAAATGGGGGCCCACATCCACAATCAGTTGTAAGTAGCCAGTGAGCTGACTGACTCACAGCAAATCAATGAGCAACAGACTGCGACCTTGCCCTATCCTGTGCCTTCATGCTCAAGTCTCTGTGCCAATCCATCCCACTGGGGGCCTTCCTCTCTTTTGCTCTTTTCCTTACCTTCTTTCTACCTTCCTCAGCGCAATGACTTTCTTCAGGGACTGGTCCTTCCTGGCAACATGTCCAAAGTATGTGAGATGAAGCTTCACCATTTTTGCCTGTAAGAAGTACTTTGGTTGCACTTCCTCCACGATCTGTTTGTTTGTCCTGTTGGCATTCTATGGCACATCCCACACTCTTTGCCAACACCACTATTCAAAGGCATCAATTTTTCTTCTGTTATCCATCCTTATTTATTGTCCAGCTTTCAGCTGCATAAGGAGCAACTGAAAATACCATGGCTTGAATCAGGTCCACCTTGGTCTTTAAACTGATACCTACAGCCTTTCTAGCCTTTGAAAAAATCTACTGGAAGGTCAGCTGTGAGTTGGTTCCAATGTGATGGCAATGAGTTTGAGATTTTTCTGTAGTCACACTATAATCGGTGGGTTGTTGACTGGTTGACAGATGACAATGAGGACTTAACTGTTACCAACATTTTAATATTGTTTATCCACCTAGGAACAGGAGTGACTTACACTGTGCTGTCGGGTAACATAACCCTGACAGAGTGTACCACCTCGAGGGGCCCATGTCCCTGCAATGTGACACTGGACAGAGGAGCCCAGCAGTTGATGGGTGCGGGGATGCACCACTTGGAGATACGAGCCACAAGCAACACCACCACTTCTGTACTCTCCAGCAATGTCACTGTGCACCTCCTGGAGCCCTTGTTGGGACTGCAGGCCTCGTGGGCTTCCGACCACTTGGAACTTGGCCAGGACCTGTTGATCAACATCTCAGTGGCTCAGGGCACCCCTGAGGAGCTGATCTTCTGGGTGATTGGACTCAATGCCAACTTCTCCCACAAAGAAGAGACCTCTGGGGAGCCATTTGGAATGTACCATGTGGCAGTTCCTGTTGAAGGTACTTTGGGCTGGTGACTCTCCTTCCAAACTTCCCTGCCCTTTGCTTTCTTACTTGGTGCCTGAGATCTTACTAGTCAGTTTTTTGGTGTGTCCTGGATATAGACATAATCCTTAGCCTCCAGTCTGGGTCACAGTATAAGTAAGAGCTGGATATCACCTGTCCTCGTGGAGCTTAGAGACACAGGTTCTCAACCTCAGCATGACTGAGATTGGAGGTTCAATATTTCTTCAAGTTGGGGGATGTTCTGTGCATGTTAGGATGCTGAGAAGCATCCCTGGCTCATTAGTCACAATAATTTTAAAAAGTCTTGAGATATTGACAAATGTCCCCTGTGGCGTGAGGAAAATTGCCTTAGGCTGAGAATCACCAGAAGAGAACGGGTGCATTCTGATTCCTTCCATCCTCTAGAGGGCAAAGTGGTTTGAGGCTGCAATCTGTGTCGTATAGGGAAAGATAAATAACAACGGAGAGGTGGCGAGCTAGGGGTCAAGAGGAGAAAGAGTCATCCTGCTACGATAGAGAACAGAGATCAAGTGGCCTGGCTGATGGGAGGACAGGCTGGCTGAGGGACAGAATGACTGAGAGAGAGAGACTGTCTGACTAGGGGACAGACTTACTGGCAAGCACAGTCATTAAATCTGGAGGCAATGGTGATTCTTGACATGGAGGGGTCATCAGGCAGGAATGTGATGGAAATCTCAGTGTCTTGAGCCCACCCACAACCCTGCCTCTCATATCTCAGAGGTTTGAAGGAACAGGGCTGAGATTCTATGCAGGTGTGGAGTTACCATGCACTCAACAAATGACGTGGCAAGAGAGGTGCCAGATTTGAGGAGAAAAACACTTGAATTCTGCCACGGTCCCAGGGTCCAGCTTAACACACAAAGGTTCCATAGGTCACCCAAACTGGAAATCAAACAAGCACAGTGCACATGATATCATCCACACTTCTTTTTGCCCCAAACTGCTTTTTAAAATGCACTAAGTGTGGAAGTTTTCCCTTGCAAATAGATCCTATCTTCGCATGTCCTATAACTTTTCCTCCCTTTACTCTCAGATTTTTACTCCCCTCTAAAGACCAACAGATGAGCGCTCAAGGGTAAGGAGGTAAGGAAGAGGGGAAAGGAAGCCACCTGGTCGTGTGTGGTACTGGCCCAGTGTTGGCTGGCTTGCCACACTGGAAGCTGCCTCTTATAAGAAATTCTGTGGGCTCCTGAGGCCCCCTGCTGGGCATGATGCAGTCCAAGTGCAGACTGGATTCATGATTCCCAGTGGCACCATTAGCATCTTCTTGCTAGTCAGGGCAGGAGCAGTACTGTCATTGGTGTCCTTGATCCTTCTGCAGTCAGAGTGCCAACCTGTGCTGGAGACTCCATCCTTCCTCCTCCTTCTCCTCCTCCTCTTCTTCCTTGCTTCTTGTTCCTCCATGACCCTCTGTGTCTGATGACAGTTGTAGAAACTAGTTCTTCCCTTAGAACAATGCAGGACTCTTCCACACAGGTTATGGTTACAGCATGAGCTGTGAGGCAATGTAAGGTGATGGTCCTGAGTAGGCTCGCTCAGAGCAAATCGAACCATTAACCACAACATCCTCGACTCTCTCCATTTCCTTTCTCCCTGCAGGCACCTTCCTGGTCACCGTGCTGGTGAGGAATGCCTTCTTCAACACGAGTTTGGTGGTCGGAAGCATCACTGTCTCAGGCAAGTGGTTTCTGTGAGGGGCCTGAAACTTGTTCTAAGGAACCACAGACAGTGCATGTACCTGAACCCAGTGAGGGACACCTTGGAGCAGTGCTCTGAACAATCCCCCTTGACCTGCAGATAAGAAGACGTCTGTGGTTACTCAAAGAGCCAATGATGTGTGCAGTAAAACGTTGAACCACTGAAAAAGAATTCTATAATGTTCGAATGTATACCAGTTACGATGCTGTAGTCTTAAAGTAATAGAAAGTCAAGCCCAAGTCAAGTCTTATGTTCAGGGCTTTACTATTTCAAATCATAGAAAGCTAAGAGAGAATAAGTACTCCAGCTGGCCAGTGAGGATGCAGGCTCAGATTGTATTTCTGCTCTGCCTTCCTGAGAGCTTTGGCTTTGCCTTTAAGCTTGTCTCTCCTGGAATCAAGATGTGTGCTGCAGCTGCAGACACTGCATGCCAATTCAACATTATCCAGACGCAGGAGGGGGTGAGGCATTTTCTCCTGAACACTACTTTTTTTGTCCATGGAAGAAAGCTTTCCCATTGGCCTCTCACAGTCTTCCCCTGAGACGCCACTGGATAGGGTCATGAATTCCAGCTTCAAGGGATGCTGGGAAAGAAACATCCAGCATTTTCAGGTTCCATGAGGGAAGGTGGATTCCACAGCCAAGAGTAAGCAAATGGTACTGGGTGGCTAGCCATCAGCAACAGCCCCAGAGCTCAAGATCATTTTGAATCTGTTAGCCAGGAACCAGAGCAGCAAAGAACAAAAATGCAGTTCTGGTAAAAAGAAACTGACCCCCTCCAAGGAAAGTCTGCTCCTAGGGTAGATCAGACTCCCAGCATTGATACAGTTACTGTAACAGTGGCTCTTGCATCTCAGAGATCATGGCGATGGTGCAGGAGAGGGCAACATTCTGCTCTGTTGTTCATGGGGCCACTGTGAGATGCAGTCTACTCCATGGCACATACCACCACCACCAACTTAAGAACTCCATGTTCAGTGAGGTCAGTGGGCAGCCTGAGGCCAGTCTCGGTGGGACTATTTGCACCATGGAAATTAACAAACACTAAAAGCTAGGGAAGACACTGCTGATCTAATGATAGGGTTCTCACCTTCCATGTAAGAGGTCTCTGGTGGCTTACTGATAAGGAATTGTGCTGCCAATGCAAAAGTACATGGTTCAAATCCATCAGTGGCTCCATGGAAGAAAGATGGCTATCTCCTTCCATGAGATTGACTGCCTCTGAAAACCCACTGGGCCAGTGAGGGGTGGTTCTGACTCAAGGATACACAACAACAACCACATGCAAGAGACTTGGGTTTGATTTCTGGTTGTCACCTTACGTTGTTACCCACCTCATGAATAACAAATAACCACTGAATTTGAATGGCTTTGAAAGGCCTTGTTATTTATAGGGAGAGCCCTATAGATCACAATGTCCTGCTTCACAGAGGACAGCACAGGACCAGGTTGGTTTTCATTCTGTTGCATGTGGGGTTACCATAGTAAACAACAACTAGAAGGGAACTAAGTCTTGGGTTTTATCTCTGCAGACAACTGCTTCTTCCTTAATGACACAAGTTAGGTCTTTAGCCCAGTGTTGAACTTAGTGTACTAGTTTTGGCCCCATAACCTGAATATCTCCTTGTGCTATGAGCTTTTGAGTCAGAACCAACTCATAGCTGACCTCCCTGGGTTTTCGGAGGCAGTAAATATCATGGGAGGAAAGTGTCCATCTTTCTTCCAAGGAGCAGCTGGTAGATTTGAACTGAGTGCCTTTGTGATTGCAGTATAGCTTCTTACCACTAGTTCTCCTAAACTCCTTCCACCCCCAAAGTTTAACAGTCATCCTACTGTGTTCACAGCTCCACCCAGTCTCCAAGAACCACTGGGAACAAAAGCCACAGAAAAGGATGTGAGTATGTTCTTTTACACTTTTAGCCTTATGAGAAAAAGATGTCCAAGCATCCTGTTTTAATTTTTCAGGGGTTTTTGGTGCTAATACCCAAATAAATTGGGAATCTCCAAGGTTTCCCCCACTTGAAAAACTTTCAAAAGGATTGAAATCACCCAAAAATATGTTCTCTTGCTACGATATGATTTGACTAGCCATCAAAAATAATGACCTATCCAGAATTTCTAGATGTTCCTTAAATATCTTGAAGATAAAACAGCACACTAAGTCTATGAGTTAAAGAAGAAATCCCAAGGAAGATTAAAAAATATTAAGAACTGAATGAAAATAAAAATAAAACCTATCCAATTTTGTAGGATGCTTTAGTACTAAAGCAGTGCTCAAGGGGGAAATTATAGCTTTAAATGCTTATAACTGAGAACAGCCAGGCTTTTTGCTAACAAGAATTTTTTATTTCTTACTATTGGCATCAATCTATCCATCCATGCAACAATAAAGATTTACAGGGTACTATAATGACCAAAGCTTGGTATTAGGTGTTGAGGATTCCATGATGTATAAAACAAATGGAGACCCTGCTTTCCTGAAGCTTAGTGGTTACGACTAATGAGCAAATTAGCATATAATTAGTAATGATGACAAGCATTCTGGCAAAACCCAATAGGATACAGAGATAGCAAGTAACAGAGAGTGGTCTGGAGAAGGCTTTTAGACAAGGTCTCTTTAGCGAAGACATTTAGGTGGGGACAGGAATATGAAAGAGTCCACTATATAGGAGAAAGTTAGACTAAGACTTTTCTTGACAGGGGCTCGGGATGAAAAGGCCTTCAGGCTGGGGATGGCCCAGGGCAGTGAGTGTGAGGAGATGTGTCCAGAGGTGGAAAAAGATCAGATTTTACAGGGACTCTGGTGCTAAGAGCAGGAACTTGGATCATATTCTGAGCCTACAGGAGGCCCTTGGGATCAAGTTCCTCTGAAGTCTCCTGTTATGCTGGGCCAAGACCTTTAGGACTGAGTAAGGGGCAGGCCAGCTTGAGCTGAATAAATAGGTCCTGCCAGAACTTCCTCCAGGAAGTGTCCCCTCCTGATCACTCTTCCTTGTCAATACCTCTACACATCCCCTCCATTGTTGCTTAACATACCCCTGCTCTTCCTCCTTTAAGATGGTTCTGGTCTCCGCTCCTCTGGTGAATCTTGCCCCTACACCTGCTGTCTGATGGATAACTAGAAGAGTTCTGAGTGTTTCCCCTGTGCCAGAATCAGTGTATGTCCATTTAATCCACAGCAACCCTGGGTATCAGATGCTATCAGACTGTGGGAGGACCTGGACGAAGGTCACAGGGCTATTGATCTGGTCTCACATCTGGCTGATGACCCCCAGGCTTACACTCCTTACCCTGTGGCCTCTGTTTTCCACACTCTCATGACCCTCTGGGTTCTCCTTTCTGTCACAACTATCACTTGGTATTTCAACTTCCTGTCTCTCTTCTCTATAGGGCCAGATGTGAGTGTATGCACATATGTGTGTATTGTTAAAGTAATCTATAACAAAAAGTTAGTAATTTTAACCATTTTGTGGTGTATAATTCAGCGACATTAATTAATTACAGGTGAGCAACAATCATCCCCATTCTCCATTTCTAAAAATCTTACATCAATTCAAACAGAATCTCAGTATCCTCATAAGCAGTAATCCCCATCTTCTCCTGCCTCAGCCCTTAGCTACCAGTGATAAAATCTGGTCTCTATGCATTTGCCTATTCTAGAAGGCATACAGTTCAAATCCACTAGCTGCTCCGAGGAAGAAAGACAGGTAATCTCTTCTTGTTAGATTTACAGCCTTTTGAAAACCTGCTGGAGGATCAGCACTGAGTGAGTTCTGACTCAATGACACACAACAACAATAACATATGTTTCAATTAGTCAAAGGACCACACAGTATTTATCCTCCTGAGCTGTTGAGGATATGAGCTGAGCAGGCTCTGTTAACACCGCTGAGTCCACGCTGGTCCCAGAGCACTAAACCCACCTCCTAACTCAAGGGACCTACCTGGTGACTAAAGCCACGGTCTCCATTTTCTTGAGGGGAGGCCAGGTGAATCCGATGGGGTCTGCCTCATCTGATGCCTTCAGCATGGGCCGTTTTGGGGCCAGATGCTCTGGGTGGTTGTTCGGAGTGCAGTGGTGACACTGGGCTACTTGTTGAGGCTCACCTCCTCAGCTGACTACCTTTTTTGCAGAAAGAGGAAGGAGGCGTTGAGGTATATATTGAACCTGGCCGATTTGTGGATCCTTTCACAACCGTGACTCTGGGCTGGCCGGACAAGGACGAGAGTTTACACTTCCAGTGGTCATGTGGTAGGTACTTTTTGAGTTCTGGAGGTTGTCCAGTCTCTAAGAAAGACTCATTTCCCCAGAAGTTCTACCAGCAAAACACTAGAAATAATTGTTGTTGTTATGTGCCATCGAGTCATTTGCGACTCATAGTGACCCTACGTACAACAGCCCTAAACCATGCTCTATCCTGTGCCAATTGCATTGCCTCTGACACACCCATTCCGATTACCCCAGTCACTGAATCAATCCACTTCATAGAGGGTCTTCCCCTCCTACGCCGTCCCTCCACCCTCCCAAGCATGATGTCCCTTCTCCAAGGACCTGTCTCTCCTTACAACATGTCCAAAGTATGTCAGACGAAGCCCCAGAATCCTTGCCTCCAAGGAGTAGCCTGGTTTAACCCTCTCTAGGATGAATCTGTTTGTTTTCTTGGCAGTCCATGGTACATTCAATCCTCTTCTCCAGCACCACAGCTCAAAGGCGTCAATTCTCCTTCTATCCTCCCTAGTCATTGTCCAACTCTCTGATGCACAACAAGTGATTGCAAAGACCATGGCCTGTATCAGGAGCACCTTATTAGGGAAAAAAATTGAATTCAAAGTCTCTGTTTGGAGCACATTTTCTGATCCATTGTCCACTGCTTCCCAAAGTCCAAGACAAGAAGGTGTGGCAGTGGGGGTTTCCCAGTAAGGCTCAGGGGTGGGAATAACATTTGCCTGTTACATGTTTCTCAGGCTGGTGCTGGGCTCAGTGGAATGACTGTGTTCAGAGGCGGCTCCTCCACACAGAACATAGGGAGCTGGTAGTCCCACCGGGCTGCCTGCCACCGCCGGACTCTGCCGTGACCCTGAGCCTGACTGTGTGGAGAGGCCAGCAACTGGTGGACAGTCAGGAGCAGTGCTTATACGTGGCCGCACCCCAGGAACTCAGCCCTCAAGTCAGGTGGGCTCTTGGGCACCCCCTCCCCAGTGCTGACATCCATCCACTTCACAGCCTTTCCTGCGGTCCTGGCTGAGGCTGCCACTGCTCCAGTGGTGAGCAAAGTCAGGCAGGCCTCAGTCTTCAAAGGAGTGCTGACAGCACATGGGTTAGCACACCGGCTGCTAATGGAAAGGTTAGCAGTCTGAACCTCTCACCTTGACAGGAAGATATGCCACCTGCTTCTCTAAAGGAAACGGCTTTGGAAATACTGCAGGGCAGGTCTACTCCCTAGAGGGTCAGCAGGAGTGAGAATTGACTTGAAAGTGATGAGTCTACCTTGGTGGACACCTGCCTGTTCCCCACAACACATCGCAGGTGCAAAAGAACCCTCGCACATCCTACGCCCTGCTCGGAGTCTGGTGAGATCAGATGCTCCCTCCAACCACAGGGGCTATTACTGTCCTGGGCGACCACTCTCAGAAGGGGATGCTGGAAGAGGGCACACTTTGTGACAGCTTCCCAGGCCGGGCTTCGGGAAGGCTTCTCTCAAAAACTGGGAGTCAAGCAGAGATGGAAAGATGAGAATGATGCAAAGCCGGCCGTATTAAGCGCCTCCTGGTCCCCAATCCTGCTGTATGCCTCCCCGTCCCCTTGATGCAAGTCACTGGTCCATAAAACCCCATAGATCCTGCAGGTTTACTTACAGTCCTGAGCAGGGCAGATAAGCTCTCATTTTTAGTTTGAGAATTCTAATATGCCACTCGAGACTCTGTTTCATTGACTATGCAAAGACACCCTGAACCCAGCTGCATGGATCGTAACAAATATGGGTAGCATTGAGAAGAACAGAGAATTCCAGGACGCTTAATTGTTGTCATATAGAACTTACACAGTGATCAAGAAGGAGCCATTCAAACAGAATAAGGGGTACTGCTTAATTGAAAATCAGGACCGGGGTATGTCAGGTTGTATCCTTTCACAACACTTAATTTATCTATATGCTGGGCAAATAATTCAAGAACCTGAACTATATTAAAGAGTGTGGCATCAGATTGGTGGAAAATTCATTTAACATGTAGATGTTAACCTGTAAAATGCAGACCTTTCAAAAGTGCTAAAGAGCAATGATGTTAATCTGAAGACTAGGGTGCATGCACCTGATCGAAGCCATGGTTCCCTCAACTGCTTGTTATGCATCTGAGAGCTGGACAATAACTAAAGACAACAGAAGAAGAACTGATGTCTTTGAGCCATTGTGCTGGAGAAGAGTATTGAACATACCATGGACTGCCAAGAGAACAAATAGGTCTGTCCTGGAGAGGGTGAAACCAGGTTGCACGGTGTCCAGCTCTAATGTTGCAGCATGAGTTTACTATTGAAATTGGAAAGAATTACAGAGACACGCTCTCTCTGCAGGAAACGAGGCTGAGGCTCAGGGAGTCCCGCACCTTGTCCCAGAGTGGACGCTCCGAAGTCAGCCTTCTTTGATTTCCACTCGTGACCCTCAGGAATGAGTGAAAGTGGGCATGGTCAGAGTAGGGGGAATCTCTCCACCTTCAGGACCAAGTCTACGTCCCTGTCCAACTGGAGTAGCGTGTCTTTTAGCCCAATGTCCTCTTGAGAAGAACAGAAAGACCAGGCAGGTGGTAGCGGAGCCTGAGCCCCATCCTCACTTGGCTTTTTGTCTCCTTTCCAGCTGTGAACAAAACTGTGGGTCAGTGAGCACGGACAAGGACATCGTGCTGCGGGTCACGATGGGAGGCGGTGACCCCAGGGCCACCTTCAGCTGGTATTTAGATGAGACCTCGGCAGAGAAGGTTTGGGTGCTTGCTTTACTCACACGTAAAAACCTTTCCCTCATCTGACCCACCCAACTTGGGTGACAAGTCCTGAACGGATCCCAGGTCACCAGGCCTCTCAGAGTTCTTGACAGGAGGTGGGAATCGAGGCTCAGAGCAGGTACTGCCACACAGGGATAAGCAGAAGCCCAAACAGGGAGAATGCTACAAGATGGAAGGTGCCCCAGACAGCTCCCCCGACCAGATCAGTGGGTGAACTCTCATTACCCTGGAGTCCCCAGGGTGGTGACTGACAGATGTGGGGTCTCATGGCCCACCCATTATGTCTGAGAGGCACAACTCGCCCTCCGGAGTCCCTGCAGGATGAGGCCGAGGTGGTGCCTCCTGCGAGCATGACCATCTGGCTTTGTTTTCTGTACTGTCTGTCTTACTCCCTGCATTCCCCTTCTGGTCTCCACAGAGATCTGCCCCCCAATAAATGAGCTACACTTGAAACTCCGTTCTGCTTCAGGGAACCCTGGCAAGTCCTCCAGCCCTATTTAGACTGGGGACTGCCCTCTGGGTGCAGTGGGGCCTACAGTTTATACTGAGTCCAGCCTGAAGCCCTATCCCTTTACCCAGCCCAGGCCCTGATGATGCTCTTTTCCAGGTCCAGCCCCTCCCAGCTGCCTGCGCACTGGGGGGATTTTGGCCCAGTTCCCTGACCCTGCTCCAGAGCAATGCCTCCACGCTGCGCCTCAACACCTCCTTCCTGCAGACACAGGCAGAGGGTGTGCACCTCAGAGTCACAGGTATGACGCCTTCTTCAGAGTCACCTGCCTTCAAAGGGACCCTCGACATGCCCAGACACACTAAAATGTGGGGAAGCAGTGTAGATACGGCACAGGGCCCAGGCACCGGTGAGAAACAGCCTGGGCGCAAGTCCCACCGCCACTTCCCATCTAGGTGACGTCTCCCCGTATGTAAACTGGGGGTGGCAGGTATGCCTGCCTCATAGCTGCTATTTGTCTGAGCTGGTTCTGACTCAAAGCAACCTCACGTACCACAGAACAAACCCTGTCAGTCCCATGCCATCCTCATGACTGAATCTATGTTCAAGTCCGTGGCTTCCACCACTGTGGTGATCTATGGCACTGGGCACTTCCTCTTCTGCCTCATTTTCTATTTTCCCAAGCGTTAAGGCCTTCTCCAGAGACTGGTCCCTCCTATAACATGCCCAAAGTTTATGACAAAGCCTAGCCATTCTTGCTTCTCAGATTATTCTGGCTGCACTTCTACTAAGACACACTTATTTGTTAGTTTGGCAGTCTAAGCATTAATCAATACTCTTTGACAACACTACATACAAATCAAAGGTCTCATTCCTCTTTGTTCTTCCTTCGTCACTGTGCAACTTTCACATGTGTATGAAGCAACTGTAAATGTCAATGGCGAGCGGAGGTGTCCCTTGTGTGGGTAGCTGCTATCAGGAAGAGTTAACATAGTGATGCACGCAGATGTGGGTGAACAAACAGGGCATCGCAGTACTTCTGGGTTAGAACAAACTGCGTGTGGAGCACAGAGATCTCCAGGAAGACAAAGGGCTGTGTGGTTAGTCTTTCAGGGAGGGTTCTTTTGACTCTTCAGCGATCACAGCTGTCCACAGACTATCTATACCACAGGACTTACTACCTTCAGCTCCTGCTGAGTCAGCTCTGACTCACATGCCCTTTACATACAACAGTCCGACTCCTCCCCCATTTCTCTCTGTAACTCATGGGAGGTTTGAATCCATTATTGCAATTAGCATGTTAACCCATCTCACCCAGCGTTTCCTTCATTCGTGTTCACCTACTTCACCAAATCTGACGTCCTTTTCTAGTTACTGGTCTCTCTTGATGGCATGTTTAAAGTAAGTGACTCCCTGCAATCTTGCCATCCTCATTTATAAAGGCTTTCTGTCTGGAGCCTTCTGGCCAGTCTTTCAATTTAACCTTGGATGCTAGTGAAAAAGTACATCCCCTGTTTGTCCCCACACCTTCTGAGTACAGTCTAGGTGTCCTGCAGGTCAGCTGAGGCCCGCTGGCAGTGCTGTGGGATCCTGGGAAGGGCACGGACGCGCAGGTGGGCTCAGGAAGCCAAATCCTGGCCCCGACCCTTAGCTCTCTGATCCTAACTCAGTCACTGTCCCCCAGTATCCTTACTCCTCAGGAAAGCTCTGTCAACGTGTCATCATTAGCCCTGTTTCACAGGTAAGGGACTGACTCGCAAAAAGGGAACACCCAAGACCGCATGGCTTTTAAACAGCACACTGGGGTTCAAGCTCAGGTCAGCCTGATCCTGCTTCTCCACCTGTGTGTACTCTCTCAGAGTGGGACCCTTGATCCCCCTGCACTGGGGAAAGGTGGCTGAGACACGGATTTCAGGGTCCCACCCCAGGATACCCAGAGACAGGCCACAAGTCAAGGTGAGCTTGAAGCATGATGAGAGGCATGTGGCCCACACTGCCCCTGAGCACATCCTGTCTTCCCCTCCAGCACTGGCCGGGCACGCCTACGGAGAAGACACTTATGTCATTAGCACCCTGCCTCCCCCTGAGGTGCCAGCCTGCGTCATTACCCCGGACGAGGGCACCGTCCTAACGAGCTTCGCCATCCTGTGCAGCGTCTCCATGGCCCCTGACCCTCTGGAGTACTGCTTCTGTCTGCAGTCAGGTGCGCCCCTGCCCAAGGCACTCTGCCCTGGCCACATCCTCTCCAAGAACAGGGTCCAGCTGCCTCCGGGGGCTGAAAAGAGTGTGTTCTTTGTAAGAAAGGGGTTTGGAGAAGGATGGCTCCCCTACTTTAGCCCCAAGGCCCATTATCCCCAACATCACTCAGAAACATGGCAGAGAGGTAAGGAGGAGGTTTGATTATAGCTTTAACAGGAAGCAAGGAAGTGGCGATCACTTAAAACAGAATTCTTTCTATTGCTACCTGGCATTTCCTGATTGTGTGCCCTCTGCAGGGTGGGTTAGTGACTCCAGTGATAAGGGAAATGAGCTGTGGTGATGTGGTTTGCAATATGTTACACTCACTGCCAACCAATGCTAAGGGGTCACACTTAAGGGTACAGGAGACACTTGGTGGTCCATTCATCATTTTTACCACACATGTATGGAATGCCAGGCCCTACTCAAGACACCAGGTGCAAAGCAGTGGACACAACAGAGGGCATCTTTAACCTCAGACACTCAGAGAAGGGCTATAACAAAGGAAGTATGTAAAGGAAGATTCTTTAAACATTTATCAGCTTAAATGAATAACAAACCAAAAATGCTTATAAGTAGGGTATTTCCTCCTAGATTTTTGAAAGTTCTTCCAAAGTCAGTCCAGCAGGAGGTTGCAGGGAAAGACAGTGGGTCGGGATGGGGACCTCCTTTTCCACACAGTACGAACCTAGCGGGCCGGCTGTCCTTTCCTGAGCTGTGGCTGGCCTTTCCCTCATCCAGCTCCTCTCACACTGTGTGCTTCCCTTGATTGGAGGTAGCCCTCATTGCCTCATTCCCGCTTTTCCAGGCTCCTGCCTACACTGTGGCCCCGAGCCTGCCCTCCCATCGGTGTATTTGCCACTTGGAAAGGAAAGCAGTGGCTTTGTGCTGACTGTGGTCATTTCTGTCACCAACCATGCAGGGGGCAGGCAGCAGACCCAGGCCACGGTGAAGGTGAGTGACAGCCACAGCCATTGCTCCTTGTGTTAAGATGCATCTGCAGCTACCTGGGCCTCCCCTAAAGGCAGTTGGGTAGACAACGACGCAGGGCGAGGCCTGACTCATTCCTTCACTCACTGAGTATCCTTGGAGTATCTCCCATGTGCCAGGCCTTGCCTGAGCCTCCGTCCCTACAGGTCTCATGTCTTAGTGGCCACAAGAGAGTCCTGGGATTGGGGTTAGGAAATCTTATGAGAGGAAGGACCTGAGTATGAGGGAGGTCCATGCCTTTGGAGAGTTCCAAGAAAGGAGCCAGGAGACCAGGATCCGCTTACAAAGCTACAAGACAGAGGCAGGTCAGTCCTGGAGCACAGCCTGGTGCAAGGGGCAGGGACGGAGCATGACTCAGACAGTGAGGGGAAATGAAGACTTGTCCAAGGCTGTGTGTTATGGTTCCCAGCTGCCTTAAAGCCCCATGAAGGGTCCAGAGTCCCTAGTCCAGGCACAAAGGCTTCCACACCTGCTCTGGTGTCCAGGTGAAGACTCGTGACTCCAGGCACCAAGTTCTTGGCCAAAACCTGCACTAAACACATTTCTGCTTTCCCTTAGGTGGGGTTTGGAGACCCGAGCATGGAACTTGCCACGTTCCCGACTTCAGTGACAGAGGCCTTAACAGATGCTCTAGAAGGGCAGCATAGCCCTGAATGGCTCTTCCAGCTGGCGAAGGCTGTGTCCTCTGTGCTGAACCAGGGGCACTCGGAGGAAGGCTTTGGGCAGAGGCTGGAAGTAGACACCCGGCAGAAGGTATTGAGATGGGATCCTGTCAAAACCACACTGGGGTCTGTGCTCTGTCATTTGAACTATAGAGTAGGACCAAGTACCAGTGGCAATGCCCCAACAGTGGATATGCCCTCCCTCTTCTGGCCCTCAGTGAGTGGGCCTGCTTGGTCAGTGGTCAGCTTCCCATGCACTCTGGTGGGTCATAGGATGGAAAGTAACTGAGAGATTGTCCCTAATATTAAAGATGAAAGACTGAGGTCCAACCTAGAATTGCCACCTGGACTGCATCATATGACTAATGGATCAGGCTAGACAATGGCCCTGTCACTCACTGTCTGTGGTGTCACAGGCCAGGGACCAAACGTGAGGGTCACTCTCCCCTTCACCACTGCCAAGTGAGAACTGACTCCCAGCTGACCTCCCTTCAGGTTTCCAAGGCTGTAACTGTGTGAGAGGAGACTGTCCATTCTTCCAGTACGTTCCTCACAAGGTCATGGCAGGTGTTTCATTAAAAATCACATTAATGGTAACTCTAGGTCATACTTTGTGAGCCCACACAGCCCACATGAAGCTGTTGACACTTACCCACGGTCATTGTGGTTTACAACTCAAGGCTGCGCATGGCCAGGGCAGAACACATGGATTAGACCCACTCCCCAGAAGCAGAGAGTGAGGGTGAGTGCGGCCACACGGACACAGCAGACGTGGCAGCCGTCATCCAAAGCTAGCACACTGATGGCTCAGCCCAAAGACCCACGGCCGGAGGCCAGAAGAAGGCCCTGGCCATGGGCTGAGCGTGAAGGCTGTGGTCTTGAACCACATACCACCCTGAAGACACTGACAGCTGAGCACGGTGACTTGTACAAGCCGCACACACACACACAGTTACACCCACTGCCTGGCTCCTGCCTTCCCCTCCAGGCATTCTGAGCATCAGCTATGACAGCTTCCTCTGCAACATCCTGTGTTCACTGAGCACTGGAGCCAGGCATCTGAAACAAGGTCTCCCTGTGGAATATCGGGGTTGTTGGCTAAACTACCTCAGAGTCAACCTGAGCAAGCAGAGACTTTAATACAGGCCTGTTGAGGAGAAGGGGTGAGAAGGGGCGAGTTCAGGGAAGAAACAATCTCAGGCTGCATGTGGTGTGAGGACCCGGCTAGGAGGAGGACAGGGGGAGAACAATGTCTTCCATTTCTCTCCCTCCACTCCCATCTCCTGTTGGGACCTCCCACTGGACAGAGGGTAGGTGCCATCAGAGGAGGGGGTAGGGTGAGGAAGGACAGAGGTTTCTTCATACCTTCGTTCCCCTCCCCACATTCTGAGAAAAGCATCTTTTTTTTTCCCTTTGGGGGAGTCCTGATGGCTCAGTCAAATATCAGTGTTCAAACCTGCTGGCCGCTCCACAGGAGATGAGGTGGCCTGCTCCTATACGGAAGGACAGCTTTGGAAATGCTTCCGGGTAGTTCTAGGCTGTCCAACAGGAGCTCTGTGGGTCTGAATTGACCAGATTAGAGTGGGTTTGGTTAAATTTCATTAACCACATTTAAAGATCTCCATTGGCACATGTGGTTAGTGGATACTGGATTGGAAAACTCAAGTCTAAATCATTTCCATTCATCTGGAAAGTTCTATTGAGGAGCATGGAGGCTACACTCAGTTCTCCTCTGCTGATGTCCAAGCCAGCCTCTGGCTGCCTGCTAGTGCTGGATACGTATGACTTAGAAAGCACGTGACCCAGAAGACAAGAAGGTCCACATTAAGACAGGGGCAAAGGGATGGGAAGAGGGAACCTGTCTCCTATTCCTCCAAACACATCCAGCAACACCACACCTCCAACGAGATCTCCCGCCCACGCTGAGCCAACTAAAGCAGACAATTTCTCAACTGCATGCCATTCTAGGCACAACTGCCATCCCAGGACATGGTTTGTTTGGTTTTGTTAAAAATAATGTCAACATTTATAATTTTGATTTGGAGAAACCTCTAGACATCCCATATTAGTTTCCTGTTGACCCTACAAGCCATGGTGTACTTGGTTGTTGTGTGCAGTCAAGTTGGCACTGACTCACAGCCGACCCTCCAGTGGGTTTTCAGAGACTATAATCTGCACGGAGGAGAGTGCCTATCTTTGTCCTGCAGAGAGGCTGGTGGATTTGAACTGCTTGTCTTTGGGTTGGCAGCAAAGCTCTGTACTCCCTAGGAGATCTATAATGTCACACATGAATCATCTCATTGCCAAGATCAGCAGTCCACACAGATGCTGCCGGCTAAAGCTCAGGTGACCACTGGGCTGTGGTCTTCCCAGAGGCTCTAGAGGAAAATCCATCCCCGGTCTTCCCCAGCTCCTCACGGGGGCTGCATCCCTTGATCCACGGCTCCTTCCTCTGTTGTCAAAGGCAGCAGCTGAGCATCTCTGAACCTCTCGAGCCTCTGTTTGACTAGGTGTCCCACCTCCTCCACAAGGATGCATGTAGGGTCCAGGGGATCATCTCCCCATCTCAGGATCCCTAACGTAATCACCTCTGCAAAGCCCCTTTGGCCATGTGAGGCCACATGGTCGCAGGTGTTGAGGGCGGGGACGTGAACATCTTTGAGACACAAAGCTGTCCCTCACACGTCATGAGGCAAATGGAGTTTTGGGTCACTTGCACGGATCACATGTCTTTCTGAAATGACATCTCCTCTCCTCTCCACCCCTCCACTGTGCCAAGATCCGAGAGCGTGTGCTGGGGTCTCTGGCTGCCATCGCTGTCCCCCAGGAGGAGATGCAGCCTGTGCAGAGGCTGGCTGAGGTGCTGAGAGAGGTGACCTACGGCAGCGAGGAGCTCACACCTGGGGCCCAGGTGAGATTGTTCACCTAGAGCTATATGTGCCTCCATGAACGAAAGAGTGACAGCGCCCTGGAATGTGCGCAAGGGGTCAGCAGGCTTTCCTGGAGCTTGCAAGACCTCTGCCACCTTCTTCCTCAGGGTCCTGCATGGGACCAAGAGCGGGAAGGTGCCCTCTTCTATGTCCTGTACTCTGGGTGTGGTCACCTATCTTCGTAATCAGCTCACCAAGATGTCCCAGATCCTGTGCTAGTCACTGAGGATTATTGTTGAGCCCACAGACACAGTCTTTGGCCTCACAGAACTTTCAGATTACTGAGGTGACTAGATATTTTAAAATAATACACAAATATTTAGTGTTATATAATTACAAAAATAAAATAAATGTTGTCCGTCTCTCTACATCCACCCATTGTCTATCCAGCCGTCACTGATCCAATCATCCTCCACATACCCACCCACTCATCATCCATCCATTTCTCAATCTATCCACCCAACCATCAATCTATCTGCCATACATCCACCACCTAATTCACCAAATATTACTGAGTATATACTACAAACTCGCAAAGCACTCTGGGAAGGATTCAATGGCAGATCAGTCCTAGCTTCTCCCCTTAAGAAACTTGGAGCCTTGTAGAGAGGAAGGAGGTGGCTTACATGACAGCTATGCACAGCTCTCCCCGGGGCTTACTCTTCCCATTACTGCAGTCATTGCCCCTCAAATGGTATAGGGGATAGTCTGTCCTGGGTAAGACCTCACATGTGCTTCCTCCTCTTTGGGGAGCCCAGTGGGAAGCCAGCCAGGCTCTCCAGAAGGCCAGCAAGGCTCTGCTGGCAGCGAGCGCCAGGACCCGTCCTCAGGACCAAAGGCGCCGGGCAGCCACCTGGGACCTGTTTCAAGCTGTGGGCAGCGTGTTGGAGGCTTCCCTGAGCAACAGGCCACACAAATCCACAGAAGCTAACAGCAGCCAGGTGGGTGACCTGGCCAGGATGCAGGTGACCCTGCAAAATGTCTTTACTTCAGGCTTTTCATGACTCAGGGTAATCCCTGGCGGGGGTGGGGGGGTGCTGGGACAGATGGAAAGGCAGCATACACAGTCTGGAGCCGGATGACTTAAGATCGTGGCTCTTCCCCAGTCAGCATACTACCTCTGTAAGTCACTCATCCTCTCTGCACCTTGATGTCCTTTAGACGTGGAGTGCGAGGACCCACCTCACTGAGTCGCCATGAGGATCAGAAGGGCCCATAGTCAGTGTCTAGACTCTTCCTGGGGGCTGGCTCTCATCACCAGAATGGTGCAATCACAATGTCTGTCACTGTCTTCCGGTCTCATACCCTGTTCTTCCTGGTCCCCGCAGTAGGTGCCTAACTAGCCTGGGGACAGCCACAAAGGGTGTCATGGGGACATGGGTCCACGGTAACATTGTCCGGTTTCCTCTTCCAGGCCACCACAGTGTCAACACTCCTCCAGGTTGTGGAGTGCGTGCAGAGGGCCCTCTTGCTGGGGACCTTGCCAGGGAGTCTGCCTGCCACACTGGCCACTCCCTCCATCTCTGTGTATACAAACAGGTAACGGGGCAACATCTCAGGTCCCCGAGAAAACTTGTTCCCAGATTGCATACATTGCACACACCTGCCCCTTTGCTAAGAGCACAGCCCAGGAGGCAGGCCTGGGGCTGGGGAAGGCATGAGACCTGACATTGGAAAGGGCTTTTCACTTAAAGAAGGCTCTTGATAGGGAGCTCTGGTGGCCTGGTGGCCTGGTGGCAGGAAGCTGCATTACAATCCCAGAGGTGCACAGTTCAAATCAACCAGATGCTCTGCTGGAGAAGGAGGGACAATCCCTCCTCTATCAGTCAGATCCGATTTAATGGTGCACACACAAAAAATAATAAAATGAAAAAAGGGGGGGAAAGAAAAGAAGGCTTTTGAGCCGGCTCTTTGCACAAAGCAGGAGAGGAAGCACTGAGTGCCGAGCCCACTGTCAGAGCACCTGAGATGTGAGTCATGCTGGAGCTGGCAGACAAGGGACAGCCTTGCCTTTAACCAGCCCCCATGTGTCTGCCACCCCACTGACTGCAGACCTGTGGGGGTGAAGGTAGAATCAGTCTGGGAGTCTCACCACAGAGTGTCTCCTGCTCTCACTGGGTTTGCACCCAGCATCTGCAGTCGCCCTCCACTCTGCACTGCTCGGCCTGAGAAGCAGGTTCTGGACGATGCTGCAGGCGTCCTGGGCAGTGCCCCACAGTCCCTGCACCAAGAGCCATCTCCCAGTCCTTCTTGCTAGGGGTGCTCTTCTAGGTCCCAGGGGCAGTGTCACAAAGCTACAGCCTGAAGCTGACCAGAGCTAAGAAATTAGAAACCCAATGGAAGCAAAGAGGGCAAGTTCAAAGGGCAGTCAAGACTGCTGGACAGTAGTGATTTTGGTATGGATGCAAATACGCATAATTATCCACAGGATCAACACAGAGCAGACTCCCCTGCTGGCAAAGCTGGGGTCCCCTGGAGAAGAGTGGGGTGAGGACATTCCTCTAACAGTAACTCCCTCCTTTCTCTCCTGGCATTTCTGTTCTCACCATGTGGCCAGGTTACCGCCACGGGGTTGGCAAGGCCCCTCGATGCTCATCGCCGCTGCCAACTCTGCGTCCTTCACTCTGCCTGCTGTCTCTTCCCTCCACTCGCTAGCTAACCGCTCCGAGCCCGTGGACATCCGGGTAATGGTCCCCATAACCTCAAGAAGGGCCCTTCACAGTTTGCAAAGCACTTTCACAGATAGCTGCTCACAGCCCTGTTGATTACTGTGTCGTTATGCCCATTTTACAGATGAGTCACTAGGGCACAGACAAGTTCAGTGATTAACCCAAAGCCTCTAATGAGTGGAGAACTGATAGTCAAGCCCATGCCTCTGGCTCTCAAATCCAATTTCTCACTCTGCTGAAACGTTTCCCCAGAACAGCCTTCTTTGGTCTGTTTATTGGAAAAGAAGCTTTTTAGGTTTGGTTCCACACTGGGAAAAGGTAAATGCAAGGCTGCAGCAATTTATGCTTTTCCATGCCTGGATGTGGGCTTATTGGCTGGTCCCTCTCTGGTCCTAGTGAAAGCAGAGAAGTATCTCTCTCTTAGAGGCTTGCTGGTTCTGCTGTGCAGAAGAGCCTCGTCTGCTCCACCTTCCAGTAATTGCTTAGTCAAGGCAAGTCTCCCTTGGATCACTGAAGCCCAGCTCTGCAAGGCTGTAGCCCTGGAAGACAGACACATGTATGGGAACCAGAAGCTGCTCCATGGGTGCCCTCAGCAAAGGCCAGGGGCGGCTCCTGCACCCTCTCCTGGGAACACTTCCTGTTCATACTGGAGTCTTTCTAACACTCCCTGCTCTTGGTTTCAGATGATGAGCTTCCCAAGGACCCCCTTCCCAGTCTGCAGTGGCTTCAATGTCAGCGGGACTATTGGCGGCCTCTCTCTGACCAGCCCAAGTGGACAGCTCATACCTGTAAAGGATCTGCAGGACAGCATCATCCAGGTAGAAGTTGGCGTGTTCTCAGGAGTCAGAAAGGGGCTTCTTCTGTCTTCAGCTCTGTTGGGATTAAGAATTGATTGGTTGTACAAAAATGGATAAAGAAGGGAAACATCAAAAAATTTACTCTTTACATCCTCTTCCTCAAAAGACAACCCCTAAACCTTAAACCAAACACATTCCCTTTTGTTTTCTTAAAAGCAAAGAATCTCTCGTTCCCTCACTGTCACTGAGGCGGAACCAACCTACAGCTAACCCATGACTGGGCTGCTGAGGCTGTAAATCACTCTGGAGAAGACCCATCTTTCTCTCATGGAGCCACTGATGGATCCAAACCACCAAGAGAAGTGCTGCCTTTGGGTAAAGAGCACAGCTTCCTACGCATTACACCATCAGAGCTTCTAAACGCAGATAATAGGTTAACTAGTGAAAAATGCTGTCTTATGCATGTAAGTGTATGTATGTACTCTTGAGAACTAGCTTTATAGGATATGAGCTCTGGTGGTCTAGTGGGTAGGGAGATGTATCACCAAGCCAAAGGCCCATGGTTCGAATCCACCAACTGTTCCTTGGAAGAATGATGAGCAGTCTCCTCCCGTGCAGTATACAGCCTCTGAAAACCTGCTGCAGGGTCAGCTGTGAGTGCATGCCAACTTGATGGCAATGAGTTGATGGAGTTACACAGCAACAGCAGAGGAAAAAAAGTAAGACAGCCAACTCAGGAGGAGGTGAGTGTCTGTTCCTGGGAGAGGGATCGCTGAGAAGGGGAGATGAGAACGGCCGCACCTCTTAAAGAATGGAACCCCCATCACTGAACTGGACGTGTGGAAATTGGAACTGGTCTATGTCTTTGCTGTACATGTTCTCAGTAACAACAACAAAAAAAAGTACGCTTTTAAAAAAATTACCCTTACCCTACTTAGACACCTTCACTTAAAACATAAAAACACATATTCATTAGCCAATCTTTGGATACACAGCAAAGAAGATTTTAAAAATCTGTTTATTGAGATTTAGCCATCTTCTTTGTTTAAGCCACTCCCATGGTGAAGCCTCTACTTAGATTTTCTGTAATGCCCACTTGGATTTTCTGTAATGTTAAGAAAAAACCTTCAAGGATAAAGCACAGAAGGCAGAAAGGATTAACAAAGAAAACTTAACAGAATTGAGTATTACAGGGACAAAACAGGGAAAGTTTGATTGCATTATGGGCATTGACAGTAAGTCATAAAACAAGATGTGCATGAATAGAGGAATAGAAAATCAATCTGATCTGTAGTTTCACTCAAATCTCACACACACACACAAACACCCGCTCCCAAAGATTGTAAACAACCTAAAATGCCACAGTGCACTGAGAGTTCACATTCCTTGAAGATTTTTATGATTCACCCTCATACTCATGTTCTACAGTTTTCTAATGACTAATTAATATTTTAGCAATTTATTGAGTTTTCTCAAAGCATTTAGCCTAAGTTTTCTCATGCAAACTATTCTTTTTGTTACAGTAATACTGTCATTTGAAATAAGTAATTAAAACAGGGAGTGGAGGGGAGCTCTGGTGGCCTAGTGGCAAGAAACTGAACTGCAGTCCCAGAGGAACACGGTTCGAATCCACCAGACGCTCTGCCAGAGAAGGAGGCGCAATATCCTCCTGTACCAGTCAGATCTGATTTGACGGTACACGTACACAAAATTAAAAAAAACAAAAAACAAAAAACAGGGAGTGGCATCCACTTCCCAAATAACATGCATCTGGAAAACCTATGAACTTTGATAAATGTCAATAGTAGAGGGGCTTCAAGCCTTTTGTTCACAGGGTCACAATGAGTCGTGCTCAACTAGAAGGCAATCAACAACAACAACAACAACAATGTAACATCACTTATAAAAAGTTTGAGGACCAAACATAATTGCCTATTGGTGAGCACCCGGCTCACTTAGCAAGAGGGTTGTGTGGTTACTGCAGGGATGATGTTTGGGGCTGGATTCTCTGGAGCAGAGTCTAATGCCTGTGGTTGCGACGGGGACAGTGGCTGAGGCTGAGTTCTTGGAAGCAGATGCTAAGAGATAGTTTGGGGCACAGACACATGCTGGGAATCAGAACCTGGCATGAATGTGGAAAGGAAGGGGGACTGAGCAGGCAGAGGGAGAATCGGGCTGCAGTGCAGGCCTGGCCACGCCTCCGACAACCTGGACGGGAGCTATGGAACGTAAGCTGTCCATTGGAGTGTCCCACAGCAGTCCACACATTGGGCTCTTCGTATCTTTACCCTCACCCAGTCTGGCTGTTCTGGGAAAGATGAGCCCTTCAGCAAGGTGGGTCTCTTAGTTGAGGCAGACCCTGAAGCCTGCCTGCTGACCACAACTCCCATGCTGGACAGTGAGTCCTTCCTTGAAGGGGGAGAGCTGGGTGACATATTTCCATGGCTACAATGCATAAAAACTGGACCCAAAGTCCTGCTGTCTAGTGTACTTTGATGCCTGGTGACCTCCTATTGAGCTTTGGGTTTTTTGATAATTTAGTTTGTTTATTTTTCATTTCCATGAACATCTACAGAGATTTTTGGGATTCCATTCATTCATTGTTGCACCCTTCTTCCCGCACAACCCCCCCCGCCCCCCCCGTTTGTTCCTCTCCTTGAAAAGCAGAAGAAAAACTCCCTCATTGATACACAATCCCCCCGCACCTCCCCAAACCCCACCCCCTACCCCCAAATATAATCCACTCTGCAACCCTCATTGCATACTCCTACGATAAAAATAATGCCCTAAAATATAATACTTTTAGACTATTCTCTCCCCAATAGACTTCAATGCCGTAAGCATATTTCATCCAGTTTTTCTCAGTCTTACCCCCACCCCAATGCCAGGTCATAAATCTTCATAGAAAGAGACTGTTTCCTCCTCCCCCCATGGAGTAACCGGTGGTCAGTTACTGACCTTTTGGTTAGCAGCTCAGCACAGAAGGCACTACCACATCAGGGCTCCAACGTCCCATAGAATGCTACCGGTCCAGTTGCCACTGGTGGTGGTGTCACACGTCATTGGGTCAGCTATGGCTCACAGCAACCCTATGAGCCACAGGTCTGAACCTTGCCCTATCCTGTGCCAGCCGCACCACCTCTTGGACCTGCTGTTACCATCACTGTGTTGTCTCTCTTCACAATGTCCTTTTCCACAACTTGTCCTTCCTAGCAACATGCCCAAGGTATGTGTGCTGAAGCTTCACCATCCTTACCTCCAAGAAGCACCCTGACTGCACAGTCTGCAAGGAATGTTTGAAAGTTCTTTTGGCAGCCTGTGAAATACTCAGTATTCTTACCCAACACAACTCAAAGGCACTGATTCTTCTGTCCTCCTTCATCACTGTCCGCCCTTCAGATGCATAGGAAGCAGATGAAAACCCTGCTCCAAACAGCTTGGATCAGGTGCCATTGAGTCAGTTCTAACTCAAGGAAATGCCCTGTGTGTCACAGTAGAATTGCGCTCCGTGGGGTTTTCATGGCTAACTTTTCATAAGTCGATGAGGATTGGACTAAAATCCACCACCTTTGTGTTAATGACCAAGTGTCTTAACTGTGTGTACTGAGAGGAACCTGGTGCAGCAATGCTGCTGTTAGTTGCCATCTGACTATGTGTAACAGAGGAGAGCTGCTCCATAATGGTTTTGTAGCTGTTAATCTAAACAGGAAAAGAACATCAGGTCTTTTCTTCCACAGTTCTGGTGAGTGACTCTGAACCTACAATACTTAGGTTAGCAGTTGAGCTAGGAACTTGTTCAAGCAAAAGCAGAAAACCTAAAGACACTGTCTTGAGTCAATTTCAACTCATGACTGTCGGAGAGAGAAGTCCAGAACCCGGGATGCTGCTGCCTGACACAGCAACAGGGGACGTGTGGATGTGAATAAATAAAAGACCTCCAGGTGGGAGCTTGTTTGGGGTTAGCCAAAGGGATGAGGTAATCACAAGGGTCTTTATAGCAAGGAAACAGAGGGGGACTTGGCTACTGTGGCAATTATGATGGAAGCCAGAGATGGGAAAGATGTGAGGAACTGGACATGAGGCAGGGACCCGTGGAGGCTGGCAAAGGTCAGGAAACGAATACTCCCCCAGACCCACGAAAAGCAACCAGCCCTGTGGACATCTTGATTTAACTCCATAAAGCTAACTTTGAGCTTTTGCATTCCAGAATTGTGAGCTAATAAGTGTGTGCTGTTTGAGGCACTAATTGGGACAATAGGGACATCATACATTGAGCAAAGGGCAGGATGGATTTCAGTTCCCCCAAGGCTGACCCTTATCGGTGCAAAACCTTCACAGCTGCACAGAGCAGCCCTGCTGCTCCCTGCATATCCTTCCCCATAGCCCTGACTGACTTTCTCATGGCAGATCCTGCTTCCGCGGCGATCGGAACACAGTGAGCCGACTGTGTTGAACCTGAGCAGCTCTGAGGCTTTGCAGGTGAACCTGACTTCAGGGGAGGCAGCTTTAGGGATACACCTGCACTGGAGACCCAGAGTCCCACTCACACTCAGCCTGGGCTATGGTTACCACCCTAACGAGACCAGCTACGATGCCAAAGCGTACTTCCCAGCTGATCCAGGTAGGTCCTGTTACCCCCGGCAGCCTCTCGAGCTGCTTCTGGATGTCATCAGCTCATTATCTGACAATCAGAAGCCACAAGGAAGAAACAAAGGGAAAACTACATGCCCCACTCAGTGACTTGTTTTTCTTGCTAATGTGTCATTAACTTACAATGAGTCATGAAAGGTGTCTCGGTGGCGCAGGGTGTTATGTGTTGAGCGAGCCCATGACATATGGACAGCCTCCCCCTATAATGATTACAGCCCTGAGGACCCAATGGAGGGTCATCCTGAGCAGGAAGTGACTCAGGGACAGTGGGCTGAGTTGGGTTTTTTGTATGTGAAGAAGCCAGAAACCGCCTTACGGAACCAAGGCCGTTAATATTCAGGACAATCTCTGAGGTGGCGGCTACCAATCTCTGAGGTGGCGGCTACCAGAATGTCCACTTTGCAGAGAAGGACAGAGAGGTGGAGTAACCGATCTAAGGTCACACAGCCAGAGCTAGAGAGAGTCAACCGACCTGAACGCTGACCCAGAAGTGACTCTACACTCATTGTCTTGGGGGTCCAGAGAAGAGGGCAGTCCTAGGATTTGAGGAGACATGGGGTCTGCTTCTCTGCTAGGAATCCTCCATTACCCTTTCCCCAACCTACCAGTGCCCCCCTTGACAAAGCTTCGAGCTGACCTGAAGCCACCTTTCCTGCAGATGGTGTATCCACGTGGATCCTGAACCCCAAGGACCTGCCTTTTGGGGAAGGTGTCTACTACCTGATTGTGGTCTGTGACCTGGAGCTGGCTGCCGGCAAAAACCTCACTGTTGGCATTACCACCTTCCTGTCCCACTGTGTGTTCTGGGATGAGGCCCAGGAGATGTGGGACAGCTCAGGGTGCCAGGTGAGGATGGCATCAAGGAAGCACCAGGACAGCTTGGCTGTTGTATGCAGCTCATTCAGGGTCACTGGGGTGACGTGGGTCTTGAGATAGTGCATATGGTTAGTGCACTTGTGTGAACACTGAAAAGTTGGAAGTTCAAACCCACCCAGAGCTCCCTGGAGGAAAAGCCTGGTGGTCTACTTCCCTAAACACAGCCACTGGAGACCTCTCTGATGCAATCAGGGTTGATAACTTGGCAGTGACCGGATTTCTGAGGGGTCTTTTTGGTGCCTCTGCTTCACCACACTGGCCCCTCCGCAGGGCCTTTGCACATGCTGTTCCTTGTCTGGGATGCACCTTCCCCACCTGCCTAGCTAAGGCCCCTTCAGCTCTTCCCTCAAGGGTCACTTCCTCTTCTTACCTGTTCTCTTCCCACCAGGCCAGGATCCCTGCCATGAGCTCTCAGAGCACCCATAGCACTATTTCCCCTGTCCCCCAACCCCACAAATCCAAACCTACTGCCACTGCGTTTCCAACTCATCGCTGCCCTACAGGACACAGGAGAACAGCCCCACAGGGTTCATAAGGTCATAAATTTCTACAGAAGCAGACTACTTTCTGCCATGGAGCTGCTAGTGGGTTCAAACCACTAACCTTTCAGTTAGCAGACAAATTAATTACCCTACCACCAATGCTTCTTCAAAGAACCAGAACAAATAAAACAAATCCCCAAGCCCACTGTCACTGAGCTGATTCTGACCCATGATGAGCCTCCACTGGGTTTCTGAGGCTGTAAATCTTTATGGGAGGAGACTGTCCATCTTCGCCCTGCACTGGACAGGGTGGTAATCTTCTATTTGCATGTGGGAGGGTTTAATCTACACCCCCTGGGCCCCTGTGAGCCCGAGGGAAGAACAGTGTCTGTGGTCTCCGCTGGGAAAACTGATGTGGAGGCCTGGGGACTCTGGAATGCCCAGGGACGTGGACTGCCATTTTCAAGGCAGTGACTCCTGGGTAAGCGTTCTGCCATGTGTCAGGGGCCAGGCTGTGTTCCACTCTTCCCTTGCACAGTCTCATCAGATCTTCTCAGTAATCTTCTCCACTGGCGATGGCATTCAGGCAGAGTTAGAGAAAGGTGTAGGTATAGAGGTCACTGACAGATAAGTAAATGGGACCATCATGTTTGGATGGAACATCCTCTGTGGGTCTCTAAATAGTTAAAGGATATTTCCAGCTCCATGGTACAGACTCTGACCAAAGGGTAAGGACAAAATTACAGCAAGAGGCTTGAGAGGCATATTTCTGGTATATATTTTCTCAGAAGATATTACAGGAGCAAGCATCATGAGGGTTCCTTCCCACTGGTGAATTTCTGGTGTCCAGAGGGATCTTCCCGCTGGAGACGGGTGGGAAATCCACCACACCAGGCTCTGTGAAAGTCCAGGTGAACAGAGACATTAGCAGTGAGGCAGGCCTGCTCCCCGGCGCCCAGCTCCGAGAATGTCTTACCCTGGCATCTGCCTGAGTTTCTTCTCTGAACTGAGCCCCATCCATTTGAGGTGTGTCCAGGTAAGTTCCACAGCTTTGTGCCAAACTCTGGCCAAGCCAGGGAAGAAGCGAGGAGAAAAACAATGGAGCAAACCCAGAGCTAAGAGTTACAGGAAGTTCATGAGTGAACATTGACGTTGGCACCATGCCCCCATGGACAGGCCTTGTGCAGGGTAGCTTGTTTGGGGACAAAGGCCAGTTACTCTTGGGACAGCTTTGGGCTGTGGGAACTTTTCCCACCAGGTGTTTGTGCAGAGAACTTTCCAGATGCATGTGTCCTTCTCCTCACCACTTCTTGGTGAGCCCGGGAATGAAAAGGTGGTGCTGAATGATGTGGTAGAGTTACATCTGTTCTGTCCACCACACGGCAGTGAAGTGGGGGATGGACAGTGTTAGCAATCTGACTGAGGGCTTCCAGGAAAGTCCATCCTGATCGCAAGGGTTGTGACACGAGAGGGTGTGACACGAGAGGACCAGGAAGTGTGTCCCACCTGACCCATCCCTGTCTCTTCCTTCTCCCAGCTTCACTGTCCCACATCATGTGGCCCCTCTACACATGAACCTACACTTTCCCATAGCCTCTTCTTGCCCCCGTCATACCAAGGGGACAGCCTACTTTGAAAGAATGAACTGGACGGGCATATTGTGCAAGTCTTAGGAGCACAGAATTCTGGGTTCATTGAATTCTTAAGTCCAAGATATCAAAACATGGTATAGAACTGGGAGTCCCAGGACTGGGACAAAGATGAAGCCAGTGAGCTTCCTGGGACCCAAAATTTAGGGATAGAGTTGGGTGCTAGGAACTCCAGGTTGGCCTTGGCCCCATGATTCCCCATCCTGTATAGAGGAGTACAGCTAGGGAAGGGCTGGGGTAGAGCCCTTCAAATTACATGTCCAGGACAAGAGGCTGCCTCACCTAGATACAAAGAGTTAAGTCTAGGGAATATAGGGAATACCTTCCAAACAGTGAGATGACATCTTGGGGTTTACATGTGTCTCTCCTACTTCTTCCTTCGGGACCCCCAGACTCTTGTCTTTTCAGTACAGAGAGATCAACCATCCTCATCCTCCTAGAACTTGAAGGGTTCTTTGGAAGTGTTTCACTCATTACCTGGCCCATTGCCTGGGAAGTAATTAGCATTTAACAAATATTCTTTAGATGAATGAGCCTCACGGTGGAATGAAGGTACTGGTAGGAAACACTACTTATTTTTAGAATGGTTGCTTATGGAGAGTAGGGAGACAAAGGGGACTTCACCTTGACCTGCAAGGTTTCTGCTCTAAGAAGACACTGCGCATTGATAAAATGGATAGGGCTGTTCATTGGAGATAGAGGCACAAAGATGCTTGTAATAATGTTCTCTGATCTTTAACTCAATTTTTCAATAGAATAAGGCTCTGGGTCTTTTTGTGTGTGTGTGTGTGTGTGTGTGTGTGTGTGAGTGTACCGTCAAATCAGATCTGACTGGTACAGGAGGAGATTGTCCCTCCTTTTCCCGGCAGAGCATCTGGTGGATTCGAACCGTGAGCCACTGGGATTGTAGTTGCAGCTCCTTGCCACTAGGCCACCAGAGCGCCCCAAGGCTCTGGGTCTTGCGTCTGGTGTTACAGCTACCTGCTCACCCCCATGACTCAGAGTTATGTCCATCCTTCAAAGAGAAATCATTGTCATTCTTCTCCCTTGGGCTCATGCCAGGGGGCATGCTCAGTGTTCTCACCCCGAACCTCTCTGGGTATTGCAGGTGGGGCCACAGACCACCCCCTCCCAGACCCACTGCCTGTGCAACCACCTCACCTTCTTTGGAAGCACATTCCTGGTGATGCCCAATGCTGTCGACGTCCACCAGACTGCCCAGCTCTTTGCCACCTTCGAGAACAACCCTGTGGTGGTGACTACAGTGGGCTGCCTTTGCGTGGTCTACGTGCTGGTGGTGATCTGGGCGAGGAAGAAGGACGCTCAGGATCAGGCCAAGGTGAGTTCATGAGGGTCCCCACACACGGGAGGGAGAAGCAAGGATGTCGCCTTCTAGGAGTTTCAGGGTGTCTCAGGATGAGTTCCAGGGTGTCCCACAATGAGTCCAGGATGGAGACCAGATAGGGAGGGAAGAGGTGAGTCGCTAGTTCAGTCCTTGACTACTGAAGAAGTCTTAGGCAGGCAAACAGCCTCTGTATTTGCAAGACAAAAAGGATTCTCTATCACCTTTAATCAAATTGTCCACCATTGTTTGAAGACTTAACTACATTCCAGGCATTATTCCATTAGTGCTCACAGCTGTCCTATAAGGACAGTATCTGTGTTAATTGTTCCCAAGATAATCTACTTTCAAGTGTGGTGATTTATTGGAAGGACACACCAAACTCAGAAATGCGGCTATACTCGCCGTTACTATGTATTGCCACCAATGGACACAGATTGAAATTGGCAAAGGAAAAAGGCACATGGGACTGAGTCCAGAGGAGACCAGGCAAGAGCTCTCCATTGTCCTTTCCCAACACAGTCACAAGAGGACTCATTATCCAACACTGTGTGATAGCACATACAGAGTACTACCAAGCAAGGAAGCTCACCCAAGCACTGGTGACCAGGGTTTATTGGAGGTCAGTGACATAGAATGAAGACAATATTCTGACTGTCCTTAGCTACTTATCCCCCAAGGCTCCCTACAGAGATCAAACTGATACAGTGTGGTTTATGGTTCACCTCGTAAAGCACACTGTTAGAACAGGCAGATCTCATTTGACTACACTCTGCTTTATTGTGCTTCCCAGATATTGTGCTGTTTTTATAAATTGAAGATTTCTGCCAACCTGGCACCTACCAAGTCTATCAGCACCATTTTTCTAACAGCATTTACTTGCCTGTGCCTGTCATGATTGGTTAATTCTTCCAATATTTCAGACTTTTCATAATGTTGCCCACTTGACAGCCTACTGTATAATGCAACAAAACTTTTATATACTCTGGGAAACCAAAAACTTCTTAAGACTCACTTTATTGCAATATTGATTCTATCGAGGTGGTCTGGAAGGGAATTTACACGTCTCCAAGGTATGTCTGTATAACCATCTGCAATGGTCCAAGGACCCAGGTATACAAAGAGGCCTATCAGGCAGGATATTCTAAGGCCCCTTCTTCACGTTTAGTAATTTTCCTCCACCTGCCAGTGAGTTTCCATTAGCCCATCAAGTGTCAGCGCGTCATTTGGAATGTAGACTTGAACACCCAATCCTGCTGAATTAACCTTTTACTGAGTATGGTCTTGATGAGCTTAGAAAAAAGACAACTGGAGATCAGAGAATGTAATTAAGTGACCCCAAACCACCTCCTGAGATCCAGAACAATTCCTCAAATTGTTGGGGGGAAATGTAAAGTTCTAATTCTTTTTTCCAGTATATTCATTATATCTGCTGCATAGCAGCAGTAAGTATCTGTGAATGAGTGAATGAACGAATAAATGGATATATTTGCATTGTTGCAAAGCTCTGTCTTTCTAACTCTTCATCACTTGCTCTCACTGTTGCAAACACTCTCTCCTATGCTCCATCGCACCATACACCAACACCAACTCAGGATAGTAATAGGGTATGAAACATAATAAGAGTTTCAGCATTTACGTTGCCGTCTTTGATTCACCCATGAGATTAAAGATGAATACTGTACGTGCCTCAGTGACTGATTGGTTCCCTGGGAAATGGACCCTGAGACGGAGCTGAGAGTGTGGGGTGTTTTCAGAGAGTTCCCTGGGATCAACGCCTATGGAAAGCAGGGAGGGGGGCAGGACGGGCAGGGGAAGTTTTGTGCTGTGACATAGTCCAGTGATAGCCTAGCTGACCCCATGGGGAACTCTGGAGTTGTCTCAAGTTGGGTCAAGATGCCTAGGTCTCGATCATGTCCAGGCACTCTATCAACCGGCCACTGAACGTTGGAAACCAAGCCAGCAAGCCTTCCACTGATGGGAAAACTGGAAAGTATGACCTTTCTTGCTAAGCCATCTGCATATTCGTCTCTTATCACATCCCTCAGAGGTATCCTTTGGCTACCAATCTTATGATAATTATATGTGCACAGCGTTTGTACGGCTCATCGGATCAAACAGTGAATATTTTCAGTCTCAGTCTCCTTTCCAATTTACGTGTCCGTTGGGCCATATCTAATAAATAGCACAACTCACACACTTGCACAAATTTTACCATGTTCTAGGACTTGATACTCTGATTTCACAGAGTGGTCCTCCCTTGCTGTATAGATATTCTTGTTCTGTCTCTTTAATGACTGTGGATGGTCAGCTCCCACCTGGGTGCCTGTGGTGGGTGATCCTGATAACACTGTCCCTCTATGCAGGTGAAGGTCACAGTGCTAGAGGACAATGATCCCTTTGCCCAGTACCACTACCTGGTGACAGTCTACACTGGACACCGGCGAGGGGCAGCCACCTCTTCTAAGGTAGGTGGCCCCATCAGACCCATGGCTGACTCATGGACGTGGGGGTCAGTAGATATCCATTATTCTATGGAGCTGGCTGCCTGATCTCTGGTTTCAGGTGACAGTCACTCTGTATGGCCTGGATGGAGAGAGTGAGCCCCACCAGCTGGCAAACCCTGACACCCCAGTTTTTGAGCGTGGAGGAGTGGATATCTTCTTGCTCTCCACCTTGTTCCCCCTGGGGGACCTGAGGAGTCTCAGGCTGTGGCATGACAACTCAGGGAACCAGCCATCCTGGTGAGTCATGGCAGGTAACTCAAGACAACCTACTGCCCCCTGACCCAGGGCTGACATTCTCGATTTGCTGCTCACTGATCTTTCACAGGATTCTGAGACACATACAATGTATCTCCACTTCAGAGAAGAGACCGAATCTCTGAGCGGTTCACCAGCCACAGTGCACATGGACTGAATGGGTGGTAGGAGGAATCCAAGTTAGAGCCCCACCATGCACACCTTCCCAGCATCAGCCTCTCTGCAGGCTCCCCGTCAGTAAAGGAGGATGGGCGCCTCTGGGTGATAGAAATGGTCAACATGCTCATCCACCAACAGAAAGCTTGGGGTGTGAGTCCACCCAGAACATTGTGGGAAATAAGGCCACTTAAAAAAAAAATCAGCCCCTCACAGCACTACAGAGCAGCGTTCTTCTCTAACACGCTGGGGGTGCCATGAGGCAGAGCCACCTCGAGGGCCACTGGTAAAAGCAGGGATAGATTTACTCTGAGGACAAGCCCTGACTGATAGAGGACATGAATTAGCAGTGGGAGACCCTCCAGCAGATGAGAACAGCTGCTGCTTCAAACACAGACTAAGGCCTCTGCACATCTCCTCACAAGGACCATCAGCTACAAGTACTGTCATTCTCCTTTTATATGAGAAAATCTAAATTCAGGGAACTAAATGACTCGTTCAAGGTCACACAGCTGGGTAGGTTACAGCAAAGACTCTGTCTCATCCTATCTGAGGCTGGACTAGTGACCGAGGCCACTGGTCCGCTGGCTAACTGTCCACTAGCACCAGGTGAACGGCTTTAGGGAAGCTCCGATTCCTGGGCTCTGCCCCCAGGCTGCTGCCACTCAGTACAATGTTTTCAAGGGTCATCGTTATCACTAAATCATGCCTTTCTATGGTTGAATTACCAAGTTCCACCATCAGGAGAGACCATGTTCTCCAGATAAGCAGGAGGGAGCAGTCCCTATGCAGGGTATCATACTTGGGAAAGTAGAGAGAGGGTCAGTGAAAATACTGGAAATCCCTCGAGGAGCTGGGCTGACAGTGTTTGCAGCAGCTCACGCACAGCAGGGGTCGTGAGGATGGTGCAGGAGCAGGCAGAGCCTCCTTCCCTCATGGGGCTGCTGTGACGATGGGCCCCTGCGGTGACACCTAACACTGCTTGGCTGAGGGTCACGGGGTCAGGAGTGCAAAATGCATATCTCTTCCTGGGCACAGCCAGGTTAGACAAGCTGGCCACACAGGCACACCCCGTTTCACAGTAGTTCACATGCTTCACAGAGACTACGTTTTTCACACACTGAAGATCCAATCAAGTGCAGTTCTGTATGAACGAAGCCCATCAGTGCCACATTCCGAACAGCACGTGCCCACTCCCTGCCTCTGTGTCACACTCTGGTCATTCTTACAATGCTCCAAACGCTGCCATCATGCAGCGTTTTCTGTGTGTTAGAAAACAAATGATCAAAATTGGGTGAGATGTTTTATTGCAATGTTCGCTTTACGGCAGTGGCCTGGGACAGAACAAGCAGTGTGTGAGGCCTGTCCATACTCCCCTAAGGCTGGGATGCTGGGATGCTGGCCCTGGACTTGGTGTCATGCCAAGGGGATGAGAGTTTAAAAATACACCCTTCTATATCCCATTTGTGATATCTTGGCTGCATTCCTGAATTAACTTTCCAAATTCACCTGCTGAGTATCAAGAACAATGAAGAATTACAATGAGTGTTTTGTTCCTGGGTTCAGTTCTACAAAGGTGTCACCACTATAGTGTTTAAAGAAGTCATGTGTCCACTTTATCCTCAATTGTGCGGGTCCCTTCTCCAGGTATGTAAGCAGGGTGCTGGTCCATGATCTGCTAATGGGTAAGAAGTGGCATTTCCTCTGCAACTCTTGGCTGTCTGTGGAAGTTGGGGACTGCACCCTGGACAAAGTGTTTCCAGTGGCCACGGAGCAGGACAGAAAGCAATTCAGGTACCTTCTTTTCATTCTTTTAAGCAAACGTCCTCTATTCATTCTCTGTTCCCCAGAGAGGTGTTGTCACAGTTCAGGCTCAGCCCAATCAAAGTGCCTTTTCACTGCTGGATCCCCACTGGACTCTGTGTGTATTAGAGGAATCAGCTAGGTTTCCTGCTGGGCCCCTTGAGGGACCCAGTCCTTCATGACGGAATTGTCTGATCATGGTGTGACAGCTGGGACACTTTCCTATTTCTTTGTGAATGTCATAGAGGGGTCTGTTTTTAAAAGCTCAGCACATTGGCTGACTTGAGTGTTACTCCACTACCTGACTAGCTGGAACTCTTTTTTTGGATTGTTTTATCAACGTTCACTTCCCTTTGCTTCACTTCCTTTCCAATCCTATTTCCTGCTGTGCAGCCTTCTACACCTGCCTCAAGACACACACAGGCAGAAAAAGATGTAAACGTGCATGGGCGTACACACACACACAAAACTGTTGCTGTTATTAACAACATACTTTTAAATGGTGCCTTGCTATATAGATCAAGAGACCTGGTGACACGGTGGATTAAGCCACAGGCTGCTAACTGAAGGGTCAGTGATTCTAATCTACCATCCGTGATAAGAAAGACAAGACCTCTTCTGTCTGCAAAGATTCACAGCCTTGTCGATGCTTTGGGACTGTGCGGATTCTTCTCAGTGAACATTCTCCCAAGGCAGTGTGCTGGGTCCAGAGGCTTCCTTCTTGGCTGGGTCATACTCCATAGAGCAAACGTCCCCCACCGATCCTGGTGTTCTCACATCAGGGACAGGAAGGCACTCTCCAGTGTGTTTCCTCAGGTGACTTCTCACCCAGCTGTCACCATCAACAGCTCTTCCACCATAGGAGAAAGGCTAAACCAGAGACCTGGACAGCAGAGATGGACACCAGACACGGACACAAAGGCTGCGGAGACCATCCGTTTCGTCGATCCACCACATGATGTTCGCTGCACCGTTCCACCTCTCCAGGGCACAGCATCCTCATCACAAAAATGAGTCACTAATGTCCTTGTCCCCAAGGGATTTGGGTGGGGTCCATGATGGGATGTATGTGAAATTCCGCTGCTTTACACAGGGCATGGCTCAGAGGTCGTGCTGGGCCACATGTTATCACCTAGATGCTACAAACTGTGTTGCCTGGAAACTAGACAGCACTCTCTGAAGGCAGAGCCATGACACTCACCTCCCAAGCCAGGTGTCCAGTGCACACCAGGCTCAACAAATACCTGTTAGGTGGATGGAGCCATGAGTTGTTGCAGCGGGCCTCTCTTATGTACAACCTACACAAGAGAGCCGGTGGGTATGTGAGAGTTCAGCTCCAAGTTCAGCCCACCTGCACAAGACTGAAGGTCAAGGCATTTTGCAACCCCAGAGGGCAATGGCACTGACCAGCCTGGAATGCCAGCTCTGAACACTCTTGGGAAAATCAGGGTATTGAGCGACAACTGGTTAAATGACAATTTAAAGGTAGTTGCTGTCAAGTGTGGCTCATGGTGCCCCCCATGTGTTAGAAAACTGGGCTCCACAGACTTTCCACAGCTAACTTTTGAAGGAAGTAGATGACCAGGGCTTTCTTCTGAGGCACCTTTGGGTGGACCTGCAGCCTTCACCTTTTGGTTAGCAGCCAGTAGTGTAACTATCTGTCCTTTCAGGGACTCCAAATCACGTTCTACTTTTAAAGAAAAACATTAACTCTTAAGGAAAAGGCAATGCCATTCTCAGACCTGCTTACAATATTAGTCATTCAGGCTGTGTCTCAGCCCAGAGTCTGAGTTTTTAACCATCACACCTTGGTGCTCTAATTATAAACATACTAATGATAATAATCACTAACATCAAGTCAACACCCACCACGTGTCTATTACGGTGCCAAACATTTTCTAAGAGTGTTTGCTTTTAATCCTTTCAACAGTTTATGAAGATTACGTCCTATCATTGCCTCTGTTTTGTAGACAAGGAAACTGAGGTACAGAGACCAAAGAAGTGTGCCTGAGGTCACATGGCTCCTGGGAGAGCAGTGAGGGGTTCCAATCCAGCATCTCCAGCATGAACTCTAAATGCTCCCTTTTGTAGTGGTTGTTGCTGGGGACTGTGAGTCAGTTACAGTGCACAGTGGTCCCGTGTGCCATAGAATGGAGTACCGGCGGCGGCTGCTCTGTCCTCACACCACTGCCATGCTTCAGTGTATGGCTGCAGCCACTGGACCAACCCAACTTGCTGAGTATCGTCTTTTTGTGCAGACCTTCTCTGCGTGATCAAGCATGACATCCTCCTCCAGGGACTTGTCTCTTGATAACACATCCACAGGATAGAGCTGAAGTCTCACCATCCTTGCACTTGCTTTTAAGGAGCATTCCAGCTGTATTTCTTCCAAGACCTGTTCCTTCTTTTTTTGGGTTTTTTTTTTTAAATATTTTTTTATTGGGAAAAACATATTGGGGGTACAAGGAGGTGAGGGTTGGGGGCAGAAGGGTGAGGATGGGCCAGGATGCAGTTGCAGAGCTGCACAGTTTGGTCGGTGGGGGGAGCAGGTAAAGGAAATGATGAGGGTCCAGTGGGGACCAGATGCTACAGAGGAATGACAAGCATTTTCCAATAGTAATTAAACCAACTGACTTATTGATGGGAATTGGATGCCGACTCTCTGGCTTCTTCATGCTGAACAGGGGTGTAGATATAAAGGGGGGAAGGGAGGACACTTTATCACCTTACTGGTGGTCTTGGGTTACAGCTGCTTGCCTTCTTGCTCCTGAGGGCCGCGACGGTTCGCCCTGAGCCGGGGGCCAAGCACAGCCCGCCCCGGGCAGAAGGCCACGACGGCTCGCCCCAGGCAGAGGGCCAAGGGCAGCCCACCCCGGGCAAAAGACCTGTTCCTTCTTGTGGCAGTCCGTGAAACAAATATTCAGTGTTCTCTGTCAGCACCACCATTCAAAGACACGAATCCCTCTGGAGCCTTCCTTAGTCATAGTCCAGCTTGTGCGTGCCCAGGATCCCTCTACAACTATTTCTTCTATAGTTGCTGTTGTTGTTGTTATGTGCCGTCGAGTCGTTTGCGACTCACAGCGACCCTATGCACAACAGCCCTAAACCCTGCTCTATCCTGCGCCAACCGCACTGCCTCTGACACACCCATCCCGATTACCCCAGTCACCAAATCAATCCATCTCATAGAGGGTCTTCCCCTCCTGTGCTGTCCCTCCACCCTCCCAAGCATGATGTCCCTCTCCAAGGACCCGTCCCTCCTGGCAACATGTCCAAAGTATGTCAGACGAAGCCCCAGAATCCTTGCCTCCAAGGAGTAGCTTGGTTTAATTCTCTCCAAGATGAATCTGTTTGTTTTCCTGGCAGTCCATGGTACATTCAGTACTCTTCTCCAGCACCACAGCTCAAAAGCATCTACTCTCCTTCTGTCCTCCCTAGTCATTGTCCAACTCTCTGATGCATAACAAGCAATTGCAAAGACCATGGCCTGTATCAGACACATCTTAGTCTCCAGAGAGACACTGTTGCTCCTGAGTACTTTAGAGAGGTCCCTAACAGCAGACTTTCCCATTGCGATACGCTTTTTGATTTCCTGACTGCTGGTGCCAAGAGTGTTGACTGTGGAGCCGAGCAAACTGAAGCTGTGAACAATCTCAATCTCTTCGTCATCCATCCTGACGCTGCCAATTGGTCCAGTGGTGAGAATCTTTGTCTGCTTGACATTGAGCCCCAGTCCATACTGAAGGCTGCACTCCTTGACCCTTTGCAGCAAGTGCATGAGGTCCTTCTCAGTTTCAGCAAGCAGGGTTGTGTCATCTGCATAGTAGAGATACATAACAAGTCTTAGGAGTTTTCCATAAATCTTCCTCTTGCACCAGGACTGCAAGCACAGAGACCAGCCTCTCTCATTCGCAGCCCCCTAAGCGCCCGTCCCTCTGCCCACAGCCACCTGTTTTCCCTGAAGGCCTCCGCAGGCTTCCAGGATGGACATATCTGGTATTCCATCTTCAACCGCTCTCCTCGGAGCAACTTCACCCGTGTCCAGAGGGTGTCCTGCTGCTTCTCCCTGCTCCTCTGCACCATGCTGACCAGCATTATGTTCTGGGGTGTCCCCAAGGACCCAGCAGAGCAAAAGATGGACCTGGGTAATCCCCCCCTTCATGCCAGTTGAGCTGGAGCTGGTGGCACTGAGCCTCAGTGCCCAAATGTTACTTCCTGGGAGGGTGGGAGGGCTGGCTCTGGTGGTCCTCACTCCCTTGGACAATACTCCCCTTCTTCTTCAGGCAAAATTGAGTTCACTTGGCAGGAAGTGATGATCGGGCTGGAGAGCTCACTCCTCATGTTCCCCATCAACCTCCTGATCGTTCAGATCTTTCGAAACACCCGTCCTCAGGCCACCAAGAAGAAGACTGAGAGATGGGGCTGGGAAGTCCCCACCCAGGTCCTCTCCTCACAGCCAATGGAAGAGGGGCTTCTGACCTTTGAAACAGTGATGAAGGTATGCCCTCCACTCCCCCTGTGCTGTTGGGAGGGGAGAAGTGTGGAGGGGTACGGGATAGTGCCTGGCACCATCAGTTGCCAAAATTCATCAACTGAATATACTCATGAGCTTTCCAAATATTTCCTGTGTACAAAATTGCACGAGTTACCTCATATGCCAGGCTGGAGGCACACAGAATGGAATCCTCTGGAAGTTAGGCATCCCCTAAGCATTTTTGAGCACCTACTATGTGCCAAGCTTTGAGAAGATTGCCTGGAATTATCTCATTCACATCACAGAAGGGGGAATTAGAGGTGAGAAAACACAAGCTGGGTACATCCAGTACAGTATCAGCAGGCAGAGCTGGGATTTGAACCCACCAGGGCATGTGTTCTCACTTCGGTGTTGAATCCCTTGCCTATGCTCATGACCTGCCTGCTGTGACTTGCAGGATATGTGGCGACTCGTTAGCAACCTGTTTAAAGCTCTCCGGTTGCCGTCACCAACCTCAGGCTGGGACCCAGCAAACTCAATGGACATCAACTCTCTCCTGGCCTTGGTGGAAGACGCCATTTGTCCGCAGACTGCAGCAGGACAGGTGGTCAAGAAGGAAGCTGAAAGCCAGGAAAGCCCTCTAGGGGCTGTTGGGTCCACTCGCATCAAAGGTAAGGAAGGCCTGGTGTTTCTGGGTCCTATGTGAAGAGAAGTAGCATCTCGCAGTCAGGTGGCAACAGGAGCAGGGCCATGTCAGTATCATTCTAGTGACATGACATTGTACTGGAATCTCTTTACTGGCTTCAACAGAACCCCTCACCAGCTAATCCTGCCCACACTCTCCTTCCATGGAAAGCCTCGCTCTGGCTGGTTCCTCAGTTTATGCTTGTCTTTTCCTTTCTTCACCTGGTCAATCCCTACACAATCTCTAGGCTCATCTTAAGCATCAATTTCTCAAGGGAGCAATTAAACCTGAACAGGGCCCCCCAGGCCCTCTAGTCACACGCTCTTTTGCTCTAAGCTTCCCCATCACATTCTTGGTGGCAGTGGTGCCATCAGGTCAGCTCCAGCTCACATCAACCTTATGCAAACAGAAGGCAGCCCCATGTGGCCCTGACCCAGCCTCGCATCTCCATCGCACTTAAGCCCATTGTTGCAGCCACTGTGCCCGTCCATCCTTGAAGGTCTTCCTCTCTTTCACTGACCTTCTGCTTTTCCAAGGAGAATGTCCTTCTCCAGGGACCGGCCCCTCCTGACAGCACACCCACATGCCTGAGGGAGCATCCTAGACAGGTGTGTTGGCTCTCTGCAGGCCCCACACGGTATGTGTGTTCAGAATTCCTCACCAATACCACAAGGCGAAGGCCTCAATCTTCTCCGAGGGTATGTCTGCGCAGCAACTGAAAACGCCATGGCTTGGGTCTGACATACCTTAAGGTGTTTTTTTGTTGGTTTTTTTTTAAAGTAGTGTGTGTGTGTGTGTGTGTGTGTCTGTGTGTGTGTGTGTGTGTGTGTACCATCAAATTGGATCTGACTGGTACAGGTGGAGATTGTTCCTCCTTCTCCAGTAGAGCATCTAGTGGATTCGTACCATGTACCTCTGGGATTGTGGCACAGCTTCTTGCCACTAGGCCGCCAGAGTTCCCTCATAGCTTAGTTTTTAAAGTGACTTTAGTTTTTGTTGTTTATTACATTCCTTTTGCTTGTCACTTAAATGGCCTCATAGAAAGCATGTAACAAACATCATGGGATGGCAAAACAGGAAGTCTTTATGGGTGACATAAATCAAAAAGATGTGTTTTTCTCCTACAGTTTAAAAATGGTGGCTGGCACAATAACTTGGACTCTTCTGAGAATCCATCTTAGAGCCCAGGATGTGCCGCGAACCATCCATGGGACCTTGAATTCGCTATCTCAGTCCTCTGTGCCCCAAGTTTTTCTTTCTGTAATGTTCGAGAGGATGCAAAATCGAACCACATGCTTCCAAATGTCAGGGCTATGACATAGAAGACAGACAAGACAATCCAAAATATTACAAGAACGTGGATCGGTGACATGAAAAAGTTGTACCGTTCCCCCTTCTCTTCTAGTCCTAATTAAGCAAGGAGAATCTCTCAGTTTGCTGCTGTCGAGTCTTTAACACAGTGGACTAGCCATACAGAGCTGTGCTGCTGGCCCAAAGACACATGGTTTGAATCTACCAGCAGCTCCATGGGAGAAATATGGGCAACCTTCTCCTGTGAGATTTACAGCCTCTGAAAACTTGCTAAAGGGTCAGCTATGAGTCGATTCCAACTCGACAACACATGACAAGAAGACACTCAGGAGGTGTAATCCACAGAGCATTGGCTGCAGAGTCCGAGACGGCACCTCTTTGGCAGTTCAAGTTGATGAGTGGCTCTGAGGGAGAAAGAGGGGTAATCTCTTCCCATGCAGTTTACAGCCCCCAAAAAACTAGTCGAGACTCAGCTAGGAGTCAGTCCTGAATTGATGACAATGAGACATTTGCTCTGTTGGGCAAAGAGAGGTATCTTGGATTCAAGAGTTTTTTAACTCGTTTGCAGCTCGTGTGCTCTGCCTTATTAATAATGTATGGAACTTACTCTGGTTCAAATCTGGCTTCCCTGACTCCCATCTTGCTACTTTTCACTTATATCAAAGCAGCCAAGGTTAAGACCAGCACTGTCCAACAGAACCTACTGCACTGACACAAATGTTCTCCACCCATGCTGTCCAACACTGCAGCTGGTAACCACAAGTGACCTTGAATTGCGTCCAGCTTATCTGGAAAACTGAGTCTTTAATTTAAATAGTTGTCAAAATGGACAGTGCAGGTCTAAAAGCATCATTTTTACGTGTGGGGCTCGTCACTGTCAAAACCTTATTTAGAGCCCAGTGAAGAGTCTACAGAAACAAAATGGGGCACTTGTTAGGAATTCACACCTCACAGTCCCATGCTTGATATGCTGGATTAAATTTTCTATGGTGAGGCCAGAAATCTGTACTTTTAATGAGTCTCTAAGATGATTTTTATGCACATCAGATTTTGAGAGGCACTGCCCTTGAGGCAAAGTCACAACTGCTCCCTGTAGCAGCCTAGACCCTCCTGGTCAAGCGCACACTGACCACAGTCCCACTTCTTACCCTGTGTGCCTGCCCACGCCGAGGACTTGCCTAAGTCCTGGGCTCCGCCTGCCTGTGTGGGCCATCCTTACAGAGGCTCCATGACGTCTGCACTGTCCACCTGGAGTAATTCTGAAGACTGGGAGGGAAGCAAAGCCCAATGCTCAGGGATGAGCAGGCACCACTGATACAAGCTTGGAGCTTCATGGTCCCCACTGCACACACTTGGCAGAGCAGCACGGAGCTTAGGGACAGCTTTGAGTTTAGGGACAGCTTTGGAGGGGCTCTCACAGGTGCTCAAACACTCTGAGACTTAGTTTTCTCTCCTATTAAATGGCAATATTGATGCGCCTAACTGCTTGGGTGGTGGTCAGGTCTGCTTGAGATCATAAGATCAGAATGCTTAGAACAGAACCTCGCACAAAGCAGGTATTCATAAGTGGTGTTATGGTAAGTAGATAGAATCTTTGTAAAGTTCGTCCAGACACTTGCCACACTAAAGGTGTTAATGTTGAAAGTCTTAATGAGGAAATCCCAGGATAAGGAGGAGGCGGTGCTCACAGACAAGGCAGGCATCAATGCTGGCCTTTCCTCAATGTCCCAGCTTAGTCTATGAGACACAGACTTTGTGGCAAGCCTGGGCCAGTCTTAGACACACACACACACACACACACACACACACACACACAGTTACCACTCCTCCTCAATGATGCTTAAAGATCCTTGGGGATAGTGTGGGTGCCCCATTCTGTTGCTCCCTATGTCCAGTTTCATGAAACTTTTGTGAAGATAATCATTAATCTAGAAATGACGTTTTACCACCTGTCTCAGTCACCTCCTCTTCATCTAGCATTATGGACAGGATCAAATACACTGGATGGATGGGAATGCCCACAGCCTGAGGAAGAGGACTTTCCTCCAGGAAGACCACATGAATTGCACTTGGGAGCACAGTGAACAAGCAGGAACTGTGGGCAGCAGGTTCTGTGGAAACAAGAGGGTAGCCACTGGTTCCCCAGGAGAGGATGGGTTTGAACTGTTGACCTTTATCCCACAGAGGTTGTACAACACCTCTCATCCTTTCTCATTTTGGAAGCCTCAGCTGACCTCCCAGGGGCTGTAAACCACATAGCAGGTGACTTCCTACCTACCACTCCCACCCCCACAGAGCTGCTAGTGGATTTGAACTGCCAGAAAAGCACCACTTCGGGGTAAACAGATCAACTCCCTGCACACTACACCAGCAGAACTTCTTAACTACAGTCCAGTAGTGTAAACACAACTTCTCTAGGAAGTTGTGCTCTGGGAAGCTGAAAAATTCTTGTGGTCGCTTCATTGTGATGGTCTGGGACTGAACCTGCAGTATCTCCCCTTAAGCTCTTCTACGTGGATGGAAATTTTGACAATTTCTTCTTCCCTTCCCCTCCTCTCTGACTCGTGGTGTTCTCACAGCCAGGCGCACAGGAAGTGCTCCCCACGCCAGCGCTGTTGTTTTGCAGCAGGTAGGTGCTGTCATTCAGCTCCTGCTGAGGTTCAATTTCCCTTGTCCCCAGAGAAAATGCAGTGCCCCCTGCCTGAGGTGTCCTCTGATAGCCCTCTGGAGGTCAGCGCCTACCGCCAGTGTCTCTACAGCCAGCTGGAACAGGTGGAGTGGGGGCTGCGGTTGCTGGGGCCCCATGGGTTCCCCCGACCCCAGAGCCACGGCCAGGCTCTCCGACAGCTGCAGACCCTGAAGAGCTGCCTGGGGGAATTGCCAGACACCTCAGGTCCAGCATACTCCAGGTAACCCACTGCACCAGGTGCCCAATGGATGCATGGTCTCCTTGGCCTGGGGAGGTAGGAGAGCACCCTCGATCACCTTGAGGGGACACTCAGATTCCCCAGATTCCAGCATCATCTCAGGGAAGAGCTCTGTGAAAGTTTTAGGAGGCATGAATGTTTGTGTTGAGTTGGGACTCTCCTCATAGCAGCATTGTGGCAGAAAAGCCCTGTGACGGAGAAAACCCAACCCTGTGGGGCAGTCTGCCATGACTCAGCATCTACTGGCTTTAGTCTGTTTCGCCTATTTGCCAGGCCTGGGGCTGGCCCTTGGTAAGCTGAGCGAGCAGGAGCAGTTTTCACTCCTTTATAGGATTTGTGTATAGGTTCAGTAAGCTCTTCCAGGCACCCGAGTTCTCAGATGGGTACAAATTACAGAGGAGACAACTGAGGGTCTGAGCGGTCTAGGAACTTGGCCAAGGTCCTGCGGCTAGGGAGCTAGAGTGGGACTGTAACTAGTGACTGGCTGGTCTGCACCTGTCCCCCTCCTTTGCAGGTCTGCCCGCAGCCTGCCCTGGTGGTGCGCCCTGGTGGGCTGGCTACTGGTGGTGGCCACCAGCGGCGTGGCAGCCTTCTTCACCATGCTCTACGGCCTGCACTACGGCCGAGCCAGCTCCCTCAAGTGGCTCCTCTCCATGGCTGTCTCCTTCGTGGAGAGCGTGTTCATCACACAGCCCCTGAAGGTTGGCCCCCCTCACCCCACCCGCCGTCCTGCTCCCTTGCCCTCCTGCCCCCATCCCATCTGCCAGCATCCCTGACCCTGATCTTCCATCATTTCTCCATCCATTTATTCCACAAACTCAATCGGAGCACCCCCTCTGTGTGGGCACGGGGGGCAGGACCAACAATGATGGTAATTGTCAGAACAACCAAACCACTGGATACCACGCCTGCCAGGCCCGAGGTCTAAACCTAACATCCTCCCGAGGATGGCAGAGGATGGGACAAGGTTCAGATCAACTGTTCATAGGGTCACTACGTGTCATCATCACTCAAGGGCACCTACCAACGACAGAGCTGTCCCCTCTGCATTCTAGACGAGAAAGGCTCAGACGCTAAGGGCACAAACATCTTACCTTGTTCCTAAATATCCCACATTTTCTCAATTCCCAGTTGCTCTTGGTTGTGAGCCAGGTCAGCAGTTTAAAGCAACTTCCCCACAAAAACACCAAGTTGTTCAACATGCACATCAATTAGGAGAACTGATGCAATTTCAGAAATGTGAAACTGCATGAGAGAGCATGTTAGAATCAAAGAAATTCTGACATCAGCTGAGGAAGAAGAAAGCAGAAGGACCCCAAGGGAGGAATATGCTATGAAGGAGGCAGGGAGAGCTCAGGAAAGGAGGGGACATTTAAACTGACTCTTCATGCCTAAGAGATGATGTCAAACTCCTCAAGCCAAACTACTCTTTGTTCCCCCATCCTACTTCCATTCTGCTTTAAGTCTTTTTCAGAGACTTAAAATGCTTCTGACATGCCCTGCCTGCCTTGGGACCAGACCATATAAAGAATAGGTGTGTCCCAAGAAGGATGGTGCAGTGGTTAACAGCTTGACTGCTAACTGAAAAGGTCAGCAGTTTGAGTCCTGCACTGGAAAAATGTGGCAGTCAACTTTCGTAAAGAACTTTCGTAAACAACTTTCACCTTAGAAACCCTGTGAGGCGGTTCTGCTCGGTCCTTCAGGGTCACTCTGACTTGAAATCGACTTGCTGCACAAGAAGCCTTATTGGTGCAATGGTTAAGTGCTTGGGTTCTAACCGAAATGTTGGCAGTTTCAGCCCACCACTGTTCCTTGGGACAAAGATGTGCTGACTGCGGGCACGCATGGAAACCCTAGGGGCAGTGGTATCCTGTCGGCTGCTGTGAGTCCAAATGGACTCAAGGACAGTAGGTGGTGGCCTGTGAATTTTGCCCCCCAACCACAGAACCCTGTGTGCACCAGGTGCAAAGAATGGATAGCGGAGTGAGTCAGCTAGAGAGGAAGGCAGAAGGCAGAGGCCAGGCTGAGATGAGAGAAAGGAGCCCAGGTTAAGTGCTCTTAGCCCCAAGGCCAGAACCCACGCAGCAGCTCCAAGAAAGACAGAGCTGGTAAAATGCCCCTGTGAAGATTACAGCCTAAAAAACCCTGGGGGCAGTGCTGACAACAACTGGGAGAGAGAGAGGAGCAGACATGAAGGTCAGGGGTATGGAAGCAGTTAGCTCAGGGACCGACCAGCCTGTCTGCCTGGGGGCCAGGGATGCAAGCTGGGGACTCACTCTGTCCATTTCCCACCTGACTTCCTCTGAGCTTGGCTCCTGGGCCCAGTGTACTAATGTGGCACTATCCCCTCCCACCTCAGTCAGGGGTACGGGGCTTGAGGTTCCCAGCACATGTTTTTCAGGTACTGGGGTTTGCAGCTTTCTTTGCACTGGTCCTGAGGAGCGAGGAAGACGAGGAGGAACCTGTGGTCCTACCCCTGTCGGATCCAGGTAATGGTGAGTCCCATAGAGGCAGGTGTGTGGCCAGCCAGGGGTCCTTGTGAGTCCTCTGACCCCCTTAGGAACCAGGGTTTCAGTCAGCACCTCACTTCTTTACTCCATCAACCTTTCACTCCTAGTATGTGAGACCAAAAAACAATCCAGAAAAAAAACAGTTCTTTTGTCCCCCAGTATTCCTGTACCTTCCCTATGCAGGCGTTCCTCCTCACAGCCCGGCAGACCACTCAGCCAGCTGACACACTGGGGACCACGCACTGCCATAGCTGTCATTTTCTGTGCAGTCCTCAGTAAGCAGTTCTCCAAGACTCAGGGCCCTGGGCTCCAAAAGAAAGTGAGCTTGGCATGGGATGCAAGACGCACCTCTAAGTTGGACCTTTGGACAGGACTTGGCAAACGATGGCCTGTGGACCAAATCTAGCGCAACCTCAGTGCAGCCTGTTTTTGTGAATCAAGTTCTGTTGGCACACAGCCAAGCCCACTGATAAAAGGACTGTCTATAGCTGCTTTTGTGCAGAGGAGGGAGACTAGGCCTCTTCAGCTGAGTAGACAGTGCTGTTGAGGCCATCGCCCTCCTGGGTCCTCATGTCACGTCCACAGCCGTTCCACAGCCACGCCAAGCTGTTTATGGTCTGTGTCCTGACCAAGCCATGGTATTTTCAGTTCCCTACTGCACTTCTGAAAGTTGGACAGTGAGTAAGGATGACAGAAAAAGAATTGATATCTTCAGACTTTGGTGCTGGTGAAAAGTATTCAAGAGTCCAGATCAGGGTCTGCCAAAAAACAAACAAGTATCTCTTGAAGGAAGTGCAACCAGAGGGCTCTTTTGAGGCAGGGATGGTGAAACTTCATGTCACATCATTTGGACATGTCCGGAGGGCCCAGTCCTTGAAAGACATCATGCTGGGAAAGGCGGATAGTCAGAAAAAGAGAAAGACCCTTACCAAGATAGACTGACGTGGTGACTGTGGCGATGGGCTCAAGCATACCTGTGATTGTGGGGATTGTGCAGTGTAGGGCAGGGTTCAGTCTGTTGTTCACAGGGTTGCTGAGTCTGAGTCAATGTACTGACAACTAATAACATTTTACTGTTTTCCATAATCGAACATTCATGGGAGCATCAGTCAGGAAATCTAGACTGTTGCACTATGTAAATCTACTACAGATCTCTTTTTAAAGAGCTCAGGAGTAAGGAAATCACTTTCAAGAATAATGTGCACCTGACCCAAGCCATGGTTTTTACAAATACATGTGAAAACTGGATCATGATTAAGGCAAATCAGAGAAGAACAGCTATCTCTGACTTGTGTTCTAGAGAAGAATATACGATATACTATGGACTGCTGAAAGTACAAATAGGTGTCTTAAAAGAAGTGAGCCAGAGTACAAAGCCAGAATAATCAGATTTTCTCTCATATACTTTGGCATGTTGTCAGGAAGGGCCAGTCCTGAACACCATCTGCAACAGTGGACTTATGCACAGTTAAGATCATAAGGATGGCACAATGTCGACCACAGATTTGTTCCGACTCACAGGGTCACTTGACAGCACCTCACAACTGCAGCACTGTAGGCCTAAGGAACCCTGGTGGCATAGGAAGTTACATGCTGCACTGCTGGCTGAAAAGTCAACAGTTCAAATCCACCAGCCCCTCCAAGGAAAAAAAATATGAGGAAGTCTCCACCCATAAAGATGTATCACCTCAGAGGCCTGATAGAGTTTCACCATGAGCCAGAACTGACTCGATCACAGTGGGGTGTTACGTGTACCAGGCACTGTGCTGACTCAAGGTCACCATCCTTGGAGTTAATGTGTCCTTTTGGAGAGACAACATTAACAAGTCAACAAACACACAGATACATTCAAATCGTGATCTGAATGAGGGGGGGAGAATAATCAAGTACAGGATTTCTCTGTTAAAGTGATAGCTAAGCTGCATCAAATATAGGGCATGTGCAAAGGTCCTGAGGCAGGAGTTGGAATGTTCTAAATGGGAAAGTCAGTCTGTTTTAGAGTTTCTGAAAGATTGCAGTGACTGCTATGGAGATAAAAAATGGCATGGAGGCAATGCTGGGTGAGGGTGGTTGGAATGGTCTCAGAAGATAGTGGGGTTACTACATGTCTCTCAAAATGGCAAAGTTCATTTTTCCTAGAGAAGGAAGTGTTTTCTAGTTACTAGGCAGAGGCTGGTTCCACTACCCATTTGGGACTGTTCTTGCACTCTTGTTTTCCCAGGCACCTACGCCTTATACCAAGCACGAAGAAAAAGCAGAAAGGACACCTACCAGCCGCCTCTCCCCTCCGATGTGGAGAGGATGAAAGTCACGCACCTCAAGGAGCAGAAAGCATTTGCCCTCATCAGAGAATTCTTGGGTAGGCAACTTACTGGTGATATTCCAACCCCTGGTTCCCAAAACAGACCTGAGCTTGGGATCTCATGCTGTAACATCTGGGCCTCAGTTTCCCTAGACTTGCTCCAGTTTGTCTCTTACACATGAAATCCTGCAGTGGCTCCCCGAGGTCCCCAAGCTCCACCCACATCAAAGGGCCTCTGAAGTCCTGAGCTCTGAGCTGGATCTTAGTGGTCTCCAAGCTCCTAAAACATCGTGCCCTCTCCCGATCCTGGCCTTTGCCCGAACTGTTCCATCTCATCTGCCTGGAATGTGCTGTCTCTCCCTCGACCTGCTGAGTGGTGATTCCAGGAAGCCCTGGGAGGGAGGAGGAGGTGCACAGCAGGAAGAGGAGGACGACACACACACCCCTCCAGCAGTATGTCCCTGTGCCTGGGCAGGTGTCTAGCAGGGCGGCTGGGCACTGACAGGAGGGAAGGGGAATCATGTGAGGAAGTGTTCAGGGCAGCACTGGCTCAGAATGCAGATTCCCAACCCTGGGCTGAGAGATTCCCCCTCAGCAGGCGTCCACCTCCACATGACCCTGCTGCTAGGACTCCTGAAGAAAGGGTCCCTTGCAGCATATGCTCCTGTCTCCTCTAAGACAAATGAGCCCCACGAGGCCAGGAACAAATCCAGCTTCTCCACAGCTGTATCCTCAGCATTGCAAGTCAGTGGATTCCCCCATTTAAAGAAAAGCACATAGTTAACAGACATTTATACTGTAGGGACTCTGCACACACAGTTTCAACTGTTTTGTATTCATTATTGAGCCTATGCAACTCTGCAGAGTAGAATTATTATCCCCATTTTACAGACGAGGAAAATGAGACCTGGAAGAGGTAAGTCACTTGTTGAAGTTACACACATAGGAGTCGTTATCCCTGGGATTTGAGCCCAGCGGACTTTACTCTCTTGCTTCTATCAGAAGTAGTTGCATTTCATTAGAAAAGTGTCTTCGAGTTCTTGAGAGAGAGCACACACACACACACACACACACACACACACACACCGCACACACACTCTCACATGTGGAGACTGATTTTAGGAATTGACTCATGCGGTTGTAAGGTTAGGTCAAAATCTACAGGTTGGTGACAAGTTGGAGTGAGGAGTTCTTGCATTGTATTTATTGTCTGGGAGCTGAATTCACTCTATGGGAAGCTCCCTTTGTGCTCTTTAAGCCTTCAAATGATTGGCTGAGGCTCACACACAAAATGGAAGGTAATCTACTTCACTCAAAGGCAATTAATTCAATCACATGTAACCACTTGATAACAAGTACACCAAATAGTTTGGTAATACTTTGTAACATGTGACCAAACAATTAGGCACCATAGTCTTTCCCCCCCACCCCCACCCCTCCAAGCTGACACAGAAAATTAACCAGGGTGCAAGTGGCTGGACTGGAAGTCCCTGAGGGTTCTGAGCCGTGGCCTTTCCACTTCCTGCCCTGGATTCACGGCCGTGGTGGTTGTAGAGGACCCCGTCTGACCAGGCCGTGCCTCCCTTCTCAGTGTACCTGGGCTTCCTTTGGATGCTGCTCCTGGCGGCCTATGGACAGAGGGACCCGAGCGCCTACTACTTCAACAGACACCTTCAGCACAGCTTCAGCCAAGGCTTTTCAGCTGTGCTGAGCTACCAGGGGTTCTTCACGTGGGCCAACACCACCCTCGTACACAACCTGTACAGTCACCACCCAGGTACAGTCCTCTCGATCTGGGACTCTGGCGTCTGTCCCTTGAGCATATTTGCATACTCCTGTCTGGAAGCAGGTGAGGGTCACTGTGAGCCCAAGGAGTCAACTAGTCATCTTAAGACCATGCTCTGAAGGACAGGCCTTCAGAAGGAGATGCATGCACAAGGCAGGGGCCCCTAACTTCTCTGGATGAAGGGAAAACTGCCTCTGACCAGGGGAAACTGAGCCTGGACCAGCCACGCAAACACAGACTGTGGGAAGGAGCAGCCTGAGCAAAGACAAGAGGACCGAAACATCATGGCCTGCTCTTGAACTTCAAGAGCAGAGGCTGTCTGTCATGGAGGGTAGGAGTTAAGGACTGAGGAGTGACAAAGGGGGCCAACTGTGAAGAGCCTCAGGAATTCACATTCTATGCTCAAAGAGATGAGGAACCAGGAGAGGCGAGTGATTAAGAGGGGAGTGACACCAGCAAATCTGTGGTGTGAAATGATCTTTCTGGAAGCACGTAGACTTTGGAGTGTTTTAGTTACCTAGTGCTGCTGGAACAGAAACACAAGACAGTGGCTTCACCCAGCAGGAGATGCTCTTCTCACATGGGAGGAGGCTGGAAGTCCACTCTGAGGGGCAGCTCTGGGGGAAGGTCCTCCTCTTTCCATCATCCACGGGGGCAGCATTCCTTGGCTTCTCAGTGATTGTCACATGGAGGAGCACCTCTCTTCCCTGAGTTGTGCTTCTTCAGAGATCTCAAAAGGCACATCCTACACTGATATTGTCTAAGAGAATAAAGAAAACACCATTTCTCAAGGCGATGATAATCACAAGTGTCATGGGATTTATGGCATGTATTTTGAAGGTGATGCAACTGGGTGGGCACACTGGAATTCTTAGAAAAGTGAGGGGCCTGATCCAGGAACATGGGGCAGGAATGATGGAGAGAAGAGGTGCATAACACATTGACCAGGTAGAACAGGTGGGGCTTGGTGACCACCTGAATGTGTGGGATTAGGAGAGCAGGCACAGGTGGAGGTGGATGGCTGGGTGGTGAGGGTTCCACTCAACAAGAGGAGTTATGCAGGAAGTAGAACGAGCCCAGGCAGGGAGACGGCATGGTCTTCTGGGGGCCACCTGGAGTACTGCAGTTGATGTTAGCCATGAACTTCTCTTACTGTCTCTAACAGGAAACAGGCATGTGTGGTGTTGATTCTGATTGCTGGTCTTATTCGTCTGGTCTCCATCTTCAGGTTTTGTCACCGACGGGAATTCCAAGCTGCTTGGCAGCGCCCAGATTCGCCAAATGCGGGTCCAGAAAAGCTCGTGCCCTCTTGCAGAGCAGCTGCTTACACCTCTCGACGGCTGCCAGGCGCCTTATTCCGTGGATACTGAAGACCTGTCAGATTATGGGGAAGGCTGGACTGCCTGCACTCTCAACTGCACCAATGGCTTTCCCCAAGCTTGGCAGTACCAGAGCCAGAGCCAGCGTCAAGGGTACCCCACCTGGGGCAAGCTTGCAGTGTATGGGGGAGGAGGCTACGTGGTCCCCTTGGGGACTGATCGCCAAAGTGCTTCAAGGTAAGGTGGCTTGATTCACTGATCTTTTAGCTCATCAGCAGAAAGATGGACAATCTCTTCTGTGCCATTTACATTCTTGAGAAGCCTCTTACGGGTCAGCCATGGGTTGGTGTTGACTCAACAGCAGTAAGTTTCAGTTCTGAGCAAAGGGTGCTGTCTCCACAACAGCGCTGAGCCAGACTCACTCCTGTCTCTGTGGGAGGCTGGCAGATGTAGAAGCGTCAATACTCTCCAGTCCCGGAAACCGCAGAGTCCTCAGAGTTGGAAAGAAAGTTCTTCTCTAGCATTTATCTTGGTGGACGGTCAGCTTCAGGCAGAGCCCTGCCCTGGTCCAGCAGCATCTTCAGCTCCCATCAAGGCTGTGAGGCCAAGACCAGACAGCTCATGATCACACAAAGCAGTGTGTCACCAGGAAAGAGGGCTGTGGTCAAGGCTCTCGGTCGCTGAGATCATATCCTTATCACAAGCTAACAAGTGACCCTGTCACCATTCCATGGATCAGATGACACGAGACTGCATAATGGAACATTACTTGTTCATAAAAAGACATGAAATACTTAAACATGTTACAATGTGGATGAATCCTGAAAACCTCATGTCAAGGGCAAGAGGTCAGACACAAAAGATCACTTGCTGGACAGTCCCACTAGCTGAAGTGTCCAGGGAAGCAAATTCAAAGAGATGGAAAGCAGAGCGAAGGGAGTGAGAAAAAGGGAATTAACACTAATAAGTATAGGTTTCCTTTGGTGGTGATAAAAATCCTCAGAGATTAGAAATGATGGTCACACAACATTGTGACTTTACTGAAAGCCACCAACAATTGACCTTAAAATTATGAATTAGAATGTGAACGAAATCTCCATTTTAGAAATGAAGTGATGCACTGCATTAAGCAAATCTGCGGTCAAGAACCTCTTTAATTTGCTACCGCACAAACATGTCCATTTAATACTAAGGTCCACTAACGTTTTCAATTGCTTTGTATGCATGTGAGACTTGGACCATGAGGAGAATCGGCCTTTGAATTGTGAAGTAGAGGAAGAATACTGATGCTCATTCAAAAGAATGAACAGTTCTATCTGAGAATAAGTGCAATCAGTGTGTTCCCGAGAAGTGAGGCTGGTGAGACTCAGCCTCATATACTTTACGCAGGTTGTCAGGAGGTTCCAGCCCTTGGAAAATAGATTCTGCGTGGAAAAGTAGAAGGTCACTGAGAGAAAGAAACACCATCAGTGGGATGTACTGACTGTGAGGCTGGCACAGGACTGAGGAAGGTTTTGCTCTGCTGCACACAGGATTGCTATGAGTTGGAGTCAACTCAATGATGCTTAACAACACTTACAGTTTCACACAATTTGACTCTTTTTTTCACACATATTGGACAACTTGTCCTACTCTGTGTAAAGATAATGATTAAATTTCATTAAAACAAAACAAGAAATCATCCCAGTGTCTTGGACTCAGTAGGTCCCTGTCCGATGCCAATGATGCTAGAGGAGGACCACACTTTGAGAACCTCTGTTCCAGTGGCCAGGAGACCACAGACCCCAAGGCAGTGCCCGTTGGGCTGGTCAGCTGGAACCACATCCAGGTGCAGCCCTAAGGCCTTATGGCCAGGGGTGCAGATGGGAGGCTGAGGGAAAGGTTAGGAAGGGAAGATGGCAGTAGCACCTGTGGGTGGGAGAATCTCTCAACGTCCATCTCTCTGCAGAATTCTCCAGTATCTCTTTGACAACACCTGGCTGGACACCCTGACCAGAGCTGTGTTTGTGGAGTTCACAGTCTACAATGCCAACATCAATCTGTTCTGCCTCATCACCTTGACCTTGGAGACCAACGCCATGGGTAGGCATTGTTTGTGAATCTGAGTACAGAGTTCTAGAACACAGAACTGCTCCCCTTGGGTTAGGGCCTCCTGATTTAGCTGGCCTGCCAGCCCGTGGGCTGAGCTCTGAGGGACATGTCTGAGAAGCCTGAATCTGGACCTTGATTCTCCTGGCTTCCCTGAGCAGGCGAAAGTGAGGCACTGGAGCACTTTAGCCATCCTCCTCCCCCTGCAGTGTGCTTCCCACTGTGCCCCTTCCTCCTTCCCTCCCTCTTTCTTTCTCTCCCACTTTCTCACTCTCTTTTTGGCTTTGTCTTACAGATCACCTGGAGGAAACTAAACTGGGGTCTGAAGGGAGCTTATCTCTCCAGTTGGGGGGACTAAGGAGTAGGGATTGGAAGTGAGGTGCTGGGGAGAAAAGTGACCTTGTAGCAGATCACTTGGCCTAAAGCCGTATTTAAAATTTCTATCTCAATTCTGTGGTGTTGGAGAAGAGTATTGAATATACCATGGACTGTTAAGAAAATGAACAGGTTCATCCTGGAGAGGGTTAAACCAGACTGTTCCTTGGAGGCAAGGATCCTGAAGCTTTGTCTGACATATTTTGGGCATGTTGCAAGGAGGGACCAGTCCTTGGAGAGGGACATCATACTTGGGAGGGTGGAGGGACGGTACAGGAGAGGAAGACCCTAGATGAGATGGATTGATTCAGTGACCGGGGAAATGGGGGTAGGTGTGCCAAAGATGGTGAGACTGGCACAGGATAGAGCAGAGTTTAGGGCTGATGTACATAGGGTCGCTATGAGTCGCAGGTGACTTGATGGCACATAACAACAACAACAACCTCAATTCACAGCAAAAGAAAGTGTTACATTTAACTTAATTCCCCTGCCTTCATTCACCACCCATACATCACATATACCACTGAAACACCACTGCTAGAAAGAATATTTACTTTAGTTACAAAGTTGGAGGCCACCAGCTGCTCCACAGGAGAAGTCTGGGCAGTCTCCTCCTGTGTGAAAACCTGCTGGAGGGTCGGCTAGGGGTCAATTCTGACTCAACAGTACACAACAACAACATATGAAGTACTCTGACATTTCCTGTCCTGCTCTATTTCTTGTTCCCCATCCCACCCTTTTTAAATGACTAGTGACCATCCAAGCAGCTCTGGTGGCATAGTATGTAATGTACAGTGTTGTTCCCGGAAAGGTTGGTAGTTCAACTCCATCAGCTACTCCGAGAGAGAGAGAGATGGGTGGTCTTCTCCCCTTTATATTTACAGCCTGAGAAATCTGCCTGAAGACTGTTAGTGGGTGGTGGAGGGGCTCTGGCTAGAGGACCACCACCACGGGAAGAACTCAGCAAGCAGGTCCTGTGTCCTTTCTAACAACCCCAGGGCTACAGTGTCCCGGAGTGCTTATGTCCAGTTCCTCGGGTCTTCCACCTGAAGAATTTTCTCCTTCTCTTTTTCCCTGGCTAGTTGGAGAGAAGAGGTTTGGGTTTGAGTCAGGTGACCTGATGGTTCTAGAGTCAGAACTGGCAGCTCTAAGTGAGGATGGCTGAGTGAGCAGAACGCACTTTGCTTCCAGGAACTTTTTTCACGCTCGTGGACGTGAGGAGCCTCCGCCTGTACCCCTTCACTGATGGCTGGCACCCCTTTGTGGTGGCAGCAGAAGTCCTCTACTTCTTCTTCCTCCTCTACTACATGGTGGTGCAGGTAAGGGTGGACCTGGGGCTCTGGGGGGGGGCAGGGGTAGGGGGGGTCCCTCCCCAGCAGGGAAAGACAAGTCTGTTTGCTGGTTTGCCACAGCAACCTTCAGGTCCTCCTGGTGGTCTCCAAGGCTGATGCAGCTGACTGACCATAGCCTCAGGCTTGGGTGGGGCCCAATATTAACATCATGCAGGTAGTGGGAACTCAGACGATGGTCACTGGTCGCACCTGGGTGGGGGCAGTGGAGGAGGAGTGATTCTACTGGTGCTGAATGGAGAACTTCTGAAAGGCTTGTCCCACAGCAGGACGTCTCTGAACTTAGATTGTAGAGGTTCCTGGCAGTTTTTGTTGTTCTTACCTGTGGTCCCAGGAGAACAGGAAAACTCATCTATCATCCCTTCCACTGGGCTGCATAATGAAGGTGCAGATGTTGACAGTGAGGTTTGAGGATGCTGGAAATCATCTGAAGCTGATTCTAGGGACACCTACCTCACTACTCTCCACGGAAAAACACAATCCAGATGGAGATCTCTGCTCTCCACTCCCTGCTCCAACTACCTCTTCACACTAAGCATTATATCTGATCTCTTGCTCTGCAGAAAACACTGTGCTAAGAACATGACATGGATTTTTTCTGTTAATAGACAAGTTCTATTGGCTCCAAGTCATGCAGCAGGACACTCAAGTTCAGAGACGTTACGTAGTTCATGTGAGGTCGGGTTTGAACCCAGAGGGTCTGACTCCAGGGCCTGCAAGGTCTCTGGGCACTGCAGACGCAGACTCAGTCAGGTCTCAGGAAGCCACTCAAGCCTTTTCCTTGCATCTCTAAGATCAGAAAAGGCCTCCTACTACGCACCTCCACACATTTTTCTTTTTCTCACTGTACCCTAGTCTGTCTATAGTTACTTCAAAAATAGCTTTCCTGTATCCTTAAGTTTCTCTCAAAATGCTGCTTGGGCAGGTTTTAAGATCTGTCCCCGTCCCATCTCCTTGTTAGAGAAGTGAATTTAGCCTCTTACCAGCCAAAGGAGGCTTGCTTTAGAGTAGGCAGGAGAACGGGAAAATAACCAGCATCAGAAGATTCTGAGCAGAAAGGGAAGGAGGAAGGGGAGGAGGCTGAGAACAACATGCGGGGGGGGGGGGAAGTGTTTTGACCTGTGACACCCTAAAAGTCTATTGCCCAGGTTGATGATGGGAGTAGATGGGGGCATGCCCAAGATGGGAGAGGGAGAGGCCCCCAGAACTGTGCATTTGGGCTGGAACTGAGGAGGGCTCTCTGGGATCCCCTAAGTACCTGGTGGTCAGTCCTCCTGGGCTGTACTGGGAACCAGCATATGTGTGGGGTGAGTATGGCGAGAAGGTCTGGCCACAGCCTCTGTCAGAACGTTCCTCTCCTTCCCCAGGGCAAGCTCATGAGGAAGCAGAAATGGGGCTATTTCTGCAGCAAGTGGAACCTTCTGGAGCTGGCCATCATCCTGGCCAGCTGGAGTGCCCTGGCAGTGTTTGTGAAGAGGGCTGTCCTGGTGGAGCGAGACATGCAGCGTTACCGTGGCCACAGGGAGGAGTAAGTGCCTCTGCCCCACATGCCCACCACAAGCGCACTGCCCTTGGCTCTGTTCTGGGCTCCGAAGCCGGAGGCCACAGACCAGCTTTAGAAATCTTGTTGACCCTTAAAGGACCAAGGGTCACACTTAGCAAAAATACCTCTAGCTGCCATTTAGACAGGTTTGGGGCCTAAAGTTTATGCAGTTAGAGAGAACTCTCTAAGAAAAATAGAAAAAAAATCTTGATTTTTGCAATTCTTACCAAACTGCTGGTCTTTATGGCACCCTGGTAGGGTCCCTTCCATCCTCCTGGGGAGTGCTTCTGCAACCACTACCACACCAGCTAACCCACCTCTACAACCAATTACCAAGTGTCCACCACGTGCCAAACAGAACGCCTAAGCCATCAAATCCTCATAAGAACCCACAGCGGCAGATGGCATCATTACTTCATTTCATAATCAAATGGCTCAGAGAGGTAATGCAACTTATCTAAAGACATGGAGCTAAAATGTCATTTAAACCTAAACTTGTGTGCCTCCTTAAGCTAAATCTTTATATTTCTTTTTAAAATTTTTTTTTTTAAATCTTTATATTTCTTGATTCATTCACTTTCTAGACATAAAACAAGTAGAAAAACTGTTAAGGCTGACTCAGTCCCAACTCACGGCAACTCTGAAGAGCAGAGGGGTTGTACACAGGGCTTCCCAGGGTTATAGCTCTTCTTGAAGGAGACTGATGCCTCTTTCTCCACGGGAGCAGTTAGTGGATTCCAACCTTTTGCTTTGCAAACAATCACTTTAACCACTGTGCCCCCAAGGATCCCTTTTGCTCTACGAAGCCACCATTTATTTGTGTCTGGATACCATGCACTACCATAAAACTATCATTCAGAAGGCAGCACCTCACCAACCACTATAACAGAGACCACAGCAGATGATCCTGGAGAGTGGAGGAAAACAGAAGACGACTAAAAAATAGGGAAAAGGCCAGGTTTACTTGTCTGATAAAGAGTGGCAGGCTTCTGAGACTGCGGCACTCACCCTTTGGATCTGAAGTGGAACTCATGCCTGGAACTCAACTTTCAGCCAACAATCTATAAACCTATCTGGTGATCAACGCCAGGGAAGAGGCACACACTCCCTAGACAACTCAACCACCTGAGATCCAAAGAACAACGTTTGCCCAAGGATAAAGCTTCAAAGATAGGCAAAAGCAGGACAGAAAGATTAATAGAAATGGGAATTACAGAGGTGCAGCAAAAGTGTGATTACACTGTGGGTATTGTAATTAATGTTATGAAACAAAATGTGTATGAAGACTGAATGAAAAACCAATCTGCTTTATAAACTTTCACTTAAATCACAATTTTAAAAATAAGGCAAGAAAGCCATGGGTGTATCTACTCTGTTGGGGGGGGGGAAATCTCACTTACTTTAATCTTAGTCTGCCCAATCTTCATCCCAAATGAAGCCAATTCCAACTCATAGTGCCCTCAAGTCAATTCCAGCTAGTGGTGACTCTCCAATCAGTCTCTGAGGCTGTAACTCTTTATGGGAGAATGATTCCTCTTTCTCCTGCATAACATCTCGTGGATTCAAACTGTGTGTCTTTGGGATTGCAGTGCAGCTTCTTACTGCTAGACCACCTGAGCTCCCATAATGGTCGTAGGTTATAAGAAAACATAATCTGAAAAACAATGTACATTAACTTTGTAAGTAAACTAGTATAAAATAACAACACATACTAAAAAAAGAAAGAACATATCATCTGTCATTTTCATAGAGAACTGTGTGAGCCTAGCTATGTTCATTCTTTTTTGGTCCCACAGGAGGGTCAGTTTTAGTGAGACCGCAGCAGCCGACGCGGCCCTGGGCTACATCATTGCATTCCTGGTCCTCCTGTCCACAGTGAAGCTATGGCACCTGCTCAGGCTGAACCCCAAAATGAGCATGATCACATCAGCCCTGCGGCGCGCCTGGGGGGATATCTCTGGCTTTCTCATCATCATTCTTATCATGCTCCTGGCTTACTCTATCACGGTGAGAGACTCTCTCTCTTTGGAGAAACCTTTAGAGTCGGTCTCCCTGGAAAACAAGGCTTCTTGGTGGTGGGTTTGGGAACCTGAGGGAGATGGCTGGTGGGTCTCCTGAGAATGAAGGCTTTCAGAAAGGACCTCAGGTGACAGCAGACCTTCTCCCACCCTACCTCTGTTGATCTTTATTCAAATATACCAAGGGATCACCACCAAGTTCATGTGTTTTTATAGTTCGTTCTGCTAAGATTAGTAGCAGACCAAACTCAAGGGACACAGAAGAGCTAGAGAATTGAACAAAGGAAGAGCTATTGATGCTGGAATTCATGGACTTATATGGCAGGTCAAGCATTTGGGACACTATTGATTCAACACTTCTTGTAATTGGTCTGCTACAAATCTTAGCATAATGAATAACAAAAACAATTGGCATCAAGAGTGGGATTCATTATTCCAGATGCATAGAAACATGGTTTGGTTTTGAAAATGTGAGTCTTGGGAAGATGTACAGTTAAAGCGATTATTGTTTCTGTGATACTGTCTTCCCCACTTGACTAAGCCCTACAACTGTGAGGAAAGTTCGTGAGTCAACAATGAACTCAGACCCAATGATTGACTGAAAAAGGTGTAGGAGCATGTGGGCTGGTATGTCTGACTATATAGCTATGTATGTGGTGATATGGATATTATTGATGGGGACAGTTCCCTTTTATGAAGCAGGAAGAAGTCAGACTTGGCCACCCTCACATTGCATCTGCTTCTTTTGCACCATGATTCCCATAATATCTCTGATCCATACTAATTTCTGACCCTTCATCCTATTTTGATCCACTCCCCACCCATGGTCCCTTTGCCTATCCATTCTCACCTGGCACTCCAATCTGTCTGCATCCCTGCTTATCACCTCAACCAAGACCTGTCTATTCCATTCTATCTTCCTCTCCATCTTTTGTAACGGGATGGGGTGATAGCATACGGTGGCTTCTCAAAAGCTGGAAAGTTGCAGTCTGCAATTTTTTTTGAAAAATCCCTGCCCACATGTCCTAATTACATGTATGTGATCAGTCCTCCATTCCACAGTACATAGGCCATTGGGATGTTAGCAACTCAGAGGTGGGGGGTGCTGGGGTTCTTTCTGGCATGGCAGACCTGGAGGAATCTCTGGGGTGGAGGTTGAGGGGAAATGTAGTCAGGGAACATGCCCAGGGAGAGGATGCTCAGGTCTTCCTGACCATCACCCTATCCCAGAGCAGAGATGAGACCTACAGGGGTCTCATTTCACATAGTGAGTCTTTGATGGACCATCTGGGTGGCCACAGCAGCATCATGGGAGGCGTGTGCATGTGGCCAGACTTGCCCTGAACACTCTCTCTTTGCTGAGAGATGCAAACAGATACTTCAAATGGCCCCTCAACAGATTCAGAACAACAGAAAAGACCTCAGTCAAGGCTGTCCTACACATATACACTAGTCCATGTGTGTGACACTGACAAGTCCACTCATGCACACTCACAAGGACATGAACGTGACCATGAACACTCCCGTCCAGGCTGACTGTACATACATGCACTCCTATGACCCTGTGGGCATCGACAGATTTTGCCAGGCCTAGCTGAGGATGTGGACCGCCCAGATCCCTACCTCTTCTGTGAACTGTTGGGGATGGGGAAGCCTTCATAATTACTTTCTCTGCTCAAAATGATTCTTTCCCTGACAGTCACACCTAGTATTTGGATGGAAACTCCACTCCTACAAAACACTCTTTGATGCAGCAGAAACAATGATCAGCCTGCAGCTGGGAATCTTCAACTATCAGGAGGTAAGGGGGCAGGATAGAGGGTGAGATGAGATGGAGCCTGCCTGCATGAACTGAAATTGTGAAAATTAGAAAAAGCACCCTGCTGGGCTCTCATAGACAGGCACAGGGCAACTCTGAACAAATAAAACCATTTCCCCAGCCCCTACCGCCCTGCAGGCAGACAATCCCACTCCTGGCTCACCCCAGGAGGGACCCTTAATTACTGGAGAACAGTGGCTATTTGTTACTCAGGGGAGGAAAGTACCAGAGGTCCCCAGAGGGAACTGCTCTGGCCATAGCCAGGCCTGGTGCCTGACTGTGGAGGTAGCTGTGCGATATGGGGCTACCCTTTGCCCTGCTCTTGAAAGATCTGCCTGGACTCTCAACCCTCAGGACAAAGGGGACCCATATCCCCCCAGGCTCTGCCCAGGTCGGAGAATCTGAGGATGTCCAGTAGGCCCTGGTTACAGACACTGTGTGGCTTCCTCTTGGCAGGTGCTGGATGAGAGCCCAGTACTTGGCTCCTTCCTGGTCGGGTCCTGCATTGTGTTCATGACGTTCGTGGTGGTGAATCTGTTCATCTCTGTCGTCTTAGTGGCCTTCAGTGAGGAGCAGAAATGCCATCACGTGAGTCCCATGGGCTTGCTCAATAGTGGCCTCCAGCTGACTGAGGCCACTCCAGTTGTGCCCAGGAATTGGGTGGGGGTCTGCAGGAGTCGGGGCTGGTGGGAGAGGTAGCCCCTTCTCTGAGCATGCCTTCCCTCTCCACTGAGCTGTATTTCTAGGATATTTAAATACTGTCAGCTAGAATCAAACCCTGCCCAGTTCTTACCAGCCCTGTGACTGGCTGCACATTGGATTGTTGTGATCCGAACATTTTGGGGAGTAGATCACCAGGCCTTTCTTCCTAGATTAGGAACTGAAATCTATTCTGCATCCTGTTGTTGTTGTGTACCACTGAGTCAGAACTGACTCATAGCTGGCCCTCTGGCAGGCTTTCAGAGGCTATAAGTTACACCAGAGGAAACTGCCCATCTTCCTGTAGTGGGACTACTGGTGGATTCAAACCATGTACCTGTTGTGGGAGTGCAATTCCTTACTTCTAAGCCACCAGAGCTCCCTGTTCTACATCCTCACAACGTGCAGGCCCGAACTGCAGATGGGTGGTGGCTGCAGGAAAGGAGCACTGTGAAGAGTGGACCCCATGACACCCCTGGGAAAGTTGGGAATTCCACCTCTCAGTCACCACTGCTTCAATTAAATGCAGCAGGCAAGCAAACAATCAAACAAACAAAAGAAAAACCAAACCACCTCTGTCTAGTTCAACTCACTGCTGCTTCACAGGGCAGAGAACTGCCCCAGGGGAGGGGTGGGATCCAAGGCTGTAAATCACTGTAGAGGCAGCTGTCTCAACCTACCACAAGAGTGGCTGATGGGTTTGAACTGCCAGTTCACTTAGGAGCTGAGTGCTTCAGCACTGCATCCCCAGGGCACCTCACTTACACATAAGTAGTTTATACAGGCAAAGCCCTCATTTCATAGCAGAGGAGCTTGACATTCACAGGCAGAAATTCTTTTTCTACAATAACAAGCAGAAGAAAACAGAGCCAAGACTAGAACCTGGGTCTTCTGCACAACATAGGGGTGCTCGCCACACCTGTAATTTTCAAAGACTCCAACTGAATTGCTGGGTGTGACTCAAGCATTTGTGATTTGTTTTTTAAAAATCATTTTTGTTATGTGCCATTGAGTCATAATGACCCTATGTACAACAGCCCTGAACTCCCTCTGTCCTGTGCCAATTGCACTGTCTCTGACACTCCCATCCCAATTACCCCAGTCACTGAATCAATCCACCTCATAGAGGGCCTTCCTCTCCTGCGCCGTCCCTCCACCCTCCCAAGCATGATGTCCCTCTCCAAGGACCGGTCTCTCCTCACAACATGTCCAAAGTAAGTTAGACAGAGCCTCAGAATCCTTGCCTCCAAGGAGCCACCCGGTTTAACTCTTTCCAGGACAAATCTGTTTGTTTTCCTAGCAGTCCATGGTATTCTCAATACTCTTCTCCAGGACCACAGCTCAAAGGCATCAATTCTCCTTCTATCCTCCTTGGTCATTGTCCAACTCTCTGACGCATAACAGGTGATTGCGAAGACCATGGCCTGTATCAGACGCACCTTAGTCTCCAGAGAGACACCACTGCTCTTCAGCACTTTGGAGAGGTCCCTAACAGCAGACTTTCCCATGGCAATGCGCCTTTTAATTTCCTGGCTGCTGGTGCCAAGACTGTTGACTATGGAACCAAGCAAACTAAAGCTGTGTACAATCTCAATCTCTTCACCATCCATCCTGATGCTGCCGATTGGTTCAGTGGTGAGAATCTTTGTCTTCTTGACATTGAGCCTCAATCCATACAGTTTCAGCAAGCAGAGTTGTGTCATCCGCATAACGGAGATTATTGATAAATCATCCACCAATCTTGATCCCACATTTCTCCTCATAGAGCCCAGCCTCCCGGATAATCTGTTCTGCATATAGGTTGAAAAGGTATGGAGATAGGATGCATTCCTGGCGTATGCCCTTCCCAATTTTGAACCATGCAGTGTTCCCTTGCTCTGTTCTGACGAATGCCTCCTGGTCCAAGTATAAGTTTCGCATTAGAACGATCAAGTGTTCTGGGATTCCCATTCTTCTCAGAGTCAAACATAATTTGTTATGATCTACACAGTCAAATGCCTTTGCATAGTCAATGAAACACAGATATACATTCCTCTGTTAAAAATGGCTGAATGATAAATATTTTCCACAATTTAAAAAAGGGGCTTGTGCACCACAAATAATGCTTAAGATCACGTCCAATAGCACTGCAGGTCTTCTCTCATCTAACCTGGGTTTTCAAAGGCTGCCAGGAGTGAGTGATGTCCACAGCACAAGAGGAAGTGGACGCCCACTGGCAGCCTAGACATGGTGCACAATCCTGAGGATCCCTGAGAGGTGTTGAGAGTTCACGCTCTCAGCTGCTACATTAAGGGGTTGAGTTCACCCAGAGGTGCCTCAGAGGAAAGGCCTGGCGACCTGTTCCTGAAAAACGGAAAACCCTGTGCAGCACAGTTCTGCTTTGACATACATGGGGTCACCATGAGTTGGAGTCAACTCAAAGGCAACTCCTGGGCTGCTTCCCAAATGAAGGTCATTCATTCTCAACAGAGAAGGAACTCTACAATGTAAAGTGACACAGCTGAGGCCAAGTCATTGGTTTCCCCTCAGAATAAAAAGCCCTTAAAGAGTCAAATTCTAAACACAGTGTATGGTTCTCTCCCCTGCAGCTATCGGAGGACGGAGAGATTGCTGATTTGCTGGTGATGAAAATACTCAGTTTCCTGGGCATTGGAGGTAAAAGAGAGGAACCCCAAAACAGCAGTGAGAAAACTAAGGAACTGACAGAAAGTAGGTGCCCTCCCCTACCTCCAACAGCACCCAAGGTTTAAGCAGTCAGTGCACGCAGGCCTTCTACAGAGTGTGGGGATGTGGACAGCCCAGACTACACTTAATAGTGACCCAATAACCAACCCAGGTCAGTGTATTTCTGTGTCCACAGAACAGTTACCATGCCCTCAAGGAAATAATAACAATGGTAATTAATAACTTAGCATACACATGCATGTATGTATGTGTATATATGTTGTTGTTTGTTGTTTTTATGTGCCGTCGAGTCACCTGCGACTCATAGCGACCCCATGTACAACAGCCCTAAACTCCGCTCTGTCTTGTGCCAATCGCACTGTCTCTGACACTCCCATCCCAATTATCCCAGTCACTGAATCAATCCACCTCATAGAGGGCCTTCCTCTCCTGCGCCGTCCCTCCACCCTCCCAAGCATGATGTCCCTCTCCAAGGACCGGTCTCTCCTCACAACATGTCCAAAGTAAGTTGGACGGAGCCTCAGAATCCTTGCCTCCAAGGAGCCACCCGGTTTAACTCTTTCCAGGACAAATCTGTTTGTTTTCCTAGCAGTCCATGGTATTCTCAATACTCTTCTCCAGGACCACAGCTCAAAGGCATCAATTCTCCTTCTATCCTCCTTGGTCATTGTCCAACTCTCTGACGCATAACAGGTGATTGCGAAGACCATGGCCTGTATCAGACGCACCTTAGTCTCCAGAGAGACACCACTGCTCTTCAGCACTTTGGAGAGGTCCCTAACAGCAGACTTTCCCATGGCAATGCGCCTTTTAATTTCCTGGCTGATGTGTATATAAGTATATATATAATCGGAATGACTGTGAGAGTCTGTTCAAATGTGTCTTCTGGAAATAAAACAAATACTGTCTAGAATTACTGTCTCTTCTCAATTCTTTCATTTTCTTAGTCAGGGGTCACCTTTAAAGGTTCTAGTTTGGGGATCCTCACAGGGTGTCTGAGAGATACTAAAACATGTCATCCCTATCAAGGGAATGATTTCCAAAAGAAGTCCAGAGGCCTCTTCAAGTAACTACAAATTTCTGACTCGGATATACAACAATGACACCAATACCAAGTGAGAGCAAGAGAAAGAAACTGAGGTTTATTAGACTATGAAAGGGTCAGGACAGACTGACCTCACATCTTTATCTTACAAAAGGATCATATATCTTGCCAGCAGAGAGTGGGGTTTATACAGCTGATGGGGCATTTCTTCTAAAAGAGGTATGATGATTTTCGGCCCTTTCATTTCTCTTTTCCTTGAGTCTGTTGTTTTGCCACATTCCTTGAGAGTCTGTTTTTATTGTCATATTGCTGCATTCCTTGAGGGTCGGTTTCTATTGCTGTATTGCCAGTCTTTGTCAAAACCAGTTCTGATTGATCTCCTTTGTCAGCGTTTCCTTTGCCATTCCCAGTCAATTCCTACTAAAGATTTCAGGACAAACAGATGGAAACACCAGATTAAATGAGGTTATAGGAACTCTGGTAGCCTTGTGGGTAAGGAATTGTGCTACCGTTCAAACCCATTAGCTGCTCCTTGAGATAAAGAGCACCTTGTACCTTTGTTAAAATGTCTATATGTATGATTTGTATTCTTGCTCTTCCCACCAAATGAGTCTGGAAAATCGAGAATAATAATTTGTGGGTGTGGTTGCACTGGCTTAACAACAGTAAGAGCAGGTTATTGGTTATTACATAGGTCCAAGGGGTGCGTGGTGTCACCACACTAAAGACTGAGGTAGCCAGGCAGGAAGGTGAAGACGTTTCTGATAGGCACACGTAACTCCACTCATTTTTTAAATGGAGCGAGGTTACAATCTGGAGTTTGCTCAAGCACTACCTTCGGGGAATCCTGGGTTCATGACACATTGGAGTAAAAGTAACGAGAGTGGCTGGGTTATTTACAATATTTTGAAAAATCTAAATACCCTGCATGTCAGCATGGCCTTGGCCGATGCCCAGCAATCATCTTTGACTCTCAAATGATTGTGGCTGGCTCTGGATGACCTTGATCCTCCATTAAGGTGGAGAGTGCATCTTCTAACCGGAGGAGGTGCCTTGTCTGTTCAGGCCTTGATGGCTACAGGCGGCTAGACTTGTCCCCCTTCCCCCAGCGGGGGTGCAGCCCCCTACGGTCTAGGAACCCTCTCGCTGACTAAGCACTTCCACTCTCCGTCCTGCGACCATAGGCGTGGCCCCGCCCCACTCAGCGCGGCTTCTCCGTGCCCGCCTCTCTCTCTCGGACCTGCCCCTTGCCCCTTGCTTCATCCGGAAACAGGCCCCGCCCCCTCCGCCTGTCACCCGTGCATCGTCCTATCCGGGACCGCAGCCTGCACGCAGTCCCCGCCCTACGCGCACGGCCCTATCGGCCGGGGCCCACGTGTCCCCGCCCCGCGCCGCGGTCCAGCCGGCTGGCTCCGGCCCGGGCCGCCCCGCCCCTCCTCTCCGGCCCGCCGCGGACCTGGAGTCCTGCGCCGCGACCCCCGCACCCTGCGAACATGGCGCTGCGAGCTTCGCGGAGCTTGGGGCCCGCGGCCTGCTGTCTGCGTGCGCTCTCGGCGTCCCGCGCGCCCTGCCCGGCGCGGCGCTGGGGACCCGGGCCTGGCGCTGTGCGCACGCTGCGCAGCGGCCGCGCTCTGCTCGCAGGTAAGCCAGGCGGGCGCCGCGGGACTGCAGTCACACGTGGGCGCCGGCGGGCGGGCGGGAGCCCTGGAGCAGTGCGCGCGGGACCCAGCCTGGCGCCCCGCGGAGGGCAGAGGGGGCCTGCCTACCCTGATCAGAGCCGGGACTGCCGTGTGCACACCCCGAGCTGTGTCCTGCGGATCAGACAGAGGCGTGCAGTGCGAGCCCGGCAGGTGAGCCGGCCAGAGCAGGAGCGTCGCCAAGCAGCGGGGTGGCTGTACTTTCCTTCGCATGCGTGCAGTCTGCGACCTCGGACGAGTTCACTGAGTGGACGGGTAACTGGGAATTGTGAGGAAAGTTAGAGCACCTGGAATTTATCACTCGCAGCCGAGCATAACTGTTTACGACAGTAAGGCAATCAGCTGGACGCCCAGCAGACCTGCTGGGTCCGGACCCGAGTCCATGATGCGCGCTGGGGCCGAAATGAGGCCTAGCTTAACCAGACTTGCAACACTGGGGACACCCGCCCATCAGTGTATTCGCTTTGGTGCTGCTGGTGCGCGCTGATCCTGCGGAACACCGCACTGAGAGGGGCGAAACACCGTTATCTTTTTTCACAAACACGGTCGCTCACTTCGTGGCTTAAGGGTCCGGGCGTCCTCGATCTCCGAGGGCTGTTGACTTGCTAATTGCTTGTTTTAGAAATACGTCTGAGAATAGTAGAACTGGCATTTATTCCAAACTCTGAGACATAAGGATTTCCTTCTTATTTGACATATAGCCAACACGACTTCAAGTTGAGTACCGAGTTAAAACACATTTGTAAGTCAAAAATGGAATGTCAAGCCTACATTTTTGTTTCTTATCATTACTCAGTATTTCATTATCTCTAGCTGTTTGCATTTTCAACTTATCTAGTTAAATATTGCCCAAAACATCAATACCCCTCGATCAGGTTAAGCTCCTAGGGTGTTGCTTTGTTCTGCCTTGTTTTCTAATTTCAGAACAGTTTTGGGTTTACAAATATATAACTCAGCTTATTGTTGTCCAGGTGGAAGTGACCCACTGCTCACCCTCCATCTTTGTGGGAATCAGCAGTTTTACATAGGCTTTCAGGAGATTAAATTACACAGGGAGAAACTGCCCATCTTTCTCCTGGCCTCTGGGGATTTGAACGCCAGAGGTTTTGGAGCCACTTTTGGGTTAGCAGCGCAGCTCACTACACATTATCCCACTAGAGCTCTCCCGAAAATACAGAGAACTCCTCAGACTGCAGCTTTAGTCATCAGTCATTAACATTTTGCCACTTGGGCTTTTGTCTCCTAGGCTGTGTTGGTAAGAGACATACATACCTACCTATCCGTTCATTTATCCATATTGATAAGCATAAACACAGTGAATCCTAGGAACAGGAACACTGTCCTCCTATCACAGTTACATATCAAAGTTAAGCACTGACTTCTTACCTAATCTAGCCCATACTCAACTTTTGCTAATTAAGCTAATAATGTTCAGGTCCTTCTAGATCAAGCCCAGTGTTATCCATTCCTATGATAGGGAACAAGCATCAGGTTTTAACAGACTCAATTCTGTTTCTTAAGAATTTTGGGAACTTGGCACATCAGTTCTGGAGCCTCCTTCTCTTCTCCCAGAAAGATAGAGATGAGAATACATTCCACACAGCACTCTACACACACCTGATAACTGTTGCTGGTCATTAAATAGTAACGAACGGCATAAAATGAGTACAAAATAGTTAACAATGTCATGCTAGGAAGACCCAAACAAGTCTTTTTTGAAGGAAGGGCAACCAGAGTGCTCTAGGACTTGGGAGAGAGACCACAGTGCTGAGAAAGGTAGAGGGTCAGCCAGAAAGACCCTCACCAGAATGGAGTGACACAGTGACTGCAGCTTGAGCATCGGACGGAGTGCAGATGGTGCAGGAGAGGGCAGGGCTCAGATCTGTTCACAAGGCTGCTATGACTTTCAGTCAGTGGTACCTAACAGTAACATTCATGGAGAACATTTTATCTGGCCAGTGACTTTGAAAGAAAGAAAATGTTAAATGTTTCTAAATTATTTAAAGTTACTAAACTAATTTTCTAAAAAAAAAAAAAAGTTACTTAATTTTCTGAAGCAGAAAACCATGTTTTTCCAAATGCAGTAAGAAAGTTAACATCTCCTGTCCATTCTCCCATTCTCCTCCACCCCCTTTAAATTAAGAGTCAAAGGAAGAACTGGACTAATAATTTTCTTAATAGCATGGTGTAATAAAAAGAGACTGGGCATTTCAGTCCAATGGATTTAAGTGCATTTTAGTTTAGAAATGCAGTTGCCTTTCACTCTAACTTTGTGGTTATTCATTTATTAAATACGGGTAAAAAAACTGCTCCTTAAGGTTATCTATGCACTTATGAAAGACAGCAAAGCCAAACAGTAGGTGAGGATGGGTTATCCCACTTCTACTTTAAAAAGACAAAAAGGTTTAAAATTGCTGTTAATTAAGAGCACAGATAACCACTTGGAGAGTGATAGCCGAGTTTCTGAGTGATACAAATGATTAACACACTTGGCTACTAACTCCAAGGTTGGAGGTTCAAGTGCACGCAAATGCCTCTGTCAAGAGAGGCCTGGTGATCTACTGTAAAAAAAATTTGGCCATGAAAATATACAGCCCAACTCTCTGAGCCCCTGGGGAGTTAGAACTGATTTGGTGGATGGTGAATAAGGATGATAGAATTGATGCCTTTGGGTTGTGGTGCTGGAGAAGTGTACTAAATATCCTGTGGACTGCTAAAACAACAAACAAATCTGTCTTGGAGAAAGTGCAGCCAGAGAGTGCCTTAGAGGCAAGGATGGCCAAACTTTGTCTCACTTTTTGGGCGTGTTGTTAGGAAGGGCCCATTCTTGGAAAATGACATCATGCTTGGAAAGATGGAGGGCTGCCGAAAGAGAAGATGACCCTCAACAACATGGATTGACAGAGTGACTGTAACAGTGGGCTCAAGAGCATCAGAGATGATGGCACAGGATAGGGAAAGGTTCAGAGCCACTGTTCACAGAGTCAGCGCAAAGGCATCTAATGACAGTATCTTAGAGTTGTAACGGGATGATGGGATGATAGGGAGAACCAAGTGTTAGAGCAAAACAGTTGCATCTTGCTCAAAATACCCTTTGGCAAACTTCTAAGACTTCCCCAACTGTTTCTTTCCTTGGCAATTGAATAAAGCTGCTTTCTGCCCCACGTCTCATCTTCACTTTTAAAATTTCTACTCCGTAAGGTTTTGCATGACTACCACATGCCATTATGCTTAGAACTGGGAATACAAAGGGAAATCAGAATGGATCCTTCTCTTCTGTGCTTACAGCCAGATTCTGGGAGGAATCTGACAGGTGGACTCTCCATCTGCAATTTGTCCAGTATCAGAGCCCTGGTGGTGCAGAGATAAAGAGTGTTAATTGGTTAACAGCACCCACCTAGGGGAAGAGACCCACCTGGGGAGAAGTGACCCACCCTGGGAGGAGGAGGAGGCAGTCTGTTTCTGTGAAGATTTATCTCCCTGACAACCCCAGAGAGCCATTCCATTCTACCTTGTGTGGTCACCAGATGTTGTAGCTACTCTCTCCATGGACAGGCTTGCAGTCAATTAAAATTTCAAGAGTTCAGTGAAGTCATTGTATTAGGGGTCCATTTCATTCTTGTGAAATTTCCTTTACTAAGGACTTTGCTGGGCCAAACCTATCACTCCAAGTCTGTTTTCAGAGGGAAGAGTTGTTTGATGAGTACGTATCTGGCGTGTTCCTCTGTGTGTGTGCTTGTATATGTGATTTAAGACTTGTTAGACAGTGCAACAATGAATGAATGAGAACCCAAAATCTCTGTAAATGTTCACTAAAACTAATAAAAATTGTTACAGCAGATAATCAGATCTCCAAATGGTGTGCAGGTCATGACACTTGGGTGACTGCTGATTTTGGTTGCTTCCAGTGCTATGTGCTCTTCTAAAACAGCATCAATTAGATCAATAAGTTAAACACAAATATTGGCAGTCTTTTTTTTTTTAAGCAGTGATGGTGCTATTTTCTGAAATATTGGTCTTCTCTTATAGTGCGTAAGTTCACAGACAAACATGAATGGGTGACGACAGAAAATGGTGTTGGAACAGTGGGAATCAGCAATTTTGCACAGGTATTGAATTGTCTTGAAATATTTGTGGCATGAGTTCTTGCAATTGGACTGTGTTTAACTTAAGCATTTTGTTTATTCTTTTAGTACTTGGGCTATTTTCACATAAAGGGCTAGTAGGAGAAAAACAGCCACAGATGAAATGAGAAAAATCAAATTGGGGAAGTATGTTAAAAGATCAGAAACATACCTTATTCAAGAAACAGATTCCCCCAACCCTTTGTTGGTAGCGGGAGTGGCATCCACTTTCTAAACAACATGCCTCCAGAAACTCTATGACCTTGAGTAAATGTTGATAGTTACAGAAAGGCTTCAGGTCTTTTGTTCATAGGGTCACTATGAGTTGTGCTCGACTCAGAGACAATCAACAAAATGAGAGAAACTGAAGAAAAAGGAAAACAGAGGCCCAGCCACCTACAGCCTTGTAGGAGTGGTGGATACGTAACACTAAGGGGTGTGAAGAAGAGGTGGGACCTATTTTAGCACAGATTAGTCAGAAGGAATTATTTTGCTTGTTTTTTCTTAATTCTTCTGTTCCCATATTGAGATGAGAAAATTTGGTGCTACTAATTGTCATATACAATAGTCCTTGTATGTTGGACTCTCAGGGTTTGGGATCCTGATACCTTCCCGAAAGCTTGTTATACCTCTGTATTTCTTAAGAGCCTCAGGATAACGGAAACGTTGGTTAAGATGTGGTCCTTGCCCTTCTGGAGTTTACCTCTGAGGGGAGAACAGTCATGTTCAGGAAAACAACACAAAAGCACTCCATGAGAGCTACCACATGAATGGTACTATGGATGTGATTCACCTGGTAGAGAGGCCACCTCTTATTGGAGGAAGTGCTTTGTACAATCTTTGTAAAAGCTGTAGAATCTTCAGATTGATCTGGGGTAGTGGCCTGCAGAGGTGGTAAAGCCCACAAGGAGCTAGTCTGGAATCATGTTTGCAGCATAAGGCTTGTGAAGGGGTCACTCTCACTAGATCTGACTATTTCTTACAACTCCTAAGGATAGTTTTTACATCTTTAAAAGATGGTAAACAATGAAAAATAATGTGTCCCCTCGAGCATAAAATGTGTGCAGAAAAGTTCTGCTGACTCCTGAATTATAGGGGTTTCAGTACATTCATTGTTCTTGTTTACTGGGGTTCTGAATTCTTCTCTCCTGTTTCTTTAGGAAGCTTTGGGAGATGTTGTTTACTGTAGTCTTCCTGAAGTTGGGACAAAGTTGAACAAACAAGGTGAGTCTGTTTCTTATCCGTGGTATGTGCCCTGAATCTTCTTTACCTGATCTTTCCCTTGAATAAGAATGTATTTGGCCCATGGTTTAATTAGAGTGCTTTTATCTCCAGAACAGAACACTGAAATGGGAAAAGCTTGCACAGTTGGGGTTTATAATCATCTCAAGAAAGCACTCTGAAGATAGGTGAATATAGGCTTGGTCCATGATGGGTCCTAGATTTACAGATGGCTGCAAAATCTTCAGTCATTACTTCCCCCCCCCTATATTTTATTTTCTCTCCAGTTAACTACACATTCACATTATAGTTCACATTTGACAACTTCCACACACATTGTTCAGTGATGTTGGCCATGCTCACCTTCTTAAGTGGCACCCTCTCCAAACTGGGAGTGAGGGAAGGAAGGAGGGAGAGGCTCCCTTCTACTCTTCTTCAGGAGGGACCGCCTCAACCAGAGACCAGCTGAGAGCACTTAACATGCTTCTGCATCACATTAGGCAGGTGTGGTACATCTGCAACTAGGACAGATGATCAGGAGCCCTCCCTGGTGGTGGAGGATGCAGTGCATTGGCTGCTCAACACAAGGTCAGCAATTCGAATCCACCAGCTTCTGTGTCGGATCGAGGTGAACGAGCTTCTCCCTTAAAGATTTATAGCCTCAGAGACCCAAAGAAGAGTCGCAGTGAGTTGGAACCAACTCAACAATGTGGGATATGAAAGAGAATGAGGACAAGGCATTTTCAGACTTCAAAAAGTGAATGGGAAGAAAAAGTGGAATGGAACCGCTTCTGTGCACACCCAGCCATGTGCACACTGAAACTGCACGATAGAGCTAAGGTGTGTAACTTTTAAAAAGGCAGATCTGCTTTTCTCTGGAGGCAGTAGAAGGTGCCCACAAAGAACACGATTCCAAGTCAGAACCTGGTTTGTTTGTTTTTTTTTTTTTTTTTTTTAGAACCTGGTTTTAAATCCTGGTCCACAATGTAGTAACTACATGACTGTGTGGAAATGATTTAATTGTGGTCTCATCTTTTAATAAGGAATAATAGTTAATATCCATCTTGTAGCATTTATGTAAGGTTTAAATGAGACCTTTCGAGTCCTGTTCCAAGTAAAAACTTGGCAAGTATTATTTAGTGGTGCCAGGCAGATTATTCAGCAGATCTCTGTTTAATCTTACATATAAATCAACCCAGTAGATATTAAGTATCTGCTTTCTAAATATTTTGACTGTATTGGCTATACCTTTGCTGATACATTTTAGCCATTACATATGTAGGTCTTGCCATTCTTTAAAAATCTTCCTAGAAGCCTTTTCTTAGCATGAGAGTGTAACTGATCGTCTCTTTTCATTTTTCCTTTTTTCTGTATGTAATGGGGAAATTGTGGAGTTTCTTTTTGTCTTATTTGCTGTGTACTCATTCTGTTTCAATATATTAAATATTGCTATCTGTTCCAATACCTCACACAGCTATCTGTTCCTATTTCATCATAAACATGAGTCCATCTGCATGGCTCCCAGATCACACATTTTGCTGTCCTGAGGTGCTGTGGAGTATTTAAAAATTTTCAACATCTTCTGGACCCTGCATGAACTACATTATATTAGTCTCACCACTGTTGTTAGGTCCGGATGAGTTGGTCCCAGCTCACAATGACCCTGTGCACCACAGAACAAAACACAGCCTGGTCCTGTGCTGTCCTCACCTGCTGGTATTGTGTTCTAGCCCACTGTATCAGCCACTGACAATCCACCCTTTTGAAGGTTCTTCCTCTTCTCCACTGACCTTCTACTTTACCAAGCATTATTTCCTTCTCTAGGGACTGGACTCTGAATACCATGTCCTGAGTTTGTGAAACTGAGTCTCACATCCTTTGGCTGCACATCTTTCTAAATCGATTTGTTCTGGAGATTTCTAGGTCTCACTGTGTTCCTTTAGATAACATCTCTTTGAAGAAGTACTGCCCAGAAATCAATGTGGAATCTCAAATGAGGGCAGTAGTGGTGTCCAGTTCATGTACAAACTACAGTACCAGTGAGCAAACCTATCTCTAATTGTACTTACTAATAAAAAAAAATTTTAAAATATATGGGTACTTACTCTACTGTTTGAGTGGCATCCACTTTCTAGACCACATGCCTCTGGAAACAATGATCAATGTCAATAGTTGTAGAGAGGCTTCAGGCCTTTTATTCATAGGGTTGCTATTAATTGTTCTTGACTCAAAGGCAATAAGCAAAAACAAATCTACTGTTTAGATGAAAATACTAACAACTTTGGATTTTATCTCATATGAAATTGTTAGTTGGTTTGCTTTTGTGCTATTCAATTGGCACTGACTCGTAACTTACCCTCTAGCAAGTTTTCAGAGGCTGTAAATCACACTGGAGGAGAATGCCTGTCTTTCTCCTCCAGAGCTGTTGATGGATTAAAACTGTGTGATTGGCACCATGATTCCTTACTACTCGGCCGCCAGAGCTCCCCACAGGTCTTGTTTAGGGGTCATTGTATGAAATCATAGAGACATTAAGCAGTAATTCTGGCCAGCTTTGTGAAGATAATTTTTTGTGTTTTCTTCTTAAATCTTTATATAGTTTCAACTTTCATATTGATGTATTGTGCATGATCTGAAGAATCGTATTTCGTTTATATTACAATTATGCTGACACATGGAATTATCTGCTGGTTCTAGCACCAGTGATTGACAGTTTTACTTATTCAATTGACTGCTATCCTTATTGAAAAGAATTTGACTGTAAGTTTATGTTTATTTTTAGACTCTTCAGTCTGTTTCATCAATCTGCTTGTTTTTATAACATATGACATCTTAATTCTCAAATATGCAGTAAGACTTGAAATCATTTAGTATGAGTCATCCAATTGTATTCTGCTTGCAGTATTCTTTTGGCTATCCTAGATCATAACTATTTCTATAACAATTTTAGAATCAGTTTGCCAATTTATATACACTGTAGATCAATTTAGGGAGGGTTATATAAACAACTTTGAGTCATCTATTCATGAAGATCTTTCCAAGTAATTAGGTCTTTCTCTTTGCAGTGTTTTGTAGTTTTCAGTGTTGGGGGTCTTACATATAATTATATTTTTTATGCTAATACAAATGAAATTTTTTATTTTCAATTTCATTTTCCAGTTTTTTGTGACCTAGTAGTATAATGAGCTAAGGCTTGGCAGTTCAAATTTAAAATCTGTTACGAAGTAGAAATATGAGACTGTTTGTTTCTGTTGAGATTTATACAGCCTTGAAAATCCAGTGGCGAATTACCATGAGCTGGAATCAACTCCATGGCGGTGGGTTTAGTTTTTTACTAAATCTACTTATTCTAATAGTTTTGTAGTTTTCTTGGGAGATTCTAGGTAGATGATGATATAATCTGTAAGTAGAGACAATTTTATTTTTCATTATAGTCTTCATGCTTTGTATTTATCTTCTTTGCCTTGCTGAAGGCTACGATTGTCAGTATACTGTGGACATCACTGCTTTTTCCTTGATACTATTTCTTACCTACGATGTTAGACGTTGGTTTTTCCTACATGTTCTTAACCAGACTGAGGAAGTTCCTTCTTACTCCTAATTTGCAGAGGGTTTTGTGTATTTGGCTTTTTAAAAATCATGATTGTTGTTGTTGTTTACCATCAAGTTGGAACCAGCCCTCCAGCCAGTTTTCAGAGACACAGGGGAGGAGATTGTCCATCCTTATTCCGCAGAGCACCTGGTAGATTCAAACTGCAAGCCTATCCTTCGGGATTGCAGTGCAGTTTCTTACCACTAGGCCACCAAAGCTCAGTCATGATTGTTGTTGTTATTGTTGTTGATTGCCTTGAGTTGAGCACGACTCATAGTGACCCTATGAACAGAAGGCCTTGAAGCCCCTCTACAACGGTTGACATTTATAAAAGTTCATAGAGTTTCTGGAGACATGTTATTTAGGAAGTGGATGTCACTCCTGCTTCCAAACCTCTCATAGTATGTTATTGCTGTTAGGTGTCATTGAGTTGCCTGTGATGTATTATGACCCTATGTATAGCAGCTCTGAACCCTTCCCTGCTTGAGCCAGTCTCCTCATAGCCATGATGGAGGAAAAATCAATTTGCTACTTTAAGAATTGTAGGACAGAGCATTATGCTTTTGAAAAGTAATAGACTTTCTCCCTACCCCTTGACTTCCTTAACAAACAAATTTCTTCTGCTTTGTTGGAGGCTACAAGTCAAACTTCAAGTGCCAGCTCTAGGAGAAAGCATGCACTGTCTGTTCTGAAGGAAGCTTCTTTATTTCCTTCATTTTCTTGGAGATCTCCATGTGTCCTGGCCTTCCTTGATGTCAGGGAGCTTCCTGGCAAAGAGATGGAGTCCAACAGGGTGCAACCAACGCCTAGAGATTACTTCTTTGTAAGATTCAGCTAGCTTTCCTCCATTTTTTGTCTTCAGAGAACTAAAAGATGTTCAGGCTACACCCTAACGAAATTTCCCTGACCTCTGATCAGGGCTTTGCTCTATTCTACCTGTAATCCTCTTGTAGCTGTTCATGGAATATTATTCCATAACTTCCATATCACATTGTTGTTAGGTGCTGTCGAGTATGACTCATAGCGACCCTGTGAACAACAGATTTGAACCCTGTCCTATCTTGTGCCTCCCTCATACTTCCTGACACAGTAGAGGCCATTGCTGCAGTTACTGTGTTAATCACCTGGTAGGGGGTTTTCCTCCCTCTCACCATCTCCCTACTTTTCCAAGCCTGGTGTCCTTCTCCAAGGAATAAATAGCCTCTTCTAGCAACATGCCCAAAGTATCATTAATCCTTTATTAATCCTTGCCTCCAAGGAACAGTTTGGCTGCACCTTCTGTGAGACACATCTTTTTGTTCCATTGGCAGTACTTTTCTCCAACGTAACAGTTCAGAGGCATCAATTTTTCTTCTGTTATCCTTATTCATTGTCCAGCTCTCAAATGTATAGCAAGTGATTGAAAAGACAA